AAAAAGATTCCCGCCACCCCGGGTTAGGGGGTCCCCCCCCCCCCCCCCCCAAAAAAACAAAAGGGCCGAATTGGGGGTGGGTGGGGGCCCCCTGTCCCCAAACGAATAACCCAAAAGAAAAGGGGGGGTTTTCCCCCCAAAACCCAGAAGGGCCCAATTTTCCCAAAACCCCAAAAAAAGGGTTTGGGCCCCCCCCCCCCCCCCAAAAACAATTTTTTGCCAAATAAAGGGGGTTGGGCCCCCCCCCCCCCCCCGCAGATGTCCGCGATCAAGGCCAAGCTTACCGGCGACGACTCCCGTTGGCCAGAAAACCTCCAGTGGCTCGTCACAGACAAACCGCTTCCCAGCACCTCATCATCACCCTCTGCCTCCGCTGTCGTAGCCGACGAGGCTACCGCCATCACGGCGGCAGCAGCAGCGGCGGCGGGGGGGGAGGGGGGCGTCGTGGTTCCGGCGGGGGTCGATCGGGCCTCGTTGGCATTTTTCCAGTACATTTGGGGGTCGCCCGGGGACCCGAAGGGGGTGAAGATCTCGCACGGCAATCTCGCGAGCAACTTGAGCGCGATCATCACGGAGCTCAAGGCTGGGGAAGGGACGGTGGGGGTGTCGTGGCTTCCGCAGGTGAGAAAAGGGGGGGGGGGGGGGGGTTATCTAGCATATCGGGTGTGCGGCGCAAGATTGTACGCCCACCACCCCGAGATGATGCCAACCCGGCGGTAACTAACATTTTTCGGGGCCACATGAGCCCAACACGTAGAGAAGTGCGCTCAGATCAAGTACTCGGGGCGAAATTGGAGGCCACATACCCCACAAAATTGCACACCCGGCGATGTTTTTTGCAAGAGGCGAAATGTTCGACACCACCGGGTGGTGTTGCCTTGTATCGCATCATTAGTAGGTACTTGCTTGTTTCTTGCGTTGATAATTTGGCCACTGACCACGCTTCAAATTTTGACAGAGCGCGTTTCCCCTTTCCTTGTGGAGACAATGCCCGGTTGGGGCGGCCTACCGTATTGCACATAGGAAGTCCTTGCTGTTAGCTTTCTTAGGGGGCAGGGGCGAATTCAGACCAGTCACACCGACCGCGATTCTAAGATTCTAAGTACGTGCCCCTTTTCGGGCAGTGTTCCACTAACGGCTTCCATGATTTGCGGGTACCGCCTTGTCAGTCTGCTTGATTGTCTGTCTCTCCCCCCCCCACCTTCTCTCTCTCTCTCTCTCTCCCCCCCCTTCTTACCCTTCCGCCGTCCATGTGCTCCCCGCCCCTCCCGTCCCGCTAGTACCACGACATGGGACTAATTGGGTCGGTGCTGGGTACCCTCTACTGCGGGGGCAGCGGCTACTACCTCTCCCCGCTGGACTTCGTCAGATCTCCGCCGACCTGGATAACGGCAGTAGATCGCTTCCGCGCCACGCATCTCCAGGCCCCTAACTTCGCTTTCGCCCTCACCGCCCGCAAATGGCAGGACCTCAGGACTAAGGTGAAGGGGGGAGGGGGGGGGGTGTACTCATAGTCGTGCATGCCGTAGTCGTTAGACCATTGACCTCGCATCCCTACAAAGCCGGGACGGAGCACGCCGGGTTCTCACCGGACCAGGCTCTCACATCACCAAGCGCGAAGCGCCGTGAGGTATTCGGCGAGTCGCATGAAGAGTGAGCTGCATCCTGCTAAGGGTATTCGGCATCTTGTGCTTACTTCCTTGCGTACGGATGACAGCTGCGTATGACTTAGTTTATTTTCTGGTGCTTTCACTTCCAGAGACAGTTGTAAGCACTGTGTAACTGCCTCAAGGACGCTTTACCAATTTCACACAATGTGGTGCAATCATCCCCCTTGCGCGGAGTGAGGGTTCTCCACCCCGCACAACATGATCTACTCGACCACCATTATGGTTACCGCCAAAAAAAAAACAGAGGTAAAAAAAAAACGGTAACCTGGTTGCCGAGTTCACGAAGTGAATTGGCTTGTTATACAACGTCGTTGCCAAGCGACGAAAACCCAATCCCGATGGCAAACACCGAGGGGGGGGGGAGGGGGGGGGGGCGTGCTGTCTAACGTGATCAAGATTGCCTTGCCGTTGACAATGATCCATCCTTGCTGTTCGCGTCGAAGGTCCGAACGCTCCTGCCGTTCGTAGGGACGCGCGGCCGGTGTGCGGGCGCTCAAGTGTCTTTGGCGTGTTTCCGAGGGGCTGTCACAAAGCCATCCCCGGTTCCTTTTCGGCTGAAGGGCGTCGGCGGCCGTGTGCCTGCCAGTCTTGCAGCGGGGGAGGGGAGGCCGGTGGCGGCGGCAGTGATGTCGATAGGGTTGATGAGACTGTCGGTGCAGGTGTTGCTGAAATTGGAGATGCCTTTTCCTAAGCGTCGAGGTTGGAGCTGATGTAGATTTCTTGTCTGACATGTTTGGCCCGACCGTAAGGGCTGCTGCCGGTTTTTCCTGAACTCGTTTCGTCTCCGCAGCCGGCGGTGGACCTGTCGTGTGTCGTCCACCTCATCAACGCGGCGGAGCCTATCGATGCCACCTCTCTCGACGCTTTCGAGGTAAGGGCTTCGCTTTCCCTACCTCGTTTTTGTTGTCGACTGACTTGTGATTTTCGTGCGGGGGTGGTGTGTTGTTTTCGTTTGCTGCCAAGGTACATGACGTCGAGGTGTGTGGAGAACAAAGAAAATCGATTAGTCGTCACCGTTATCTGCACGCTGGGCTGCCTCCTGCTCCACAACTTTGCTGCGATATTGAATTGTGGGCACCCACGGTACTGTTTATTCGGGGGGCAGGGTGGGAAGCGTGGACGCCACGTCCTCGCTCGCTGCCGCCGCAAGCACTGTGTACATTTGTAGGGAGCCACGCGTGCAGCAGTGCGCGAAGACGTGCGAAATGCTTTACATGCTGTACACACACGCGCAGAAAGATTCGTTCGAGATATCGACGAGATCGCATGACGACACCTCCCAAAGCAGCACCTTGTGGGCATTGCAATATTGTAGTCTAGTTTCAGCTACGACGGCCCTCTACCAACCAACAATCTGGCTTCAGGAAACCTTCCGACCGCTCGGGTTAGCGGACGACGTCATCAAGCCCACTTACGGGCTCGCAGAGCACACCGTTTTCGTCTGCAGCGGCGGGGTGCAGAGGATCACGGTGGACCGGAAGGCCCTCGAAGTGGACAAGCAGGTAACAAAATGTTTGGTTGGTCCCAGGCTGAGCTATTCTTGTTGTTGTTGTTGCCGTTGTCGTTGTTGTTGTTGCTGTTGCTGCTGCTGTGCTTGTTGTTGTTGCCTTGTTGCCGTTGCCGTTGCCGTTGCCATTGCTGATGGTGCTGCTGCTGTTGTTTTGGGGTAATTGTCTCCATGCGTTGCTTGTCTGGCCGATGACAAAAATTCACCTGGCTAACGTGTGACACCACAAGGGTGCGGAGAATGACATTGTTCCCCTAACCCGCACCCCTTGCAGCTTTCTGTCTCCGCCCCTCTCCCTGGATCCCTGGATATACATCAATTTATCCCTATATATACATCAATTTATCCCGGTCGTTCCCTCTTTTTGTGTACATATACATGTATCGCGTGTCTGAATACCCCACCAGGTGGTGCTGTCATCCCCAGGAGAGCCCGCTTCTCCTTCATCGTCCTCCTGTTCTTCTGCGTGGTGTAAGCTGGTCGGCTGCGGGTACCCGGCCCGTGTGCAGGGCCTCGACGTGCTGGTGGTCGAGCCCGCGACCGGCTGCCCGTTGCCCGAGGACAGAGTCGGAGAGGTGGGCCGAAAAGGGCGTATGCGCGAATGGGATTTGACGCATTCGCGTGTGTACAGCGTGCAGAGCATCATTTTCTTGTGCAACCGCTTCCTGTGGTTGCTGTTGCTGTTGCTGTTGCTGTCGTTGTTGCAGTTGTTCCGTAGCCTTGGGGGGGGGGTTTCTTCTGGCATAGAGTTATACTGTCGACAGAATAGAAGAGCCACGTGATGTCAGGTGTATTTTGGTTCACTTTTTTTCTCTTGTCTTGTCACAATCCCCCCTCAGGTTTGGCTGAGGTCGCTGTCCAAGGCCCAGGGATACTGGGGGCTCCCAGAGCGAAGCCGAGAGGCTTTCTGCGCCATGCCCTCCCTCACCGACCCCTCTAAGGCTAACTCCCCGAAGACGCCAGCCGACTCGAAGGCAGATTCAGAGGGGGGGGCACCGCAAGATGTCCCCGGTGCAGGCGGTGCTGGTGGCGACCTCGCGGACCATGGAGCAGGAGGCGGAGAGGAGGGACCGCTGGTAGAAGACGGTGCCGATGGTACCGGTGAGGAGCAGAAGGCTGCTGGGGAGACTGGAGAAGCGAAGGAGGGTGGTGGCGGGGATGCTGCAACAGCCGCGTCTGAACGCACCGCCGCTGCGGACAACGCTGCCGATGGCGACGGCGAGGCTGCTGATGACGTCACCGGTGGCGGTGGGAATAGTGACTACCACCCGGTGTCCACCCTGGAGTTGCATTCCGAGGCCGAAGAGAAGGTTGTGGGGGCGGGGGGTGCCGGGCTGGGTGATTGGTCTACGGGGTATCTAAGGACGGGGGACGAAGGGTTCATGCACCGGGGGGAGCTGTTCATCTGCGGGAGGATCAAGGACCTGGTAATCGTGGGCGGCCGCAACCACTACCCACAGGTGAGACACACGTCTCGGGGGCTTAAACCTCCTACTCCTTGGTGTGGTACGTGTATATGATGTGTCCTGCCGAAAAACAACAAATACAAAGTACAAGCAACAAGTTTTACCATCCCACAAGTGTTTCACTTTCTTCGTGTCTTGCCAGAAAGTTTCTAGCCCGAGGATCTGAAAAAGTATCAGCAACAGCAGCAGCAATCAGTATTCTTGTTGTTCGTTTACTGTTGTTCGACCACAAGAGGCTGAGAGAAAGAGAGAGAAAGAGGTGCGCGCACGCCTCGAACACACACGAGGCTGAGCGAGCACTTCGGCATGTTGGTTGTCTTGGGCGTATTGTTTGTGGAGGGTCGGAACGAACGCCCTCAGCGAAATCCCTATTTAGTGCGCGAGGCACGTCGTCAGTTTGGTCTTTGTACGAGCACCCCAGTAGAAAGCTCAAACGGTTAGCTTGGTAGTCTCTCAAGTACTTCACGCGGATTTTTCTTTGCGGAAGGTGTTCACTTTCTTGGAAATAGCGAACGCAAGCCGTTGGCAGCTTATTTCCATGGCAATTGCCGGTAGAGCCGCCCCCCGTGTGGTTGTGTCCATCTTGCTGTATGTAGTGCAACATTGTGGGCCAGGTGTTTTCTAGGCCCTCTCGTACTCGCTGGGAACCGCGTCGGTTGAATCGATGTCTCCAAGCTCATTGTCTAGTCGTCGAGCTCTCTCGGCTTGGTTAACAGACTGCTGTACCCCATTTGACTTCGACCACCTACCACCCCCTGCACCTTGTTTTGGCGACATGTCGTGCACGAGCAAACTATTATACTTTGTTCCTCATTCGGGTATTTGAAAACCCGACGGCGAATTGGTGACAGGATCTCGAAAGAACAGCGGAGCGAGGGCGCAACAAAGATATCCGCCCCGGCTGCAGCGCGGCGTTTAGCGTGCCTGGCGAGGACGGGGGGGAGCTACTCGTCATCACGGCGGAGCTCAGAGAGGCACAGGTATCGTCGTCGTCGTCGTTGTCGTTGTCGTTGTCGTTGACTCGTGCTGTTGACGGTGTCGTTGGTGTTGTGTCACATCCTCTCTTTTACCTTACCCAACATACTCCGAATACTACCTGTCAGCCAGACTGGCTGGCGAATCACCGGATTTTGCGGGGTCACAGCATTGTAGACCTATCGAAAACACAGCGTCCACCCCCACACATTGGAAAAAGGATATAGATAGCCTTGGATGGATCCCGACAGACAGTGGTAAAGGTAGTGCCAAGCGAAGAAGAGAGTGCTGGGCTCTTGGGACACCGCACGCTATTTCTGTTGATGGAAAGAGAAATACACATGGCCTATGTCGTCAATACGGACGGTACAATGCGCTGATGCCACTTCCGCTTGCTGCACCCCCCTGCGCAATTCGAACCGGCGGCACGTCGAACACCTCGTTTTCCATCTTTCGATCTCCTCTTGGCCTGTGAGCAATCCCTATGCGGGGCCAACGCTGCCAAGGCTACGTATTTGCATCGCACTCGTTGCAAGATCATACCGAAAGCGTTTTTGTACATGTCAGGAAGTTATATATATATATATTTATTTTGCAGCAGCAGCAGTTGTTCTCTTGTCTCTTGACATTCGTGGTGTCCTGGTTCAGGTGAAGGTTTCGGAAGAGAGGCGGCGGCAGCTAGGGGAAGAGATACGCGCCGCCGTCGTCAGCGAGCACGGTGTCGACGTTCACCATCTGGTGAGTGAGAAAAGGACAAGTCCGCCTTACAAGTACGGCAGCCATGCTCGTGTCTTTTTGTGTGCATGTGTCTTCGTCTCGTGTATGCTGGGCTCCAGTGGCACACCTTTTTTCGGAATAATTTTTGACGCCTTGAGCAGGGGTCATGCAGGACTGGGGTATGCATATGACGGAGCTCTTTCTTTTCATCATGCAAAATGTTCAGCTTTGGACACGAAACGGCCCTGACACGAAACGGATTTCAGCAAAGCGTGTTGAAATGAGCCAAACACGGACGGCCCCGAGGACACTCCCCGTCTGGTCTCGTATTTGATACGTACGTACACAGAGGATTTTTTTTGTGTGTGACCCCGTGCCGAGGCTCGCGAGTTACATTTTTTTTACGTTAGGAGGACAAGGCCGCTGCGTAGGCACATTCAAATTTAAATAAAATGAGAAAAGACAAGTGTAAAACAGGTAGGTATGACACAAATTTCGGGAGGCAACTCTGGCGGATCCACGTGATTGGATTCGTTTTCAGCGTACCACCGTGGGGGTGCTTGGATTCCCCCCTGCTGTCTCCTACGCTTGCTCCCCTTGACACCTTTCCAAGCCGTCAGCTCTCGCGCTTACCGTTGCTTCATGCACGGTGCCAATGCGCTTACACGCTTCGGGCGTGGTGCTGAGTAATTGTTTCGTGTTGTTCCTCCATGCAAGAACGACAAATGTTTTTGTGACCCATGTATCGTTTTCGTGCCGTACCTTTCCGCTGCTGTGCACCCCTCGCACCGCACACAGCTGCTGCTGGCACCGCGTGCGAACGTCAAGACGACGTCGGGCAAGATCGCGCGGCAGTGGTGTCGACGGGCCTTCCTCCAAGCCAAGATGAAGCCTCTCGTGCACCTCAAGAGCGCCAAGGTCGATGACAGCAACGGCGGTCCTGGGGCTTCCGGCGGCGAGGAGAGAATGGAGGCCGGCGCAAGCAGCGTCATCCCGGCAACAGCAGCAGCAGCAGCAGCAACAGCAGCGACAGGAGGAAGAGTTGTCAGCGGGGTGGCGGGTGCAGGCGTGGAGGGCGCGACTTCTGACGCAGCACAGGTTACCGAAACAATCTACTTCTATTTATTGCCTGCTGGCGTTCTCCGCTTGTCTCTTCATCGCTGATGTCGCCTTGACTCCCGATCCAATCCAATCATTCTTTACCTCCTTCACCATCCCAGTCCTCGGCAGTGAGATAGCTTCTATCACGCGCTATTCCTCCTCCGCCAGCCAGTCCGCAGTAGTGAGATAGCTTCTCTCATGCACTGGCCTTTCCACCGAACCGCGCCTCGCATCCCCCACGTTGACATATCCCCGAGGGTCAGGCCGGATGCCGTACGCCCCCTTTCCTCTGAATCCGACGGTCGAACCCCCGACTGACAAGCTTATCTCTCTCTCTCTCTCTCTCCCTCCCTCTCTCCCTCCCTCTCTCCCTCTCTCTCTCCTCTCTCTCTCTCTCTCTCTCTCTCTCTCGCTCTCGCTGAACTCCCTTGTGCAGGCTCCACACCCCACCGTGGACCCCTCCTCGCTGGGCGACGAGGAGCTCTTGAGCCGTGTACAGGAGGCGGTGACGAAGGTGGGGGGCGGTGCGCTGCCCGACCCCGACGTGCCGTTCTACACGCTCGGGCTGTCCTCGATGACCGCTGCGCAGTTCAGCGGTCTCCTAGAGCAGGTAAGCTTTTCGAGAGACAATCGAGTTGGCGGGATCAGCGGGTGTAGAGGGAAGGCAGGCGTGTTGTGAAGTCACGGGGAATGGTTCGCGCTCCGCACCGACCCCCCCGGGCCGCCGCGCTGTGGCAGGCCAATCGTTGGGGCTCTCCTGTGAGATTGCGGCGCCTTGCGGTGCAATACAACGGCTCTTTCTTGAACACGCGCAAGAATGAAAAGGGGCTGGAGTTCCGGAAGGCGACCTTTTCCCGAGTGCGTCACCTTCTCTGCTTCGGACGTTTTCTTCGCCAGGCGTGTTCTTTCGCGAAGCCTTTTTTTGCGCTTTTACCCAGCGTCGCCTGGCGGTGTGGTCTGATCTGGTCTGATCTGGTCTCGCCTGGCCCTCTTCGTACGTTGTGCTTGGCTTTTCGCTTGTTGTGCGGATCATCACAGGAATACGGCGCACATGTTCCCCTCTCAGTCTTGGACGCCGATACCACCACGCTCAGATCCTTGGTTCCCATAATCAAGGCCGAGGGAAGGGGGGAGGGGGCGCCGGCGACAGGGCCGAGCGGTCAAGGGGCTGTGACGGCAGCAGGAGGGGCGGCGGTGGCTGGGGTCGCCTCGTCACAAACCATGGTCCGCGAGCCGACCGGAAAGTGAGTCTAGTCTTCTCGCGCCGCGTGTCCCTTTGTCTCTTGGTTGTTGTTGACGGCTGTGTTTATTGCTGTGGGAAGTATTCGAGTTGCATACCGACGTTCATGGGGTCAGGACTCATCCTGTCTGCTCGCTGTCTTGCCCGTGCACCTGCATGTTTGTTTATTATCGCCGACCATGCTAGCCGACTGACCCATGAAATGGCTCTAGCCTCGGTGCCGCTACAAACGGAAACGCACGTCATTGCTCATGATCTCTCTCTGTCTCGCTCTCTGTATTTTTGTGTGTGAATGTCGTGCATCTTCGCGGTTCTGCGGGCCGTGTCGTCTTTGTGTGTGCTTCAGGCCCTTGGTGTTTTAGTTCTGCGCTACTGTCTGCTGCGGATGTAGCTTGGTTTGGTCAGTCTTCCGAACGCCGGGTGTCTCTCTTTGCTTCCCGTACCGCTTGCCTGGCACGGCGCTGCCAGCCACCACCGAGCCGACTCACTCCCAAGAGCACCTCTGACTACGTGTTGCCCCAGCGAGTGGACTTGCTGATGCGTACCCCCTCCCTCCCGTCCCTCCCCTGTCGGTGGTGTTGTCCGCCAGGTGCGAGGATACCATCACAAACAGCTGCCCGTGCTGCTTGTGCTTGCTCTCATGCCCCTGTTGCATGTAGTTTTGTCGGGAAAGCGCAATCGCTTCGTGTTTTCGCAATCCCACTTGTGCCGTTCTGTCCTCCCTCTCCCCCCCTTGAAGGCAGAGCTCCATAACATTGATTGAGCGCCATTCTTAGTTTGCGTTTGGGAGGGATCCGTTTTGGGGTGTGCATGTTTTGGCGCGGTGTTGCATGGAGCGCGGCCAGTTGCTGGGGTCGTTCCCCCTGTATATTGTTCGGTGTTCGAAATTCCTACCATGTTTGACAAGGAAGATTTGATCGAGAGGGGCGGCAACGGGTACGAGATGTATGTAGACGAGGCAGCAAAGTCACGCGGAAGAGCATCATCGAGACATAGCCTCATAGAGATTCGACTGAACCTTGGATGTTTGGATAGGAAACGCCAGGTGTTTCAACCAGTTCGGTTGGATCTGCTTTAGCAGTTAGTTCTCCACGCTGAGGACGGAATGAAGAGGGCTCATTCCTGATCAGAACGAGGCCCGAGTCCGGGCCACGGGGTAGTGTTTCGCAAGAGGGTGAGGGGGGTAGGCGGGAGACTCCCCTCTGAGTTCCGCAGAAGCGGGATATGCCTTACTTAGTTTGACGGTCAGTGTAGGCTTTAAGGATCCAAACGAGAACATGCCGAATCAATCCGAGACTCGACCCAGCTGTCTCGTGCTTGTCGACAACAGTGAGATGTAGTTCATTTCACAAACCCGTGTAGCTTCTCTGCTCGTCGGGGAAGGTACGGTGTGCACACATCCCATTTTTAGGCTAACGTTTCGGGTTGAGCCGCAAAGTTCCTGCCTCCGTCAAGCAGCGAGGCAGTGAGGGCCAGGTTTTTCGGGATCGTCGTAAAATTTCTGTTGCACCGTTAGCAGCGGGCCCGCATTTTGTCGAGCCCGGCGCTGCGACAGAGCGATTGCCCAGAAGAAGCGGTTGGATTTGCTGTTGGCCGTCAACATGTCGGCCAGAAAGTACGTACACCACAGGAATGGTGGACGCATACGAAAGAACGGCCAGCCTGATACGAACCACGTAGTGTAGGTAATCCATCTTTGCAAAGGACAACCGTCCGCTCCCAACCCTGAACCGTTTTCGGAGGCACGACTTGATTGGAAATAAATGCGCAGTTCATCTGGCGGCAAAACCATACGCTAGCACTGAGAGGACGCCGGAGAAGTCCAGCCGTCCGAATGAGTTTGGTATTTTTCCCATCGCAAGCACCGAAAGCATAGCAAAGATGAGCACCAGACTGGGAACCGTACCCGCACCTTGATATTCGTCCACGTCGCCTACTGTACTCCCCTCTCGTCAACGGGCGGTCAGAGACCAAGACCGGCTCCTTTCCGCTCTTTCGGGTGAGGTGGCAATGTTGAACACCAGAAACGAATGCAACCTCTGCCCAGACGGGAAGCCAAAAACATGAATACTGGCTAATATTCAATTGCTAGCAATCGCCGTGTTGGCATCAATAACAACATACCTGCAACACCCCCTCTTTTCGGATTTCAACACTGTTCGGCAACGAAGCTCAGCGGGCATCGCCGAAATACTGCCAGCTTCTACGGGCGAAGTACTCTATTTAGAATCACGAACGTCGTAACTCCTGATACTCGAAACGACCAACCGCCGTGCTGGCATCCATAACAACCATCTGGGAGCTCTGATGCCCGCTCTCTTCGCGCGTTCAACACCGCCTTTCTATTGCGACACACAGTTTCGCGGCCATTGTCAAACTACTGCCATTCTCTCACAATCGCTTCGAACCCCTACGACAAAGCACTCGACCAGCACGAACGTCCACGCTACTGCTGATGTTATTGGAATGACCAAACCTACCGAGGCGCTCTCACTGTTGAGCGTGTGTGTCCCGCCCTGCTGACCAAGATTTCCTTGTTCACTAAACCCAACGTTCCCCTCTCCGCCTTGCCAGACAAAAAGCCTTGCACAGGTACTACGAGGTTTCTCCTCTCGCTTGAGAGGCCAAGAATTCCGTGTTCGCGAACAGGATTACCTTCTGGTTCGGGTTGACCGTGACGACGGAAACGCCCACGGCAGGGGATGCTTCGTCTCCGTCCCCTCCCCCCAACGCCAAGCCTCCTTTTCCGGCAAGTTCAAGTCCCACCTCCTCCAGATCGGCATTCGGAATATTCACCTGAGCAACACGGGGGAACCAAAGCCGAGCGGATGATATCACGTCAATGTGGTGATCCGACGTTACAGTGCTGTTCGCATCTCCGCGTTCATTGTCCAAGGTGGCTGATTCCTCTGGGGAGCGGAACGGTACAAAAGCCTGTAACGTACCTTGACCTTGACCAAGGTGTGTGCGGCGATCAAGGAGTTGAGCGATCGCACGTGACTCGGCTTTATCCCGCCTTTCCCCACGCTGATGAGCTGCTTCTTCACTCTCATCCATAGCTCCTGCGACGGACACACATTGCGAAGCAAATACATCGTTAGTGCACTTGCGCTCGGGTCTAGGTTCGTTTTCGGCATCTGCTACAAGTATCGCCTTTGAGGAACATGTGAGTCCACAGTTATTTCCGTTTTGATTTCTACAAGTGTGTACCATTTTCTTGGTGGTTGGACTGTGGCACCGGAAGGCGTCCGAGTCAGTTGGACCGGTACGGATGTCAGAAGGTACTGAACAGAGACCGGAACGCGATTGTCTTGTGAACACAACAATACGACAGCTTGAGGCAAGGGCGGCTGAAACCTTCTCGTGTGGAGAAGTCAAGGAAGCATCGCAGAAATCCTGGACAATCCCAGATCGTACCTCCTCTGCAAAAGAGGAAGGGCCTATGATCAGGAACGTACTTGTACGAAATAGCGAGCGGCATGAACTGCTGTGCCGTGATGTACACAGCGGTATGCATGGTTGTTGTTGTAGTTGCCCTCACATTAAAGAACCGTTCCGATCTCTCTGCTCAGTACCTTCATCTGTCCGTACTGATCGAACATTTGACCGAGCGACTCACGTGGTCACAGGCACACTTGCCTACAAGTATACTAAAACAAATGTACCCGAAGGTTCTGCTCCGCAAGCCAATTTGTGGGTCTGAAAAATAAGTAACATGATGGCATATAATCTAAAACGGAAGAGTACATCTGTACAGCAGAAGTCTTGGGCATACTACGTGTGGGAGAGGATGCGATGCTACTGTACGGTACAGCAGTAGACCTATCGGAACTTCGCACGTCATTTCCCATCGGCCACCACCTTCCCGCACTATTGAATTAAGTTCAGTACCCAGCCGGTTTTCCTCCACTCACTGAAAAGACTCCACCACACCCCGTTCGACTGTGGGTATACCTCGAACCGTTACAGAGTAGTCCTCTTGTGTGTTGTATTTTCCTGATACAACATTCGTACGGAGATCACTAACGCTGTCTACAGCAGTGTTCTCCAGTACATGTACTGGTTGTAGTCTACATACAGAGCCCAGATTTTACAACACATCGTTGCGCCGACCATGCCGTCATGTGCGACCCACCTCAACCGTTTTCTCTGCCAGATCGAATTCTGGCACTGCAGCAGCAGACACCTCACCCCCGGCATTCATCCCAACAGCTAAACACCCTCTGCGTCTTGCTTGTCCTCCCATATCTCGGGACAAGCAGGTACTGGCGGACGGCCGCATGGCGCTGAAGGCAGCTATGTCGCCGCGGCCCACCGCTCCTTGCCGGATCGAACCAATAACATGCTCAGCCAAATGTAGCCCCTGCACATGATAATCTGCGGGGCAGGCGGCGAGCACCAGCACCAGCGCAACGCGTGTTGCTTGGTTGAACATCGTGGTGCTCTTGTGCGACGCGGAGGAAGCTGACGAGTGGTTCGGTGCGGCGCGATTCCCGATGTGGTGAGAATGGGTTTCAGTCTAGTTCTCGAGGCGTTATTTTTGACTCAGAGTAACTGTCGGATTATCTTCTGTTCTGGACCGTCGGTGTGTGTAGGGTACTGACGACTGTGTATACGACAGGACCGACCGGTTAGACCAGCAGATACGACTAAGGGGGCAGCTGTAGCGTACAGTGATGACCTAGGGCTAGTTCTCAGCAGGAAGTACAGCAAATAGTTGCAAGTGTACAGCCATAGGTCCAAGTTGAGCCAATCAGAGAGGCAAGAAGATGAGATATTACATGGGTGACGTGTGTCGTTGTATAACGGATGACCTTTGAGGTACGACCGTCCGGAAGCTTGGCTCCGTTAAGCCTCGCACACCAGATCACCCTTGCTTCGTACCCTCAGTTCGCCGTACAGAACTTTGAACAAGCTTGAGTCAACAACGAGTCCACAAGAGACGAACTGCTGCGGCAGGGCACACACAAAGCCACGCTTGAACGCAAGTGCAACACACGTCCAAGCTAGAACCTGCAGAACTGCAGAACTAAAGAGGCGGTATCAGTTCTCCTCACAGTGGCGTCATCGGCATCAAGCTTGAGACGAGCTTGCTTCCGCGTGGACGGCTGTGTGCCGTCTTCCGAGTAGCGTCCTCCGCGTCGCGAAGACGCCGAAGCGCTCGGAGCCGCGAGCCGCTCGGCCCACGGGTCGGCACCGCGTGCGTCGTCGCGTCGCCGCTGTAGCCGGAGCGCGCCGCTCTCCGCCGTGTCGCGAGCACCGTGTCGCGTCTGCGTTCGTCCGCAGCGTCGCCGCTGCGTCCGACGGGCGGCACGCGTGTGGCCACCCTTGGGGGGGTTGCCGCATCGTCTCCCACGAGTGAGGGGCCGTTCGAGGACCTCGTCAGTCAGCAGGGTTCGCCGACGCCGCACGGGTGGTCGGTGAGGGCTGTGCGAGCATCGCCGCGGTCGGAGCTGCTCGCTGCTGTCCTGTTCGCATTCGCCGGGGAGGTGCGTGCTGGGCCGTGTCATCGGGGTCGCGTGCGTAACGGACGTCGCGTCGGGCGGGTGTCGGGTGTGTCCGTATCCGTCGCTGTGGGCCGCGTTCGTCGAAGGCGCGTGTGAGCCTTGCGTCTCGAGAGCGAGCGGTCGGCGAGATGAGCGCTGCTGGGTCTGTCGGGGGATCGGCTGCGTCGTCGCCTCCGCCTTCCGGGTCGTCCTCCCCTCAGCGGGGTGCGTCAGGTGGGTACCGTGTGTCGCAACGTGTGCGTCAGGGGCCGGTAACTAGGTCGCAGTCGGGTCGAACCCCTCAGCGGGGTACGACGGGTAGGTCTCGAACGTCTCCGCGCGTGCGTAGTGGGCCGGTCACGCGGTCGCAGTCGCATCGGTCCGGGCGACGGACGACTTTGAGTGAGTACATGCCGCGTCGCGTGGTGCCGTCCTCGCCACCCACCCGTGCTCCTGCACGCTCGTCGCGTCACCTTTCGTCCCGTGTCGCTGATTCGCGCTCTTATGCGTCGGTCTTGTCAGGCTCTGACTCCGAGGAAGGCGCTCTGGTGGGCGCGCCTGCAGCGGCGGCGTCGCCAGTCTCGGAGGCCCCGTCGGCGGCTGCGGACAACTCCTCGGAGGCTGCCGGTGCCTCCTGCGAGGATGCGGATTTCGATGACCTCGCCAACGCCATCGTCGCGGCCTCTGCGGAGGCGGCGGCCAGCGGGTTAGAGCTGGCCGATCAGGTGGCCGAGGCGGCCAGCCCCCGGGCTTCACAGGGCGCTGCCGTGTTGGAACATCAGGGGTCTGGGTACCTCGACGCTCCGGTGAGTCGGCGTCCTGTCGGTTCTGATTCCGTATCGCTTGTTTCCGGGTTAGTCGGGAGCTGGTCGGAAGAGCACCGGGAGCGGCTGCTCGCGGAGTTGCTGCGTGACCGCCGCCGCTCCTTGTCCCCCGTGGTGAGTGACCCGGATTTGCCGGCCACTCTCCGTCTGGTGCGGTCTCTCAGCGAGTCGGACGACGCTGAGGACCCGCGCCTGGCCGCTTCGCTTGCGCCCGCCCGGGACCTGCAAGCGGCGGATGATGCGCTCGTAGGGCACTCGCAAGCGGTGGTGCGCCGTGCGGGTCGGGGTAAGTCGGATAGTGTGTTCCGTAGCTCCGCACAAAGGGTGGCGCGCCGCCAGCCTTCGCGTGCTCCCGCGCCGACTATGACCACCAATCGTTATTTCCCGTTGTCGGCGGACGCTTCCTCGCAGGGGTCTGATGCCGGTTAGTCCGGTGAGGCTTCGCCCGCTTCCGACGTGGCTGCGGCTCAAGCCGGTCTTCGGGCGGCGCAGGAGCGCCTCCGACAGGCACAGCGCCAGGCTGAGCCTTCCACTCCGGTTGGGTCGTCGGTTGACCGCGTGCCCGCGGCTGGCGTGGTCGGTGCCTCCGAGGCTCGTCGGGCCGCGTCGCCTTCGCCGGTCAGCGGAAAAACAGTACGTCGGCCGCCGACGATTGAGGGCTTCGCCGCCCAGCAAGCGGTGGAAGCCGCGAAAGCGGCACGGAAGGCGGCTGCCGCGGATTTAGATATGCGGCGCCGTCTCGAGGAGGCCGCGTCTGCCCGGGCGGCCGAAGCGCAACGGGATGTTGTCGCTGAAAAGCCTAAGACTCTCGCGGCGCGGCGCGAGAACGCGGAATTGGTGCGCGCACAGAGCGAGGCTTGCGAGCGCAGGGTGGCGGAGCTCCGCCGCGAGCAGCAGGCGCTCGAGATCCTAGAGGCCCAAGGACGGCAGCTCGTGATCGATGCCAACGTCGTGCGGGGAGAGCGGGAGAGGATCTTCCGGCGTGCGGACGAGCGGGCTCGCCAGCGCCGCGCGGAGAGGGAGGCGGCCGAGCGCCGGGTCTGGGAGGTCCGCGGCGAGGGCCACGCGACTGCTGTGCGGGCCGAGTCCGTCCTCCGTGAGGAGGGGCGTTCTATGCGGCCGGTGTCGCAGCTGAAAGACCCGCAGGAGGCGCGGCGTATTGTAGACAAGCTGGAGGCCCGGAAAGCTAAGGACGTCGCAGTGCTGCAGCGTGTCTCCGCGGAGGACGTGGCAAAGGTTACCGAGGTCGCTAAATCTCGGTTCCGACGTGCGGTTCCCGATGCATTCCCCGTCGCTGGTCCTGCTGCTGCTTGTGCCGCCGACACGGCGGAAGCGTCCGATCCCCTGTCTGCCGAAATGCAGGAGGCCGTGCGCTTGTCCAAGGAGGCCCGGATGCTGGTGGTAGCGGACCCGACGCAGTCCTTCGAGCAGGCTATAGCATCGCTCATGGCTGCCCGGACTCTCGTGGGGCAGGGTGGCAAGCGCAAGGCTTGGGACTCCGAGTCCGGGGACGGTCGTGCTCACGGAGGTGGCGAAAATCGCGGGGGTCCTGGACACCAACGCGGTCAGGGTCGCGGCCGCACCCAAGGACGGGGAGGGCCGTTCCGCGGAGGTGGTTCCGACTCCAGCGGGAGCCAGTCCGGCCGTGGTTCGGGCCATTCGTGGAAAAAGCGCGGCGGTGGACGTCCTTGACAGGTACGGTGCAGAGGATGGTTGTGATAGTGAGGATGGCTCCGAGGTGCCGGTCCTGTCGTGTAGACCGGAAGGGGATTCTCCCGCGGTGGTGCCAGAGGCTATCGAAACGTCCTTTCCGGTTGCTCTTGGAAGTGGGTCAGAGGCTGTCAAACTTCGGTCCAATCCTACCGTAAAACCTGAACCCAAACCCACGCTGGTCAAACGCGAGCCTGTCACACCTGTCGTTCCTTCCGCCGAGGGGGCGCGGTCGGCTCCCACTCCTGTCAAAAACGACCCTGTCAACACAGAACACGTTAATGCTATTAGGGAAAGTTTGCGGTAATGGCCACCAAGAACCTGATGACTATGCCGTTGACCCCGTTGCAGAACGGCGATGATGTAGTGGAACTCGTCCAACTTTCCACGGCCATCACCAACTCAGTCGAGCAAATTCGCGCCAGTACGCAAGACTTCGACTCGGACCACTGGGTTCGGGGATGGGAAAAGGTCTTAGAGCGTCACCTCATTAACTCCGTTCGAAAAAACCATGCAAAATCTGCGGCTACCAAACAGGTCCTAGTGGCGGCGGTCAACCAGTCCGTCAGGGCGATGGACGCCGGCATGAGTGGGCCGGACGCTCTCCAACTGCTGCGGCAGAGCACACACAAAGCCAAGCTTGAACGCAAGTGCAACACACGTCCAAGCTAGAACCTGCAGAACTGCAGAACTAAAGAGGCGGTATCATGTACGGGGTCAACGGCATAGTCATCAGGTTCTTGGTGGCCATTACCGCAAACTTTCCCTAATAGCATTAACGTGTTCTGTGTTGACAGGGTCGTTTTTGACAGGAGTGGGAGCCGACCGCGCCCCCTCGGCGGAAGGAACGACAGGTGTGACAGGCTCGCGTTTGACCAGCGTGGGTTTGGGTTCAGGTTTTACGGTAGGATTGGACCGAAGTTTGACAGCCTCTGACCCACTTCCAAGAGCAACCGGAAAGGACGTTTCGATAGCCTCTGGCACCACCGCGGGAGAATCCCCTTCCGGTCTACACGACAGGACCGGCACCTCGGAGCCATCCTCACTATCACAACCATCCTCTGCACCGTACCTGTCAAGGACGTCCACCGCCGCGCTTTTTCCACGAATGGCCCGAACCACGGCCGGACTGGCTCCCGCTGGAGTCGGAACCACCTCCGCGGAACGGCCCTCCCCGTCCTTGGGTGCGGCCGCGACCCTGACCGCGTTGGTGTCCAGGACCCCCGCGATTTTCGCCACCTCCGTGAGCACGACCGTCCCCGGACTCGGAGTCCCAAGCCTTGCGCTTGCCACCCTGCCCCACGAGAGTCCGGGCAGCCATGAGCGATGCTATAGCCTGCTCGAAGGACTGCGTCGGGTCCGCTACCACCAGCATCCGGGCCTCCTTGGACAAGCGCACGGCCTCCTGCATTTCGGCAGACAGGGGATCGGACGCTTCCGCCGTGTCGGCGGCACCAGCAGCAGCAGGACCAGCGACGGGGAATGCATCGGGAACCGCACGTCGGAACCGAGATAGCGACCTCGGTAACCTTTGCCACGTCCTCCGCGGAGACACGCTGCAGCACTGCGACGTCCTTAGCTTTCCGGGCCTCCAGCTTGTCTACAATACGCCGCGCCTCCTGCGGGTCTTTCAGCTGCGACACCGGCCGCATAGAACGCCCCTCCTCACGGAGGACGGACTCGGCCCGCACAGCAGTCGCGTGGCCCTCGCCGCGGACCTCCCAGACCCGGCGCTCGGCCGCCTCCCTCTCCGCGCGGCGCTGGCGAGCCCGCTCGTCCGCACGCCGGAAGATCCTCTCCCGCTCTCCCCGCACGACGTTGGCATCGATCACGAGCTGCCGTCCTTGGGCCTCTAGGATCTCGAGCGCCTGCTGCTCGCGGCGGAGCTCCGCCACCCTGCGCTCGCAAGCCTCGCTCTGTGCGCGCACCAATTCCGCGTTCTCGCGCCGCGCCGCGAGAGTCTTAGGCTTTTCAGCGACAACATCCCGTTGCGCTTCGGCCGCCCGGGCAGACGCGGCCTCCTCGAGACGGCGCCGCATATCTAAATCCGCGGCAGCCGCCTTCCGTGCCGCTTTCGCGGCTTCCACCGCTTGCTGGGCGGCGAAGCCCTCAATCGTCGGCGGCCGACGTACTGTTTTTCCGCTGACCGGCGAAGGCGACGCGGCCCGACGAGCCTCGGAGGCACCGACCACGCCAGCTGCGGGCCATCTGCGGTGGGCTGAGCACGGTGACACCGGCCCTAGTACTACAACAGCTACAGAACTTTGCGGTTCCGGCTGGCACGACCTTCAAAGCTTACCTGGAAGACCTGAAGGTGTTAGTCGAAAGTGTTCAGATGGTTGGTTTTGCGGAGGACGGTACGCTGCAGGTAGCGGTGAAGGCAGGTGTCACCGATCAGTTTGCCACGTTGACCGCTCCGGTGCATGGCAGGAACACGCAGGCTTTGCCCTATGACTCGCTATCGAGTCTCATGGAAGCTCTAGACGACATGACTAATAATACTACGACTGCAACAGCTTCTGTGCGCGTGCGGGGAGTGGGGTCTGTTGGGCCACGAGGGCAAGCGGGCATGACGGTTGGATCCCGAGGTCGATACGGCGGTGGTAGTTCGTTTTCTGGGGCCAAAAGTGGTTCCCTGACCCCGCAAGGTAGTGCGGGTGCGCGTGCGGTCATGACGGTGTCCCAGTTTGACGATGAGTCAAGAGAATTCTGGCAAGTGAGCCAAGTGATGCGCGGGACCAAAGGATTAGGACAAAACCATGATGACCCGCCCTTTTACGTGCAGTTCGAAAACAATCAAGCGCGTGACCGAGCTCGACGGGAGTTCGGCCGAAAGTGTCTCAATTGTGGTGTGGAAGAACCTTTCCACTTGGCACGAGAATGCCCCGAAAAACTCATGAATGTGTCGGGCTTGATACACCCCGACATCGCCGTGGGTGACCCTGCGACGGTGGAAAAAAATTGGCGCCGTTGGCAACAGAGGTTGTGTTCATGGTCGGACACCCAACGGAAGAAACGATTTAACCATGGGAATCGTAGTAGCGGATGACATGTCAACAACGACCCGGCCCACTTGTAGCAGAGCGGCCGAAAACGCACATTATGTCCCAAGACGTGCGTGTTGCTTTGGGAAACAGAAAGTTTGGAGTAAACAAGGAACCTCCAGTGAACCCAAAGATAGAAAATGAGAGATCCGTGTTGCACGCCACGAATCTTGAGACAAGCGGTAGCAACGGTGTTGATGTCGCGAACCCCGAGCACCACGCGAACGGAAGTAATTACCCCTTTCCAATGCCCGGAGGACCCACAAACGCGCCGAAGTGCACAACTCCTAGTTCTGATGTGACTACTGTTGAAGTTCCACGTTCTGTGCTGGAAGTTGGCCGTCCGAATGGTGACCAAGGTCGGAATAGGCCCCCGATGAAGGTTGACATTCGAAGCGGAAAGTCGCAAGGAACGCGAGGTTCTGATTTTTCGAGTGTAGCAGTCAAAGATACAACGCTCAAGTCGTCAATGTCCGTAGCTGCAGGGGTTATGAGTGGACCCCCTTCGTCCGGCCGGGCAAAGTCTGTACCCCCCATAGGTCAGGTCACTCGGGGTGGTTTTGCGAAAGGGCGAGCACGGCAGTTGTCCAAGGTGACCGGATTCCTAGGTCGAGGAACTCCGAGAACTGCCGGCTCAGCAGGTTCCCGCACGTCAATACTGAAGGCAAGTGATGACGTTGATTCTGCACAAACAAGTGTTCATCGTGAGGTAGATAAATGCGAAGACTGAAGGGAGAGCAATGCAGATTGGCAAAAATGCTGCTTGCTCAGCAGGAACCCTTTCGCCGATAATTGAACCTGATATCGGTGATGATGCTGCAGAGAGTGGTGGTGTTGATTCCACTGCGAAATATGAAGATAACATTTTCGCATTAAAATAACAAAAAGGAACGACTTGCCAAAAGCCCACATTATGGGAAGGTTTTTCCTCCTCCACGACCCTCTCTTAAACCGGGTAAACGAGCGGATTATTTGAAAGAATTTTCGCTCGTGGTAGGTGGTGATGTGACTTTGAACAGAAGCAATCACACCGCTGCAGTGTCCTTGTTTGCAGGATCTAAAGCGACCCAAACATTTGGATGTGAGGCATTGTTAGATACTGGAAGCCCTGCTTCTTTCATAAAAGAAACCACTGTGACCCAAATGCTAGCGTGTGGGGCAACATCTGATGATGGAATCCTAAAAGGAAACACATTGCAATGGGGTGGTTTCAATGGTGTTCCGCTAAAAACGTCAAAGCCCGTTAGGATAAATGTGCATATGTGGCGGGGTGGCCGATACGCACCACGCAATATTGGCGCTAGTACTGCATGCTTGGCAGTGTTCGCTAATATTGTTCCGGATAACGCTATGACGCATGCTGTTTTATTTGGTCGAGACAGTTGGGAAGATTTTCCCCAAAGAAAATACGTGGACGTCAGTGACGACGAAACCATAGTGACTTTCATGGGGTCCATTAAGGATTCGCCAGCGACGGATCCGGAGTTCGCCGCGTGGGTAAATGATGCGGTTAGCTGGGTGGAACCAAAATCTGATAAGAAAGTCATTGTGCGATATGCGGGTAGTCCCATGAGATGGCCTGATGCTCTATCCTGGTTAAGGTGGAACTGAAAAACTCAGATGGCACCGATGCTGATCAAGGCTCCTATTATGTCCGTTTTGCAAGTGGATGGTCCCCTCAGGAGGCTATCGTCGATGCTGGAACAACGGAGATCCCTTTCCACAGGACGGGTGAAGAATATTTCCTGGTCCGGAAGGGAATGCGATTGGGATCAGGGGGTGCCAAATTAGAGCTGGGGGTCTTGGAGGAACTACCGAGTTCTGAGCCAGACGTACACGTCGGGGCAGTCGAGGAAGATGTTCCTGACGGACAAGTCAAAGAAAGTGAGCGAGTTAAAGATCCGCCTGAAGATGTGTTGCGTGGGTTGGATGGTGACCAACAGCAAGCATTTAGGAATTTATGGGATAAAATTCCGGTGCATATGCAATCAATAAAATTTGATTTCGAGGCGAAATTGTGGACCTCTTCGGATATAGACGATCTTGCTGATTTACTGTGTAACGTGGAAGATAGATTTTCCAAACACCCTACAGACATGGCTTACGTTACGGTGGATCCCTTCCGAATTATATTGAAGAAGGATGCACAACCTGTCAAGCAAAGACCATATCGTCATTCGCCTGTAATCGCAGCCAAAGTGCAGTGCGAGATCGATCGTCTGTTGCTTGCGGAATATTGCGAAGGTCGTATTCCGATTGGTCTTCTCCGTTAGTTGTGGTGGCTAAAGCGAACGGAAAAATTCGTTTGACTTGCAATTACAAAAAGGTCAATCAGCAGTCTATTATCCCGGTGCTGCCCTTGCCTACGGTTGCAGATTTGTTGTCAGGCTTGGAGGGAGCTAAGGTTTTCGGTACGATGGACCTGATCTCTGGATTTTTCCAGTGCGCGATTCACCCTGATAGTATACCTATCACTGCGGTATGTACGACATTCGGGAATTATGAATGGACTCGATGCCCAATGGGATTAGCCAGTTCTCCTGGTTGGTTTCAAAGTATAATGTTGCGCGTGTGTGAAGGTCTTGAGAGGTGCAAGTTGTTCATTGACGACATTGTGATTTTCTCCAAAAGCGGAAAAGAACATGTGGTTGATATGAGACACTTCTTTGAGAGGTTGACCAGGTTTAACCTTAAGCTGGCACCGAAGAAAACTTGCCTGGGAGTTAAAGTGGTGAAGTTTCTTGGACATGAAGTTACAGCACAGGGTCTTAAGCCAGATCCCGCGAGGGTGGCTAGTCTGCACAAAATTCCAATGCCAACTACTGTTAGCCAGCTACGGTCACTCTTGGGTGGGCTGAGCTATTACAGAAGCTTCCTTCCAAACATGGCCGTTCACACTCGTCCACTAAACAACCTTTTGAAGAAGGGTGTCAAATTTGCTTTCAACCCTGAACATGTTGAAATAGTGCAACGTTTGATGGTAAAATTGTCTAGTCCAGATGTTTTAGCCTTTCCGAATTATCGTGATGCGATATCGGGAGCTCGGAAATTTCGGGTTATCACAGATGCGTCCCAGGATGGTTTGGGTGCAGTGATCGAACAGGATCAACCGGATGGTTCTACTCGACCTCTATGTTTCTTGAGCCGTTCTACGCTTGCTTCCCAATGAAAAGCAATGGACGCCAACGGAACTTGAGTGTGGTGCTTTAGTCTGGGCCATAAAGAAAAAATGACAATTTTTCTGCGGTATTCCTTTCGAAGTGGTCACAGATCATCAACCATTGTTAAATCTCGAGAGTCTTTCCTCCAAGGTTAACCGTGTTCAACGATGGTTTGATTCTTGTCCGCGTATACCTATACGTTGCACTACCGACCAGGGAAGAAAAACGGGAACGCTGATATGATGTCACGACTTCCGTTGCCAGCGACACCAGAAGACTCCAGTCCTGCACTTCGACTCAGTGATCCTGAGGACGTCGATGTGTATTTCTTGAGTTCACGTGGTGAGTTTCCTGAGTCGGAGCAAACTTGTTCGACCGTAGTGTCAAGCTTGGGTGGGCTCGCGGGGGATGGACCCCAAGTATTGTTTTCGGACGGAGAGAATAGGGAAGACAATAATATACCTGAGCCTACGGAAGACATGATGCCATTTGAAGAATGGGATAGCCAAGAAGCGAGGGATTTTGGGAAGAATCTCTGCAGGAAAAAGGCTATTGATTGGGCACAATCTCAGAAAAAAGATGCAACTTCCAGAACGGCAATCCTGTTATTACAGAAAGGGACCAAAATGTCTGAAGTTACTGAGGGTGACTTACTAAAAGGTGTGGACATTGAGGAAGTTAAAACACTATTGGCACAAGGTGAACTCTTGGAGTTAGCAGATGGACAGAAATTGTTGGTAAAAAGTTTAACCACAATGCCTGTTGATCGACCTAACAGGAATCCTGGAGAGTACGAGAGGTTACTTGGAGAAGAGCTTGTACGAACTTACGTGCCGATACTTCTGAGACCTTGGGTGATGGACTGTGCGCATCGGGAAGCTATTCATCTCGGTGAGAAAGTTACCCTTGCAATCCTGAAAAGGTTTTATTGGTGGGTTGGTCAAAGCCAAAGTGTCAAGTGGTGGTGCCGTGCTTGCTATGCATGCCAGGCTAGGAAGACACCTAGGCACACAAAAAGGTGGCCATTGGTATCATTACCCTTACCGAGTAGACCTGGTGAGATGGTGGCCTTTGATTTTTTAGGCCCTTTACCTAAAACTCAAAATGGAAAGCAGTATGTATTCCTGGTGGTGGACTTATTCAGCAGATACGCTGAAGCATATGCTTTGACCGCCGAAGAGAAGACAGGTCAAGGATGTTCTTCTGTGTTGGTGAATCAGTACATTCCTAGGTGGGAATGTCCTCATACGTTTTTATCTGACAGAGGTACAGAATTTACTGCCCCTGTTAGCAGAGCGGTTTACCGTATGCAGGGAACTGAAAAGATTTTCACTAGCGGTTATCATCCGCAATCAAATGGCATGGTGGAGAGGCTGAACCATACCCTTTGTCAGATGTTGTCTCACTTGATTTCAGATGATCAGAAAAATTGGGACGAGTTTTTGGGAATTGCTATTGCAGCCCATAACAACAATGTCAGCAGAGGAACGGGTTTGTCCCCCAACGAAGTGCATATAGGCCGATATACCAGATTACCCATGACAATTTCGGAAGGTCGTGGCGTGAAAGGTCACCAAAGCCTGAGGCAGGATCAATTGGATTACCTGAAGATGACGCGAGAGAGACAAATCAAGGCGTACCAATTGGTTAAAGAGGAGGACAGGTGGATAAAGGCAAAACATGAAAAGAAAAACGAAGCCCTAAAAGAGAAAATAGGGAATCGAAGACCAAAAATTGAGAAAAGAGATTGGGTGTGGCTGTACAATGAACAAAGTGTGGTTACTGGAGGAGGAAAACATGTTCTAAAGCCCCAAGATCTTAAATCGGGAGACCGAAAGTCCTTTGCTTTGTTGGCTAAATAAACTGGCTCATTGCTGGACGGGGCCATATAAAGTGTTATTTGTTGGAATACTTCTGTAGGATGTGTGTTAGAATAGATGCAGCTGTATGACTTTGCTTGCAATGAAACGTAGACGCGGTATAATAAGTGACGTTGGGAAGAATGTGACATGTAGCGACGAAAGTAGCGTGAGGAGTTCGTGAATGAATTGACTGTTGATCAGAGGATTGTAGTTGTAGCGAGGTCACGAGGTGTTGCGAGCCCCACCAGGCTCACTCCCCAACTATCCCTCAACATCTCATCTCTGCAAGTAAGCTGTGAAGTGAACACGACTGACAAGAAGCGCAAGTCCCACAAACGGCTTTTCGCAACAACCTCGACTTCGGTCACTGCCTCAACAGACTTTAGTCTGCACAGAATACGGTCTGAACATCACACAGACTTCTGTCTGGAACTGTACAACGGTTCAACCGCCTGCAGACGGTCCCTTGGGTAAACGGCACCTCGACACTACACATTTCTACAAGGGTTTGTTTGATGGGTTTGAATCTAAGAAGTATCAACGGCACAATGGGTTAATACCGATAGATAAGTGCGGGAGAACTCCCGATTGAAGGACGAAGGAGACACGAAATTGTAACCCGTTTCAAGTGCCTGGACCCCACCCCGTTGTCTCAGTTTACCCCAAAGCAAGGCGCAGCAAGTACTTCTGTTCCACAAGAGGTGGTACCAAGTGCGTTCATTCATCACGGATCTTCCAGATTGCACAGCGCGTGGCAATCCCTCTACATGCGTCAGGCTGCGTTGTTGATTGTTTCACTCCCGATTGGAGCGAGCCGCGACTCTATCGAATGCCAGATGACGACAAGCGAGAAAATCAGACCCAGTTGGATGACCATGTCTCCACATGACCTGTTCTCGTTCGAATCGACAAAATTCCGATCAGCCAGGCGATTGCTAGCGATGGCTACACAAATGAATTTGTTCATTACTAGATCAAAATGAAATGAAGTAGCCTTCAGCCCCGAACAACCGAATCGAACATGCATGAGGAAAAAATGCTTGTACGTATCGATCAAACGCAGAGAGCAAGTCCTGTGTATGTAGAACCAAGCACGCACGCATCAACCTCCACCACGACAGCACCCATGCACATCTGTGACAGGGAAGTCTGGGGGTTCACCCGTCAAATGATGGACTTTATGTACAAGAGTGACATTTCAACAACCAGGCATCACCCCTTGTCGCAAGCATCATCATTTCCAGCCAACCCGGCATACAGGTCGATCGTGGAAGGTGCGATGCAGCGTCCAGGTAGGCGACATGCATACGGTAAACGCGCGTTAGTCTCTACGTTACGATCGGCACTCATTCCAAATTGAAATGAGATACAACGATGAGCGCACGCAAGAACAATTTTTGAATAAACAGGCTGCAGGCCGCGTTTCATGAGAACTGACTCTGCCACTAAAGCCGATCGTCTCGACTGAAGCCGCCCGAAACGGCAAATTGTCAATGGATTGTCAAGACCCCAAACCACAGACATAACCTCCTTGCTACGTATGTTTATCTGGAATCAAAGACAGGACCCCCCTCGACGTTCAGAACTTGATGTTCAAGACAGATGGTACCGAGAGCATCAAACCATATAATTGACAACATAGCCAAAAGAAATTTTCAACCGAAACAGTGCGTTTGGAAAAAGTCGTTCGAAAACACGAAGAAGTTCCACCGATGGGCAAGGCCATTCTCCATTTTGATGGCCAGGGCGATTATACACACCACGTGGAGGATATCGGTGGTCGCACAAACCGCAGCAGATGTCCGACTTCGCCCACGGCAGTAGCTGCATACCGGCGGTGGTTGCTGTGTGCGTCTCCTACATCGTACCAGATCCCGTCCTTCTTCCCCTTCCCATCCTTCCCTACGGGATTTACTGCACACATCGAAAGTGTACCTACCTCAACAAACAGGCAACGGCAGGCGCGGCGTGGTTGTCAAAGAAACGCCAAGGTTTCGCGAAAGATGCCAACCTCGTCGGGACACTGTACGAGCCATTCCACAGCACAACGCAAGCTCTCGCAGACCTGGACCTTTCCTCCACCGTTGGGGCTACTGCTGTCCACCGCTGGTGTTTCCAGAGTGAAGGCGTGGCCTGATCGGCCTTCAATCGCCTCAGACGGCGCCGTGCCCCTCGGGGAAGCACCTGCCAAATCGATGTCTCCATGTACGGAAAGCTCGCAACCTCCGTCGTTGGCGTCCTCTTTCGTCTCGCTGTCGTGCGGGGTTGCGGTTTGATCGCCGAATTCTGATTCTACGAACGATGGCGGCCGTGAGGATGACCCCGCGGCAAGGGGATCGTGTGCGATTCGGTGGCGCATGAGGACGAGCCAACCACGGCGTTCCCACGCACTGGCCCTCCTCAGCATCTCTAGAATACGGTCAGCAACTGAGGTCTCGTTGGAGTTTAAAGTAGACGGCCGTCGCCTCAATCCCCAGCACCTATTTAACTGTCGCCTGTTGAGAACTGCCATGGCGACCACGTCGAACGGCGAAAGACCGCCATCGCAAAGCAACGTCACGCGGGCGTTGTACTGCAGCAGTAGCTTGACGGCACCCTCACAGTTGTGCAGACACGCCACGTGCAACGCAGAGCGACCTCTCGAATCCAACTGGTGCACGCTCGCGCCAGCTGAAATTAGGCGCTGCAGTGCTCCACACGAGTGGTGGTGGGCCGCAGCGTGGAGCGGGAGGATGTCCACCCGCTCGTTTCCAAGATCGGCTCCGGCAGCCAGAAGAAGGTCCATCATTCCTTCCTTGTTCTTGGCAGCGGCCAAGCACAGCGGAGAATTCCCAAAGGGTCCTTTCGTTTGATCATTGTGGCCGACGTTGTTCACGTCGGCCCCGACAGCCAGTAGGTCGCGGACGATCCCCAGGGCCTCGTCACGGTCGCTTGCAACCGCCGTGGCCAAAGGGGGTCTGCCGCGTCTAGATTGGAACTCCAGGGGAGCGCCCGCTTTGATCAGGGCCGCCACCATGCTCCGGCCACCTAAAAATGCGGCAATAGAAAGAATGGGGAGACTAGAGTATCCTGCATCGTCCACTTCCTGCACCTGCGAGAGAACGCTGTCAACCGCAAGGAGAGTAGACATGACCTCAACGCTCCCTCCTCTCACGGCACCCTCCACGAGGTCACGGACAAACCCCGACGGGAGCGGGAGGGCTCCATCAATCTCCAGGAGCGTTGACAGCACCTCCGTGTTGTGTCCCACTATCACGACGCGACGCAAGAGATTGATTATGTTGTGCTGATCACTCCAGATCTCTTCCGGGCAGAGAGGAAACAGCCTCTGGAACGCGATCGCGCTGCGGCCGGACGCGGAAACCTCCAACAACAAAAAAATCCATTGTCCCCATAATTCCTCCGACGCCAGCCGAACGAAGAGATCAAAAACGTCCGCTCCGTGTTGCTCGAGCAGAGTGGCGTCGTCGTAAGGTTCGAGAACAGCGTTCAGTTCACCACCAGTTTCCATTATGAGCGGCTCAATGAACCTCAAAAGCATCCCTAACCCAGCTTCCCTGCTGTCCCAGAAATCACGCCCACGATTGTCGCCGTCAATGCGCGCGAGCTCCTTCCACAGGCCCCGCGGCTGCCCCTTTCGGACCACCATTTCTGGCGTCGGCTGTAGTTTTCCGGGGGGGAAAGATAAATGGTGGTCGCCATACACGAAAAACAAATAGATGATTTTGTTGCCGCAAGCGTCGTGCCGATTAAACCGATGCCATTGGCGATCGTGGGTGTCCACCCTCAATGCACGCACGGCAATATCCTGCTGCTGAGGACAACGATCGAGGTGTCCTACCGGGATTGGAAAAAGTGGGGGGTGGGCGTTGCATTGTTCACCAATTCAACACAAACCTACCTTAGGACAAACCGAGCAATTTCGGGGGGAAGGATTCTCGGGCTGCTGGTTGGAGCAAATGGGGGCTAAATGTAAGGCGGGGGGTAGGGATAAGTCGAAACGGGGCAAAAACAAACAACGAAGTGCAGCGTATCGTGATACTAATTCCATATTCTAGTGCAAGACTCCGCTTCGGGAGTTTCGCGACTTGCCCCCTGGGGGCGACGCAATAGGGCATGGCCCATATTTTCACGGTTATATCGTTGCATCTCAACGTTCGGTAGTGCCGTGGTTTCCTTACAAACTGCAGAACTCACGCCATGTGCAGGAAATTTGGTTGTTTTCCATGTGACCTTTCGCGTGTTCATGAGTGTGTGCTTTTTGGGATAGCCGCTTCATTGCGACAGATCCTACCGCCGTAGCCCGCTCTTCTTGATCGGTCTCTCTCTCTTAGGTTTTCGTCCGCACTGCTCATGATGTGTGTACACGTGTGTTGCGCAGTTTTAGACACTTCCTGCTTGGATATGCGAACCAAGTCTGTTATTCCTTGCGCGAAGGTCATCATGGTTCGGGATGGCTCCCCGCAAAAAAAAGCCGTCGCGGCAACTTGAGGCGTCGATTGAACACGCCACAGATGCCGGGCGGTCCTCGAGCGTGCGCGGCAAATATTTTCAGGGCATATTGGATGGAAACGGCAACCCGCCGGGAAGCAGGACATGATATGAGCCCGGTATGCCACAAGCAGAGGCGACCTCGCAAGGCTTTGAAGAGTCAAGATGAGTAGCGATGTGGAGGCGTATGTCAGGTGATCGAGTACCTCTGGCTCGTTGATGTGGTGGATAGCAGCAGATCTGTTCGAACTGAGCGTGAGGGCCAGCTTGCGCATTCTGTCGTTTTTTATGGGTTTCAGTTTCGCTTCATCAGGCGTTGTCGCCGCGGAACGCGTCCCCGCGAAATAGAGTCACTTTTCGGGATTTTGGGCGCCGAGCACACGCGCCACGGACGCCTGTAGAGCTTCGGGCATTCGCGATAATGCACCGGTGCGCCTTCCTGCTCGCCCTTGAGAGGGAAACGCGAGAATAGGTTCGCTTCCGCCATAGCAAGAAGTGCCGGAACACGTCCTGATATGCGGGGGGCACGCGTGGTCGGCGGGGGACACGATGGCGACGGCGTACAAGCGAGGCGACGCAGCTCCCTCTGTGCCTTGTTCGTTTGAGGGTCTTGATTTCCTATGTCAACCGCTCCACGGATGTTGCTCGTGCTACCACTAACTATCCTCAATGGCAACAGAACCACGCACGTCTAGTTTGACCATCCTGGGGCAAGCGCGGATTTTCTGCCTCAACATCAATTCTAGAAAACGCCACGCAGTTCCCCATTCGAAGGGATGTGGTGAACAATTATTCCCAGTAGTGCTTCTTGCCGGGATCCGAACTCCCAACCTCTCCGCTAGATGTGCATAGCTTTCGTGATTTCAAGCCATTTCGTCTCGATTCAAGTTCATATGGCTCGCCTAGCATCACACTCTCAAAGATCGCCAACCCGATTGTTTCATACGCACCACCAGTTTCGTACCATGCGTTTCGGTTGGCCAATGTGCAAGTTGCGCCCCCTGGCGAGAAGTTGACTTGTGTAACTACCAGGTCCGGGTTAGTCCCGTTTAGAGTTCCGATAACTCTTGTGTCTCGAAAGATCGCCGGCGTGCCTCGTCGTGGAGGAAACATAGACGTAGAGAATCAGCAGCGAGACAAAGAGGCCAGCCCATCCCAAAAGCACGCACAATGGCACGTGTGCACAAGGGTACACACAGCAGCACTTATACCGCACCTACTCCTATGGTGTGGGGCAGATGCTCATTCCAGAACCAATGAACTGCCTATCGCTGTATCCAGACGGAAAATACCACGGCGGGTGGAAAAGCACCCTTCAACATGTGATCAACCCGGTCCCGCGTGCGCGAGAGAGCAGAGACGGCGCACGCCGGGGCCGATGCGAACAAGCAAAACGTCCTGCCTCGGCGTGGTTGCTATGATTGCGGTGTGTGGTTTGTTAGTGCACTGCCGCCCTCAGCGGTCTGTGGTGTTGAGACTGTGGGGACTATGTTATCCCAGGAACAGCAGATGAAAAAGGACCATGTATTGTATATATTCGTCACGCAAGCCCCTCAGGCAAGCTGGTATTCGACACGCAAGCCCCTCAGGCAAGTGCCGGGAGCACACCGCCGTGTGCTCCCGGGGGCCCCGCACTTGGACCACAACCGCACACATACCCTCACATCCATACTTCCCATACGCGTATCCCCCACAGAGGATGCACAGATCGGACTCATATCCAAGTACCACAAACAGCCCCCCTACTTGTTACGATGTACGATCTTGCAACCCTGCACGCGCAATCAGCCAATACAGAAAAAACACCCCTTGAGAAAACTTATTCAACAAAACTGGCTACGCATCCAACACAAAGCGTCTCCATCAGTTTATTCACGAATCCAAAGCGTTCGTCTCTGGAAATAATCTCAAACCGTTGACACAAAAGAATCATCCTCAGAAAAGTACCCAACAATTATTTGTGCTACATCAGAAAGGCGTCGGAACGAAAACGGACATTTCTGGAAGAAAACAACTTCCAAAAGAGTTGGCACCAAATCCTCAAACAAAACAAAACTCAACTTGTTGACCAATCAAAACGAGAATTCGGAAAGCGCAATGGCCCCAACCATTAATCGTCAAAACATGTCAAACCTCCAATATAGTGTCCGAGGACCAAATCCTGAACAGCGCGCACCCGCTAATCGGTGTTGTCCAAGAAACGATAGAAAATACAAGCTAGCATCCACGCAGCCCCCCTGCTGTCAGCTCCCAAAATTCACCCCGAGCTAATATCTCGATGTCAACAGTCCCCCCTGCTTTGCCGTTAACCTAAAACACAAGTAGACAAGGCCGGAAAACGAACCAATTCGATTGCTGCTCACGCCCTCTAGAATCATGGTCATACATGACATCCCCCCCCATGATTTTCGATGCAAGAGCAGCAAAACATGCGATACAAACCAAAAACATGAAAACACGTTACACACATGGCATCAAGGTCCGGAAAAAGTTCGTACCGTATGAAAACTGTCTTTGCAGCTGGAACTCCAAAAGCTACCCTGCTCCCTGAGCGGCATGCCTGCACGCACGTCAAACAACGCGCTATCATCCCATTTCTTGCGCGCGGCCAAAAACACACCCCAGAAAGCGACCACTTAACTCAGGACCTAACATAAAAAAAAAAAACACCCTAAGTGCAAAACGCGACTGAACGTACTCCCTCCAAAGAAGACGGAAATAGTATGAAGCATTCAGCTACAAGGTAAAACGCGACTGAAAATATACCAAGAAACAAGGAAAAAAAAAAAAAAAAACACGTGCTGCTTCCTATTCCACAGGTTGTGGCAATGCTTATCTTGTCGCAGCGTACATTTATTATCATGAAACCAGGTACAGAAAAAAAAAAACTACGCACACGCCGCACACCCCGTGGCACACGTATTTTCTGCATCAACGTGCACGGTGCGCTTGCAAGGGAAAAACAGAACAAAAAAAATAATACGAAGCCAAATGGCGAAGCTAAAACGTCCATGCCTGCTCACAAAACCGAACAAAGTCGTAAACGTTTCACATGATTTCCCACTTGCCTGTAACAAGGAGAGGTCGTCGCTGTCACCGTGTCCTCCCCGTTCCCGGTCGATTCGAGGGCGCCACCGCTGCTGCCGCCGCTGCCATCGCCGCCGATGCCGTTCCCCCGCCGCCACGACCGTCATGAGTTCCAGCGCCAAAACGGCTGCCGGTAACGTCGCTGCTGCCGCCTCTACCACCGCCGCCGTTGTCGCCGCTGCCGCCGACGGGGCTCTGGCCAAAACCGCCGCTGCCGTCTTTTGTTGCCGTCGGAGCTCTGGCCGAAGCCACCACTCCCGTCGCTGCTCCTGCTGCCGCCGGTGTCGCCGCCGGAGCTCTGGCCGAAGCCACCACTCCCGTCGCGGCTGCCGCCATTGCCGCCGTTGCCGCTGCCACTCCCGTTCCTGCCCCTATCGAAGGGGTACGCCACCCCTGGTACCGCCCCCCGTCTCCTCGCGCCACGCGAAGATGTCTTACCGGGGTCGAAGGGGTGCGTCGGAGCTCCACTCCAGGTTTCATCTAACCCCTCACCCCCGTTCCCATCACCGCCGCTTTCCTCGCTGCTGCTGCTGCTGCTGCTGCTGCTGCTGCTGCTGCTGCAGCAGCTCACTTCCTCCTCAGTCTTCCCGGGATCAAAAGGGTGCGTCGGGGCTCCACTCCAGGTTCCATGCAACCCCTCGTCCCCGCCCCCATCGCCGCCACTGTCCTCGCCGCTGTTGCTACAGCTGCCGCTGCTGCTGCTGCTGTTGCTGCTGCTGCTGCTGCTGCTGCTGCTGCGGCCGCCGCTGCTCCGGTCATCCGTCTCTCCACCATACTTCTCCTCTCCATCCACACGCACCTCCAGCGTAGAAAATCCTCCAGGGTCAAAAGGGTAAGACGCGCCCCTCTCGAAACCGCAGATGCCGTCGTCTCCGCCGCTGCTGCAGGTCAGGGTGCCCGAGGCCATCGCGGCGACCGCGGACGACGCTGCTGCTGCCGCCGCTGCCGCCCCCCCCGCCGCCGACGCCGCCGCCGCCACCGCTGCTGCGTCTGTCAAGGTGCCCGGGGCCATCGCGGCGACCGGGGACGACACGAAGTCGGTGCTGCTAGTGCTGTGGGTAGACGCGGCACTATCACCAACCCACCAGTCGGTACGCCCAGACGCCGACAGCAAAGTGGGGACAGGGGCCGGCGGATACGCCACAGGGTGACGGTGTTGGCAGAAAATGTGAAGAGCATTACGATCGGGGGGGGGACCTACCGGCTCTACGGTGCCGTACGAACCGGCATGACCATCCCCCCCTACTCCATCAACGCATCCACCCTCACCGCCACTGACCGGTGTATCCACGCCGGAAGCATCCCCCCACGCGTGGCCCTCCTTCTGTTGCAGCTGCTGCTGCGGCTCCTGCTGCCCATCACCCACAGAAAACCGGACCCCACTACGGCTCCACCCACCGAGCCAAGCTGCTTTTCCGGCTGCTGCTGCTGGGGCACACCACCATAGCCGCTGCCGCCAGAACCCTGCCATGGCTGCACACCTCCGCTGGAACCATCCTGATGCACCACGGCAAGGTGCTGCTGCGGAAGAGGCGCCGACACGGGCCAATGGTGCGCTATCGACCCGTCTACACAACTTGCCGAATACCCCGGCTCCGCGCTGTTGAGATGGGAGTACTGGGGGAAAGGCTGCTGCGAGAAAGGCAGGTAAGGTGGGGGCATGACGGCGTTGAGGTAGGGTACCTGAGACGTGTGGGCCGCCACGTGTTGGCGCGGCGGCTGCTGCAGATTGTTGGATGTGTTTAATTTGCAGTTGCGCGCCGTGTGGCCGGATTCACCACAAATAGAACACCTACCATAAAATCGCGTAGGAGCCTGGCAGATGATGGCCGTGTGCCTGACATGACCGCAGCGACCACACATGGGCACGGCGCACATCGGTGATCCCGGGGGAATGGGGGACGCCTCCTGCGGCCACGCTGCGTTCCGCCCGGGGTCCCTGGGGCCACCCGGAACGAAGCCCATCGCCATCGCGGCATTGAACTGCTGGGGCTGCTGCTGCTGCTGGGGCTGCTGCTGCTGAAACGACTACTGCGGAAAATGCTGAGGGAATCTCCGTTGATACTGGTGCTGCGGCGCCTGCTGCTGAAACGACTGTTGGGGCTGCTGCTGCTGCGGGCGATAGCCCCCGTTGTACTCTCCCTGAGTTCCTCCTCCCCACCCCGGCTGCTGCTGCCCATCTCTACCCTGTTGTCTGCCTTGGGAAAACCCACTGGTCCTCCGCTGCGGCGCCGCCGGCGCCGCCGCCGTTACCGTTGGGCCGCGAATTTCCGCCGAAACGGAGAGCGTGCGGGTCGCCAGGCGCGGCCGTCCGCTGCGCACGATCACCGAGATTTTTCTCAACGTGGTGGCTACGCACAAGAATCTCCAAGCTTCTGCGTGTGAGCGTGTGATCATGCATGAGCACGGTCTTGACCTGTTCGTAGTCTGCCGAGAGGCTTCTTTTTAGAGTCGCAAGGACCTCACTTTCCGGGATTTCATAACCGTTGACAGCGCGAAGCGTATTCAGCACTCTGTTAAACCTCAGAAAGTAGTCCTGCGGGTCCTCTCCGAGCTGCATCTTCATGTTGGCGAGAGACAACTTCAGGGCCTCCTTCTCAGAGCTACTCATCGGAAGACAAAACTCCTGGGCAGCCTCCCCTGCCCCCGACACATTCCCTACAGCAAGAATTGTCGATTGGAATTTCGCCCCCTTCGTGGCTCGCCTCAGATAATCGAACGCACGCTCATGATCACGCACACGCTTCTCACTGTGAACTCTGATGTTCTCGCTCCTGGAGGTGTGGATGAGCCAGATGCGTTGATCAGGACTCGCCGGCGGGGTGAGTGTGTGCCCAAGATCTTCGCCGGCGAGGAAGACCTCGAATATCTTCTTGAAGAGCGGGAAGTTGCCGTCGTACACTGGTGGCTTGCGGTCCCTGTACTGCTGTTGCACTGGACCATCTCGAAAAGAAGTAGCCGCTCCCCCGGCTCCAAAGGTGTCCGCCCCCCCGGCTGCTCCACCCCTATAATACCCCGACGCATACCCAGCGCCATCCAGCCTATCTCTAGTAGCGTCCCCCGCTGAAATCCGCTCCTCTGCCTCCTCATTTCTCCTCCGTAACTCCGCATTCTCGGCTGCCGCTTTCTTCATTCCTTCTTCTAACTCTCTTTCTCTTTCCGTCATCGCTGTACCAACACCTGGCCTAGCTAGGCTCCACGATATCGTGTTAGTGCACTGCCGCCCTCAGCGGTCTGTGGTGTTGAGACTGGGGACTATGTTATCCCAGGAACAGCAGATGAAAAAGGACCATGTATTGTATATATTCGTCACGCAAGCCCCTCAGGCAAGCTGGTATTCGACACGCAAGCCCCTCAGGCAAGTGCCGGGAGCACACCGCCGTGTGCTCCCGGGGGCCCCGCACTTGAACCACAACCGCACACATACCCTCATACCCATACTTCCCATACGCGTATCCCCCACAGAGGATGCACAGATCCGACTCATATCCAAGTACCACAAATATGGTTCCCAGTATTGGGAGTGAAATGAGGTGTGAAACAAGGTTGTTCGTCTGCTGTGTGAAATTTTTCATTCTGAGAAAGGGGTTTCGCTACTACAGTTCCTTAGCAGTTCCGATAAACCCTCTCTCATTTTATTTAGAACATCAGGCCATTTGTTTTAGGGTCTTTGGTCTTAAATTTGGCAGCCCAATCCGGTCCAACACTTGCTGAAAATGGACAGGATGGGCTGTCCAAAACGGGTCGTCTTTATTTCCCGGTCTTCTTTTGCAAAAGACTAAAGGCACCTTCTTTTGTAAAGACCAAAGGCACCGTAAGAAAGGGTTATTTGGCCAGTTGTCTTTCTTTTTGTGAACAAACAAAAAAGACAGCCAAAAATAGAAGTGTTTAATAGCCTCAGAATTGCATAATTTTCATGACTTTTACACTTTTGTGCAATGTGTAGTGGATGGTGGGCGATTTGTTGACTGAGCCAGTACACATATCGCAACTATCTGGCGCGTGTGTGAGGCGGTTTCCCTTCAACATTTTCGAATCTACTGTAGCGCTGCTAAGGTATGTGCTCGCCGTAACTATGTCGAGTGATAAAGCAGAGAAGATCCTTTGTGCCAACGGGTACTTCTTGCACAGGTGCATCCTCTGTGCGGATGGGTGCTCACAGAGAGAGGCCCGCTTACTGCTTTACACTACAAGCATACAGAATCTTTCTCTCTGCGTATGTACCTCGTACAGACTAGTCTGCCGCGTTCCCCATCCATGTGAGCCCAACACATGTACATATTTATCCTCACTGATGTATCATCCTTGCCGCCGTGAAGTCGTTTGTGTACACACATGCATGTACGATCTTGGAGCACAGATAGCCATTTGCGTGAAGCGAAATACGAAGTATTTACTGTAGTTACGTCAACCCGGTCTCGAAAAATTTAGATCGTGAAATAAGATACATACATGCTGTAGTTCCGCGCGATAGATGTCGGATTTCTGCATGTGAGATGCCTCGAACTAGCACTTTCTAGGCAGTTCAATGCCGGATGTGCCCCACCACCTAAATATTCGTACAATGTAGGGTTTCGAGGGCCCGCGGATCACGCAACCACGGGCATAATCCACAGCCCGAGCAGCTCTTCACTCCGGAACGTTCCGAGGAAATTTCCGCACGATTTCCGCACGTGCATATGATATGTGCACTAGCAGTATACCTTCCCCTAGCAGGGACCACATAACGGGAGCTCACGCTAAGTCGGGGTTCCACCCTCTGGACTTCATCATTATCCAGTGCCTTAAAGCGTCTGGAACTAGCTCCGACCCTAGCATTCAACAAACATGTGCCGCTTACCTTCATCGTGTGCGGCTCATTTGATGGACCGTCCCGCGTGCTCATCGTTTGAAGTTGGACGGCCGACGTCGTGGCGCAGCCGTCCACTAGAACTTGGAACGCCGAGCAAAGGCAACACGGGTTCCACAAGGAGGGAGTGTTGTTGGGTGTGCGCGTGGGTGCGTGTTGGCAACACACACGGCAGAACGAGAAGGCAACCGCCCCGCGATCCCCTCTATTCGCCGTAACCCCTGGTGCCACATTCATATTTCGCCGCATTTCTTACTAATATTATTTTGTACTGCTGTAACGAGTGTAGTAGCAGATACGCATATGCATACAGAGGACGTGTCCAGTTATACGTGTCTTCACGTTGTTATAAGGTAACCCCGCCCCTTCCTTGAACAACCTCGCCATTACGTAGCCGTCGACAAACTCAATCGCGCCCACACCTCAGAGCGGACCCGTGTGAAGCCCGTGCCATTGATAGATCTGAAAACGAGAATTTTGGCGGCCTTCGTTGGACCTGCTGTCCAACCGCACACAGCAGCAGCATCGGGAGCAGGAGCAGGAGCAGTACGGCTGATCCTTGTCGGACGAGTCCAAGGGAGAAAATTAGACTTGTCGTGATCTGGTATCATTGATATGCACTACGTAGAGAGAGAGAGAAAAGGTGCCCGCAGTTTTCTGAAAGGAACCGCAGTTTTCTACCAAACGTGTTGCGCGTATGGTCTATGGGTGTATGTGATTCCATCCTGCGTCGACTACGCTGCAGTTTTTGTGCAGGTTGTGCACCGATACGCTGTATCTTGGTTCGACACCAGACGTAAGGAAGACAATGAGAATGTACGGGGCGACAGTGGACAGCCTCCGTTGCTCTTCGTCTGACGCAATAATGTGCGCTGAAACTGTGAACTTAGCATATGGTAAAATGCATGCGTAGATACAAGCAGGGGCTGGAGGTATATGATACATACATGTACCAGGCTGCGCCCTCCTCACCGCCACCCAAGCCACCTTCACGAAGGACGATCGATTGACAACGGTCATTCCCCCCGCTTTGAACAAATGGGCGATATTGCACGTGTCTGTTTTAGAGGGCATATTCACAACCGTTCACATCCTTTGCCAATGCCATGGAATTCCTTATAGGATGCTTTTGGACACCCCCTTCTCCTTTGTCGCTGTGACTCCCTCGACTTCCCCGGTTAGCCGTGTTGGTTGTTGATGTGCTGAGCAGTTTGTTGCTACGGGAAAACCTCGTCCTCTCGATTACAAAAACAGGCTACGGAGGGCACCATCGGAATATCAGGCCCTGCCTTACACACCAAGTTTGGCCTTCACGTCCGTGGTTTCGACCACATTCTCTGGGAACGGGAGCGTAAAAACATCGTGCTCATTTCCCAATTGTTTCTTATGAGAAACCAGTCAATATTCCGAGTTGAAGAGGTCATCTTCTTGGATCTGGTGAAAACATTTTGCAGAAGCCAGTCCTTTCGACCGTCTATGGGGCATTGGCCTTCAAGTCGATGATCCCGGCGCTTGTGCTCCGCTTGTTGGCGCGGCCTAAGGTTGTTGGGCAAGATCCTTCGAATAGTACGCCATACTTCATGCGACAACGCCCGTCTCCCGAGCGCAGCTCTCGATTGCCGCCTTCCAGCGAGTACGTTTCATCGTCTTATCTTGTCTTCGTGGTGCGGTGTACGAGTTTTCATAATCTTTCCACGCATCAGCGTCTTCGGACAACTTCGCGCCCTCTATCGACCGAACGATTGGTGCCATTCTTGCTAGACCACTCCAAACGTTCCGTCGGACCATGTCACCGCCGTTCGGGCGGTGTCGTTTGGGTGCACCTCCTCCCCCTTCGCTCTCAGAGGAAGAATCGGATTTAGTTGGTGGTGTTATTACCATCGATGACGATTCATTTACCACCGAACTATTCACTCGTAGTGATTCTTCCTCTGTCCAGCTTGGAATTGTGGCGCTGCCGGAACGAGTTCCCGGCAGTCTTTCAATAGTGCTCGCACGTGGGAATCCATGAAAGGTGTTTGGGCTGTTTCTTCGTTGCCTGAAGGATAAAGCAGGGGACAGGACACTTTTGGTCCCTGTCGAGAAACTCGATCCTGCCCGCGCTGTTTCAGTCTGCCCCAATGTAAATGTCACCTCAAGCACTTGTGTTCCACAACAATTACTACCAACAAGTTCATCACGTGTTCCAGAATGCACAAGCGTGGGGCAATCCCTTTACTCGAGTCAGCTCGTGTTGTTTTCACTACCGATTGTAGCAGGTCCTTTCGGCAGAGAATTCCAGATGACGACATCAGAGAATTGTCAGAACCAGTTGCATTGCCAAATCTACACATGATATCCTCTTGTTCGAACTGGAGCGATGGCTGCGCAAGTGAATTCATTCATTCAAGGGGCTGAACTCGATAACACGGCAGGGAGGTACCAATCTCCAACGCTGTTTACACAGACGTTCCACTCTGGCAGCGGCCACGGATATGGAGCGGTATGTACGATCACCGCACAGACTGTGATGCTCAGTAGAGGCAGAATCTCTAGATGAGATGGGGAAAGAAGTGAAGAGAGAAAGGTGTGCGGGGGCGCGCCCTCGCATCCCTCTTGGGTAGAAGTCACGGTCAACGATCCGAGGAAGCCTCGTGGAAGACGTCTTAAGGTTCCTCGGAACAACGTACGCTTCCTCGTGGCTCGGAGCGTTGGCGACATCGACATCGCTCCGAGAGACAGTCTTCCAAGGAGAACGTGGGGAAAGTTCCCAAAGGTTGTAGGATTTGTGGTGAAACACGACTATGTAGGAGGGTTGGGTTCGTAGGGTTGTGGCCCATACACATTAATGGATATAAATCAAACGAGTGGCCTCCAGCCCCGAAGGCACGAACCAAACACGGAATACAAACAACCATTGGTCATCAATCGAATGAAGAGAAGAAGCAGTCCCGTGTAGAATCAAGCACGCGCGCAACGACCTCCCCCACGACAACATGCACGGACCCCTGTGACAGGAAATCCTAGGCATTTTGTCCGTCAGGTCATCGACCATATGTACAAGCGGTAAACCGCTTCAAGTCGTGGAAAATATGTACAAGCGCTCTCATTTGGCTACTAGGCGTCACCCCTTATGCAGGTATTCGGAAACCAATAGTGGGATTGGGTAGAACCGTGACCAGCATCCAACCAGGCAGCAAACATAAGGTACATGGCCGGTGTTCCCACGTTCAATGTTACCGCGTCCGTGCCCGATCGCCGACGTCCACAGGCACCGTCGGAAAATGAAACGAGATGCAACGATGCGCGCACAACACTTACCACGACCCTTTTTCAAAACCAGCCTACAGGCTAAGTCTCACGAGAACTGAGCCCCTCCCAAAACCGAATCTTCTCGGCTGACGCCGCCTGAACAATATAATACCAATAGAATGTCACGGCCCAAACAGGGCATCACCTTCTTGCTACGTGTTCTACGTGTTTGTCTCGAATCAACCGACAAGGCCGTCCTCCACGCTCAGACAATATTCAAGACAGACGGTACCGAGAGTTTCAAACGACTCGACAACAAAACCAAGGGTTTCATAAAGGAAGTACCTTTGGAAGTAGTCACGCGATAAAGATCCACAGACGGAGAGCTTAAGTTACCAGTCTGACCATTAGGGCGATTATCCACGCCAGGTGGAGGATCGCAAACCGGACGAGATGTCCTACTATGCTCACGGTAGAAGCTTCATACCGGCGTGGTTGCAGTGTGCGCACTGCTACTTTCTGAAGTACATAGTGTTGGATCTCCCGTCCCTTCTTCTCATTCTCATCCTTCCCTAGGGGAGTTGCGGCACACATCGAAAGTGTGCCCACCTCCAACACGCAGGTAGAGGCAAGCAGCTTGCACTCGGCCAGGTTGTCATAGAAATGCCAAAGTTTCGCGGAAGACGCCAACCTCGTCGGGACACTGTACGAGCCATTCTACTGTACCCCGCAGAACATCGCATACCTGGACGGCAACCGCGGCGTCTCCATCCACTGGTCCTCCTCAATAGGTCGTGAATGTGGTCAGCAACATAGGTCTCGTCGGCGTTTGATGTGGACGGACTACGTCCACTAGGGGAATACCCTTGGGGATAAAATCCGTAGTTTTCTCGCCTGTTGAGAACCGCGATGGCAACCACATCGAACGGTGATAGACCTTTGTCGCAAAGCAAGGTCATGCAAGTGTTGTACCGCAGTAGTAACTTGACGGCACCCTCACATTTGTGCAGACACGCCATGTGCAGCGCGGAACGGCCTCCAGAATTCAACTGGTGCACGCTTGCGCCAGCCGATATCAGACGTTGTATTGCTCCGCAGCAGTCGCATTGCGCCGCAGCATGGAGTGGGGAGGTGGCCGCCCGCTCCTTTCCAAGATCAGCTCCGGCAGCCGGAAGAAGGTCCATCATGTCTTCCTTGTTCCTAGTAGCGGCAATAGAGGGGTATTCCCGTAGTCTCTCACCATGTATGGCAAGACACCGTACCCGGCATTGCTTTTGTTCACGTCGGCCCCGGCATCCAAAAGGTCACGGGCGATCCCCAAGGCCCCGTCACTTGCAACCGCAGTGGCCAAAGGTGGGTTGCCGAGCCTAGGACGGCACTCCAGGGGCACACCCACTTTGATCAGAGTCCCCACCATGCTCCGGTCGCCCCTCCTGATGGTCCAAGGCCAAATCGCACGGCCACCGTGCACCCCACGCACCTGCGAGAGGAGGCTGTCAACCGCAAGGAGAGCAGACATGACCGCAAGGCTCCCTCCTCGCACTGCGCCCTCCAGGAGGTCGAGGCCTGTCCCCGACGGCAGCGGAAGGACCCCATCAATCGCTAGGAGCGTTGACAGCACTTCCGTGTTGTGTCCCACTGCAGTGACGCGACGCAAGAGATGAATGATGTTTTGCTGATGACTACAGAATCCTTCCGGGCAGAGGGAAACAGCCTGTGGAACACGACCGCCCTGCGGCCGGACGCGGAAATCTCCAACATATGAAACCACAACTTGTTCCAACGCGCCTCCGAGGCCAGCCGAATGAAGAGATCAAGAATGTCCTCTCCGTGGAGTTCGATCAGGGCGGCGTCGTTATACGGTTGGAGAACAGCGTTCAGGTCAGCGTCAACGGACGCAATGAACGGACGAATGCACCGACGCAGCATGACTGGTTGCGAGTGGAGTTCATTACTCTCGCTGTGCCGGAAGTCACGCCTATGATTGTCGGCAGCATGATCTCCTTCCACAGGCCTCGTACTTGCCCCCTGTGGGCCACCGCGTCAGGCGTCGGCGGCGGAGGGGGATTAACCTGTCCAGGGGTAACACTAAAGTTGGTCGTCATACGCGAAGAACAAGTGGATGGTTTGGTGCTGCAATCGTCATATGCATACAATGCAACCGATGTCATTGCGAACGTAGAGAGAGAGAGAAAAGGTGCCCGCAGTTTTCTGATTGGTCAATTTTTTTGACAGGAAATTTCCTTTGGTCGAAAATTCCATGGTCGACCGATGACGTCAGCCACGGTTGTGACGTCACTTCTCGTGAAATCTCGAAAAATTCAAATTCGCCGTGGGTGACTGATGATTGATGAACTGATGAGCCCACCTACAACAACAACATCATCCACGCATCGCCGACCTCACGGATGCTTTCATTCGTGCCCTGCGGGACTATCGAAGGAACCAAACCCCATCAAGCATCGATCGTGCCGGATGAGCGAGTTGTCGCGTGAATCGATCCAGGCTTTACCGACCACATCCACATGACGGACGGGTGGACGGATTTTTCAGAAAATTGCACACACATACGCAGGAGAGAGAGGCAAATCTTGATGCGAAACAATCGTCACAGGAAAACACAGCAGTCACACCCGCTCATTACCCCACCTCTCTCTATATTGCACCCCGGTCGAGGACTCCACTTTGGTTGTCATTGAACAGCAAGTAATAACTGCTGTTAAGAGGGATAGGTATACAGATCATCACCGCCTGATGTGTCACCCCTGTTACTCTCCTTGTTTTCGTCCTGCTCGAGAGAGGCTCACTTTCAATATATACGTAATCTCTACTACTGCTGTGTCTAGACTAAAGACTATCCTTCCAACTTCTTCATAAGTGATTCTTAACATGACTGCTAGACTATAACCGTATCCGCGGAACCTTCTTCATGTGACTGAGGCGAAGGTGGCCGTCACTGATAAAAATCCGGTGGATTCGCCTACGCCTTGTAGTCGTCTTCGGTATTGCATGCGACCTCCGAAACACGTTTGAATTTTTGAATATACATTGGTGGGTACCCCGTCGACTCCTGTCCTCTGTGCCCCCACCTCCCAAAACGCGCAACCGCAGATAACAACCATCACTACGACCCACCAACGAACAAGAGTACAGGTGAGCAGGGCAGTGTGGCTTTCCGCCTCCCTGCATTCCGCGCATGAGGGAGAGGTTCACTTGGACGACACACACACAGACAGTGAGAGATAGAGAGACAGAGCGAGCGAGAGAGTTTAAGAGTTTCTTTCGCTACAAAGCAGATTCATCGCGGAGGGATCTGTGTATGTGTGATGCAACAGCAGTGGCGAGGCCGCACACCCGCGTGTCCAGCCCAAACGAGCTGTTGTCCTGATGGTTCATCTGGTACTCTTCTCGAGGGTTGTCACATCAGCACGTTCCCCTGCTCATAGGCTGCACTCGCAGCAGCGATCATCAACACAAGTTGAATTTCAAACAGTGCATGCATGTCGGTCGGAGATGTTTCTGCCCTTCAATGACGCTTCCCGTGGTCATTGGATCTCGTGTGCCATAGTACCCAGGCAAAAAGCCCACCCAGCAGTGCTCTGAGAGTTCAGGGGGATACTATGACCTCGGTTTGCTCCTTTACAAATCAAAAGGCCGGGTGTGTGTCGTCCTCCAGCCTGCACATCTACGCGTATTTTCGCAGCGTAGTAGATTCGGCTGTTTCTTGTCACACATCCCGAAGAGCGCACCACCAAGTGTGTGCTCGACAAGGGCGTTGGCAACCGTTTGCTGCCCCGCTCAAGTTTTGCCCTCGGTATTCATAGCTGCAGAAGCTTCCGCTCGGACCCCTCGGCGAACAGGTGATTTCGTAGTACCGTCCCGTTCTCCCCTCGCTCGGTCTGTCTCTTTCTCCGTCATCTGTCTGCCCTCTCTGTCTCCCTCTTCGTTTCTCTCCCCGCACACCAAAGATATTCAAGCCATACTGTACAACTTTTCCCCCGTAGCTTGAAGTCGAACTTACGCTTTCACTGCATCAGCACAGTCCCGGTACCACAATGGTTGGAACAGGGCTTGGAACGTATCACCACGAGAAAATGACAATGTAGTCTACACTTAATCGCCAAACTTGTTGCGTGAACAACATTCATTTACACTGGTTCAACCCAGACTGTCCTGTAGCGATGAGGGGCGGTTTCGAATATAAAATCACTTCAACTGTTGACCAAGTGCTGTATGTAGTCAAACACATTGGGGGGCGCCGAGCCCATTCACTGGGCTCCACGAGCCCATTCACTAGACTCCACTCACATCAAGCGAAACTGGATGGACAACAACGCCCGTCGACGAAACTGAACGCTGTTTGCTTCCGCGCATCCGACTGCCTGCTTCCAAACACCAGGACCGCGATGGCACATCCCGAGACTACGCCAACGAAGCGGGGGACAGACGACAACTGGAACACGCCACCAAGCGAAGATGTAAGAGTGGCGAATGGTATACAGACGCATAACCCCTATGCCGATTGTGGTGCTCACATCGTGTCATCAAAAATCCCCGAAATCTTCACTGTACTCAACAGACATACACAGTCCGCTTACGACACTCACGGCATCACCCGTGTGCACCTTGCTATCTTGCATCCAATAGGCCTTCGAATCACCAAGGGAGCCGAGAAAGGCATCCACTCGACGCCCTCCACTTTCCCCCGCCGCCTCGCCCAACACGGGCAGAAAGCCGGCCGGAGCACGGGTGAGAGTGATCAACGCTGCTGTCCACCGTCATACATAGCTGTATTTAGTTCCCTCGATCCGTGGTGAAAGAGTTATTGCTTCCATTAGTCTAGGCGTTTGATTCGGTATTTCTTGGGGATTTCCAGTACATGTGCACTCTTCTCTGTATGATTGCGTAGACAGAAGCCCTCCCTGGCCTGCTTCATTCACGCCATTTCACTTACCAACATGGAGTGCGCCGACGCTCTTTCTGTGTCACCCCAACTTCGCCTTCCGTCATGGGCTACAAACATGTTTTCGAAATGGTGACCGAACCCTCGAAAACAGAATAGGACCGTTCTCGTGCAAGCAGAAAATAAGTGGGCTGTTGTTGTGCGCGTCATTTTTAGGCTGATTCTAGGCGAACAGAGTGACAATAATGACGAATGAGCCTGCGACATTGGGGATTTGTGAAGTATGTGGTTACCGTCGACTGACCGGGGTGGTGGGGGGTGCCGAAAGGGATATCGTAAGCAGACGAATTAGCACGCATGTTCCCGCTCAAACCATCCAACACGCCTCACAAGGGATTTCCGTTTTTGATCGCTGTCGCCTCCACCCCTCACACTCTCCTTTCTCTCTTCGTCGTGTATCTGACGCCAAAAGAATGAACGCCGTTCTTTCTGTGACTCGAAAAGGAAAGGTATGCGATTGAACTTACTTGTTCCAAGCGCAAGCAAGCCCACCCTGGTTTCACTCCATTCCGTTCCAACCCGAGCTAACGATGCCCACCGCTTACAGCATCAAGTTTCCAGAGAAGGAAAGTATACGTTGTCTTACATGGTCGATAATCCTGCGTACACGCCAGTGAGGCCGCGTGTCACCCACCTGCTTGTGTTCCCTTCTTCCTCCCCCTCTGTTCCATGCTTCAGATTCTAGGCTGTCGATACCAAGATTGCCGTGCGTCAACTTAGTTGCTCCAGGGGAGTTCGAAATTCGGAGATGGTTTTGTCATGTATCATGCTCCGTATTTTCTGCCTTTCACGATGAAGACGCCAACGAGAAATATACCACGTTTTATTCATCGTTGAAAGAGCGGGGGTAAATCGCTAGGATCAACCCTGAAGATAAAGAGACACACGTAAGTGATGCCCACAGGCCGCTTTCTCGCGCCCTGCTGCTGACGGTGATGTGCGTGCCTTTCATAATTTCACGTGGCCACCAGTCGCGAAAACGTGCTCGCGCCGACGAGAGCGATGATCTGGACCTCTTCCGGGACTTGCCGTTTGCCGAGGTGGCGGAGGTTGACGACCTAGAAGAGGAGGAACCCTTGATCGTGAGTACTGTACAGCGAAGAGGATGGTCCAGCCCCCCCGCGATGTCGGTGATGGTTGCTTTCAATCGACAGCTTTACCAGATTGTGTGGCATATGCATTCGACCAGCAAGACACCAGCAAGATATTGCTTCGTTTCGAAACACATTACCGCCTTCCGTCCCTTCATTCCCCGACGTTCCGCAGTGGGAACAGACGGCATTCTCCACTACTGGTACGTCGTTCGTGGCGGACATCCCCACCAGGCCCGGGAACGTCGCGGTGCGGGCCGTTTCCGTGAAGGGGAAGGGGGACGTGGTGATGGTCGTCCCGGCGTCCCACTACCGCAAGGCCGTCGAAATATTCCGCAGGCGCCTCGACTATGGCCTGCCGCCGGCGACAGACGGCAACGAAGATGAGCCCCACCCTGGTGTCATCCCCAGCAAGGACGCCCCCTCGTTCCAGCGCGCTAGTCGAAACGACGCCATCAGGGCTACCCTCCGGACGAAGCAGCCGTACGGCGACGAGCTGCACAAGTTCCTCGCGCTTGGCAGCCTCTTTCACTGGGAGACGCCAGCAGAGCAGACCAAGATGGAGGCCGCGTTTCCCGAGGCTCAATCCCCCGAACACGCTGGGCTGTTCAAAAACGCGAACAACATTGCGGTGCCGAGGCTTGTAGTTAGGGTAGTTCACGACTCGGGAGCAGGGAAGGATGTTGACCGTAGCGGGCGTGTACAGGCTGACGACAAGGTACTGATAACTTTCGACGGAGGAGTGATCGGTGGGGCACAAAGGGGGGCGAGACGTACGGTCGTCCTCGGTTCGGAAGAAGACCAGAGACTGAACACCCCCGAAGTTGCCGCGACAACCGTCACCGACTCCACGATGATCATCCCCCTGTACGACGCGTTCGTGCTCTCGGCCCGCAGGTCAGGGTCTCCTTGGGCATTTTCGCTTTGCAAAGCGCGTGCGCTTGTCCTCGGGTGTCTTCTTTGGGTTTGGTTTTGCTCCCACTTGCTTAGAGTGTGTGTGCAATAGCAACAGCTTGCACTCTTCGCCAATACTCTTTTTTCCTTTTCCGTCGGTGCCTCAGCGACACGTTGTACCAGACAGGACCCTGGCTCAACAAGAACGTGGTTGGACTGGCGAAGGTACGAGGCCAACACGGGCTGTCGCTCGTCAAGACGAAGGAGGGGTCCACGCGTGGCGGGGAGCCCTGGGTGTACCTGGTCACTGTCATCGGCAACTGGGAATATTGCTGGAGCGGCCCGTTCTTCGTGGCGATGGTGACGCGATGGGGTTGCTTCTCTGGCTACAAGAACCTTGGGAAGCACGACAAGACAACCCGCGGCATGGAGGTCGGCCGATCAGGGGACTTCTCGACCCCGGCAACCAAGGGTGAGACAGTGTTGCTCCTGTTGTTGCTGTTGTTGCTGCTGCTGTTGTTGTCACTGCTGCCGGTGTTCTAAGCGAGAGAGAAAAGGCGTCACTATGACACCCTCAACCAAGGGTGAGATAGTGTTGTTGTTGTTATTGTTGTTGTTGTTGTTGTTGATGATGATGAAATGTTTCCCCGCGCATGCTCATAATTTTTGTGTCTACAGTACGTAGTGTCCCACAGCGTCCCCGCTCTCTTGGTCCACTCTGTGGGTTCTAGGTGTGAGAGGTGTAGCAGTGTGGGTGCGTTTAGTTCAGAAGCGAGAATACCACACGTCGTCCCACTCAATTTCGGGCTGTCTCAGCATCTTCCTCGTTACTACATAAATGTTTTGCCTTTCGCCCATGCTGCGTCGTTCGCCCTGTGCAACCGAACTATGCAGCGATTGCCACGTTGAGGGAGGAGACAGTGAAGCACGCCGCCCACCAGCGGACGATCGACAGCGGGCGTACACCACTCCGGGGTAACGTCAACTACACCGCCAAGGAGCGAGGGGCGGAAAAGAGCACCAACGAACGCAAGGGGGAAGGCGGTGAGGGTTGTGTATGAATGCAACCTGTTGTTGTTGTTGATGATGATGATGATGATTCCGCACCTTGTAGCATCTGCTTTCCCTGCTAGCCCCTGATAAACGTTTCTTTTTGCATGTAATGATGTTATAGTTGCTGTTGCGTGAGTTGACAAAGGCTAGCGTTTATTTTCCCCACGATCTACTCTTCCTGTGTCGCGTGTACTTGATACTAACATTTACAGCTTTACTGGTGTGTCCCGCACCCGTTTTACTCTCTGCATCCCCGCTCCCTTGTGCATTTGATGTGTTGATACGGTTGCGTGCGTTTGACCCCGTTGGATGAGATGCTGTCGTTGGTGGGTACCCCTATTGTTGTCGTTGGTGGTGGTATGCCCTCACCTCTTGTACTCGTTCAACCGTTTTCCCGACATCAACCCATCGTTGTCTCGACTTGGTGGTGGACGCATAGGCAAGACCGGAGGCGTCATTCCTTGATCGTTGTTGTTGTTGCTGCTGCTGCTGCTGTTTTTGTCATTGCGTCGAACGCGCCCACTCAGCTGCTACGAAGGAGTGCGTCCGAAAGCTCGTGTGCGTTTGAAAATTCCACAGATGCATTGTCACGAAAAAGAAAAACACCACCTCCTTTTGCGTGCATTGGGGCAGCACTTCGCGTCCAGGTCGATCGCTCGTGTTTCTTTGATGTGTAGTCACTTTTTTCGTGAGTCTACGTTTTCCCGACATCATCAACCCATCGCTCTCTCGACTTGGAGGTACGTCATTCCCTGATCGTTGTTGTTGTTGCCTTATCGTCGAGCCTCCCTTATTCGTGTGCCCCGCACCCGACGCAACCAAGGCATCCCCGCTCCCTCATGAGCGGAATGCCTCGATACCAAGGCGTGCGATGGACCATGTTGTTCTTGGGTATTGCTTCTTTTTTCTCTCATCATTCGCTATTACCAATGAATTCAGATGATTCCCTCCCTCTCGCCGCGTGTATTTGACACTCATATTTTTCAGCAAACTCCTGCAACATCACCGGCTGCTCGTGCGAGAGTGCCGAGGAGTGCACCTGCGTCGGCCACCAGCACGTGAAGAACGCCTCGGTCGCCGGTGAGAGTGTGGTAATATCCTAAACAGGTTGTTGGTGTTGTTTGGTATTGCCTTGTAGTCGAGTCATTTGCTCCCCCGTCTTTGAAGTTGTGCACAGGCATCCCATGTACTCAAAGCATCTCCGCCCCGAGCTCAGTAGAATGCCTCGATACCAAGGCGTGCGATGGACCATGTTGTTCTTGGGTGTTGCTTCTTTTTTCTCTCATCATTCGCTATTACCACAGAGGCATTGTCACGAAAAAGAAAAACATCACCTCCTTTTGCGTGCATTGGGGCAGCACTTCGCGTCCAGGTCGATCGCTCGTGTTTCTTTGATGTGTAGTCACTTTTTTCGTGAGTCCACGTTTTCCCGACATCATCAACCCGTCGCTCTCTCGACTTGGAGGTACGTCATTCCCTGATCGTTGTTGTTGTTGCCTTATCGTCGAGCCTCCCTTATTCGTGTGCCCCGCACCCGACGCAACCAAGGCATCCCCGCTCCCTTGTGCATTTGATGTGTTGATACGGTTGCGTGCGATGGACCCGTGGGATGAAGTTTCTCGCGGAGTAGATTCACAATTTCTTACAACCCTCAAGCTCACAACGACTGAATGGCTCGCAGTTTCCCATCTTTGCTCATTTTTTTTTCCTTTGGTCTTGCACGGTTCGTCTACTATCTCCATGCAGGCGCGGCCGGAACGCTCTACGGCCGCGAAAAGGGGGGCGACGGCAGATCCACTTCATCGGAACAGGGGGCTTCTATGCGTCCCACCGACACCTCAGCGCGGTGGATGTACCAAGCTGTCGAGGAATCCCTTCAGGCAGAGGAAGCGACGTGCTCCAATTGTGGAGAGCCCAGAAAGCTGTCGTGGTTCTTCTACGGTGGAGGGAAGCGCAGGGTGGTGGTACTGGACCACATGGTTGGCGGCGAAAGTGGCGGAGTGAGATGCAACAAGTACCCCAACAAACCGCGTGGTGTATTCACGCCCACCAACAAGAACGTGAAAACGATCACCAAGGATGGCCTCCTCAAGGCAGTCGGGAGGGAGGCGAAGAGGGTGGCCAACAAGGCGTCGGGGGGCAATTAGTTCAGGAGGGTGGCAGGTGCTGCCCTGTCGACAGTTGAGACAGATGGGCCGCGCGTTTTGACCGCCGATAGCCTAGTCGAGAGTTTGTCGCGACGGGACGAGTCCACACTTTGGTGGTGGGGATGGCCACAGCCTTTCTGGGTAGGCGGGAGATCATTCAGTTTGGTCGGTTCCCTCGGGCGAACTGGGACGATGCGGTGTGTCTCTTGGCAGCATCACGCTCTCGACGCACTTGTATATTGGATGCTGCCGGTGTCACCTGAGCAAGAAAAATTGTCGGCACTGCGTGTTGCCGTAGAACGATCCTTCCTGTCATTTTTGCTCCGGAGGTGTGGCAGAGAGAGCGAGGCAGGCGCAGTTTTTTCGTTCTCCATCACCTTTTTCCCGTTACATATAGTTTTTTAGTCAGAAGATCCGATCTGTATGTATCCTCACCGAGAGATATTGTTTTGGAGGTGGTATCACGATCACAACACGATAGGATGTGGGTTTAGGCGATCACACGCGATTACAGATTGCTGACAGAAGTATCATCGTAGCCTCGGGCGGTGTGTTATCGGGTGCTGGGTGTTCTGTGGCGTGCTTTGTTCAGAGGAGCATGATTTGGACAGTTCGATACGAAAGTTGTGTAATAGAGTCCCACAGGAGAAGGATTTGTTGCCACGAAAACCAGCAATTCAGCGACGGCGTGCGAGGTGATGATGATGTCCACAAAAAAAATGTACGTGTGCGTTTACACCAGGAAATCGATCATGTCCCTCCCTGTAGTCGTCGAAAAAGTGATTTTTTATTGAAGTCACATTTATTGTTCCATTTAGATTTCAGAAAGATTCAGTGTTTGTGTCCTCAACGGGGAATTGTTTTTGAACGCGGATTTACGATCACCATCCGATTGGATGTGATATGTCTTTGATTGTTGGTGGTTTTAGCGTTGGATTTCGACCTCTTCGGTTGAGACGCGATCGCTGGGGGTTGATCAAATTTTGTTTGACGCGTTCAACTTGTAGATTTGTCGCATACGCGGAGGGAAACAGTGAAACATTCGGGAAACAATGCCACTGCATTTGGCTTTGATTGGATCAAAGGCAATCATGGTACCAACCTTCCCTCTCCGTGTAGCAAATTGCCCGGTCCGCACAACAACACAACCGTAGAACGGGATGGGAGATTGGTGGGCTGATGTATCATTAGTGGGACGTGTGAGCCCTTTTGAATTTTGTCGTTTGTGGAGATTTGCCGATGTTGACGCGTACCTCGGACGTTGAGAATGCAAGACGTTGTATATGTATACTCATTGAAGCGTCGCGAAAGCGGTTCGAGATGACGGGTGCGAGGGAGCAATGAGCAGACTTTCACAACCAACCACAATTATTTTCCTTCGTGTTTAGACTATGTCGTTTTGTTCCTGTGTCCGACTGTCTGTGTCTTCTCGCTTGTGGCTGCTCACACAATAATTTTGTTTGGTCTCCAAACGTGACAACGCGATCAGAGACAACGTTGTGACACGGTGCGGAGACCGTCACACTCAGAAGCGGAAGGAAGCTTTGTCCGTTGTCAGCATTACACATGCATGCCTGGATGCGCCACAATGTTGCTGGAAAGCTTTCAAACCCACACTACTCGTTCGCGTCCTGTCTGGCCCACGAGTTTTCATTCATTCAGACATTGTATATTTAATTTCAGTTGTTTTTTATTCTAATATTGTAACACAATTCAATTCGTGTGAATTCTACCCCCCTCCCTCGTATAATCACCCACCCATTGCCTGTAATGGCGGTCGTCGATCCCCTCTACCCTCATAACTGAACTCTTACGTTGCAACGCCGGCGATAAATGACCGACAACGACCCCGACCCACCCTGCCAAATCCAAGTCGTGTCCTTTGAATACCCGATAGGAAATCGCGGCATGTAAAACCTTGAGATCACCAAACACGTGCCGACCACCATCAGTCGGCAAAAGTTTCCTCGCTGCGATGTTGGCTGACTTGCTGTAACGTTGATTTATCTCTGCAGCCGTGAGACAGGAGGTGTCTTTCATGCCGCGCAGCCTTTTGAGACCTTCGATGAAGTGGTCGTACTCACACAACAACAGGAGCCGGGTCCTAGTTCCCATCTTAACCTCTGACTCGTAGGGGCCGCGCGTGCTTGACGAAAAGTCAGCGTTCCCAGCAAGCTCCGCTAGGCCCCTCCCAGACACAAACGACAACGCACACGCAAGTTCGAAGTAATTCGGGCGTGCGTATCTGATGATGGACTCCATGGCGTCTATGAGATCGCTCGCGTGCACCACTATTCCACGCCTGCACTTGACCTCCAAGGACTCCCGGCGTTTTATTCTCGGAATGCTCTTCTCCTCCGGCGTGAGCTCTAATCGGGAAACGTAGGGCGGTAGCAAGCGCACCTTCCTAAGGAGGTCGTCAATATCGGCGAGTCCAGTGAAAGACACCTTCCGCGAGTGTATCGCGCGCCGGGCCGACCACTTGCCGGGAAGGTCTAATTTCCCGAATGACACTACGCGATCCCAGGCCGTCTGTAGCTGTTTCAGGTATCCCTTCCGCCCCTTCGTTTTCTTTGCCGTGGATGACTTCTTCTTGATAAGGACGAGCAATTGCCGGATTTCTATCTTGACGGGGCCTGCGTTGTGCCCGGCGCCGAAATTTTGTATCCACACTTCCCGAACCCTTCCGACGTTCTTGTTTAAAGAGCCAGGGTGTAGCTTTCTCAGAACCTCTAGAACCTCGTGCGGATTCTCTTTTTCCTCCAACCATTTGGCGCACATTGAGATCTTCTTGTCCATTTTGATCACTACTAACAACGACACACATTATATCCCGCATTTTCCTTACAATAGGGCTACCTCTCATCCTTCCCGCTACGATTTACTTTCTTCTTTTTCGTGCGCCCTCTCCCCAGGCTACCACGAGCGCGATTGCACCTCAAGCACTTCACGTCCACATTTTCCGCGGTGTGGGGCAACGAGCAGTCGAGGCGATCGAGCGTTGGCTGCCGTTCACTGTAGACGGCCCAGACAAGCTCGCACGTGCACCGGTGGCATCTGCCTCCGTAAGAGTTCAGGAGTTCTTGAACAAGGGCTTCTCTGTGCTTTCCACCCTCTTCTGGTTCAAGACGCCCGGCCGTAACGTCGGCGTAGATATAACTGGAAACCTTCCTAGAAACCCATGATGTCCTCACCCGATCGGACATGTCGCTCTCGCTGCGATGAATGTCGTCTATGACCCTGACGCTCGAGGGTCCTGTCGCTCGACTGACCGCCGTATACAGCCAGTGCACGTCGGCGCGAGGATGCCGGGCTTGGTGGATGATCAACGTTCCCTCGACCGTTCGACCCTGAACCGCGTGTACCGTGCATGATCCCGGGGGGTCGAACAAGTTTTCTGCCTCCGCTCGACAGAGTGACGTCTCCTCAAGACTGACGGCCCCGTCAAAAGCGCTTGCGACAACGACCTCACCTGCTGAGGATCGGATGATGTTGTAGGTGTGATTCTTATGAACCTTGCCCAGGTTCCCGAGGTCCCGGTGTTGTGCACCGATAACCGTTGTACGCCCCAGCCCATCCCAGCCACCAGCTTCGTCGCACCCCAGCAATCCTCGAAAGGCGTGGAACCGAGCACAGTCTCTAGTGTAAGCGAGGTGAAATTCTGAAGGGCTAGGGTCGTTGCCCGTTGGACATTCACGACCAAACCTCTCGATGGCTCGAGTCTGCGCCTCTTGACTGTTGTTTCCTGCGGCCAGAATGTACAAGAGACCGTCGTCCATCTCCACTTGTTCTTCGGTAGTTTTATCCCGCTTGCGCGCGAAGACGTGAAAACATGTGGGGAAGGCTTTTTCGAGGATGACTTTCCTGTCGACGTTGTCGCTGCTAATCGACATGCCACTGCTCTCACAAACGGGCTGGAGTTGGTGCGTGTCGTACGTCCCGATCACGTGGGTACCGCTACAACGAGCAGCGGCCAGGATCATGCTTAAGGTCCGCAGAGGCATATAAGCAGCTTCTTCAATGATGATTACGTCGACCTTGAGCGTTCGTATCGACCCCGCCGTCTTCCTCATTTCTGAATCATTACCTAGATAGAACCCGAGCTGGTGATCGGCGGTCTTTACACTCCATCCGGATGGCATGTCTGTAAAGGACGTTCTCAGACTATTGGTGGGGGTCACGACCAGCCCCGTCTTAAAGATTTTCTTCGCAGCGCGGAAGGCACAATAACTCTTCCCCGCCCCTCCGTGTTCTCCGGTCACCGCACACACCACTCTTGAACCTTGCTGAGACAACAAGCCGCGGAGTAAACTTTCTAGTTTCGAAGGTGACTCGGCCTCGCATATTTCCGGCCACAGATTGCGCTTGGTGCTTTTCTCGAGAGAACACCAGGCGTTGTGCGCGTCTCCCATCGAACTGAAGCCGGCGCCGACGCCACCCCACAGAGGAATGACCTGCAGATGGGGCTTCGGTGGGCAAGGAATTTGCCTCAAGGCTGGTGGTAACGTATCAAGTGATAGCTTGACCTCGATGCCTTCGAACACCCTCCTCTCGCCACACAGCGGGTTCTTTAAGGCTGGTTCGAACTTGAGAGTGCCGGGAGTTTTTTTGTCGCCGCTAAACAAATGGCCGAAGCAGAGTCTCATCTCTTCCCGAACCGAGCAAGATCCCCTAAAGAAGACTGCGTCACACTGGTAACTAAAGTCGGACGCGCCGCACGATTCGAGAGCGTTCCTCGCCTCCAACACTCGCAATCGAGTTTCGTCGAGAATGAGCGCACCTAACGCCCAGAAGCCATCTCTATACCAAGTCCGTTCTGCGTCGAAACAAAGGTATGCATCACCGGTGCGAAGTGCCTCGATTCCAAGCTCCCCTTGTCCCGTCCGAAGCTCGGCCTTCGCGCGATCGACCTCGCACAGGACAGGGACGACTTTTCCACCCACAGCCGAAGCCTCGTCACAGCTCGTGACCATGACGGCATCTATCCTGTTTGCGTATCTCTGCTGCAACATGCCGCTGGCTCGCACGAATATCCCTTCTTGAACTTGCGTGCACAGTCGGCATCCTCGAGGAGTGGATCACCCAGCTCATGCTCGAGCAGGTCTCTCACCAGGGTGGGAATGTGGCACCTGCCGACGGTCCTCGAGGGCCGCACGAAGTGGGTGACTCTATGACGAGGCGCGGTGTCGATGAGGTCGAGGTATCGCTTATAGTTTCGACCGAAGACTGGCGTCACATCCGCGTTCAGGAAAACGTCTGGCTCGTCGAGCGCGTCCAGGTTTATGATGTACAGGGTCCAATCCTCAATATCGTGTCCATCGAACTCCTCCACTTCGTCCATGTGGCCGAAAACGGGTACCGTCTCCATGTTCATCAGAGCCGCCGTGTGTGCCCCGTTGATGTCACACTGCCAGTCTTCCCTCCCGTATGAACTCCCGGACACATCCTCCGCCCCGACGATAGGCCCTCGCCAGCATACCTCAAGGAGGGCGAGAAGAGACTGGCTGTACTGGCTCGACACTCGAAAATCCAAAACACCACGGTAGAACTTTAGACCCAGCGCATTATGCAGCTCGATCAATCTTGTCGCCTGGTCGGGCTCGAACTCATCAGGGTCGAGCCCGCCCATGCTCGCACTGCACCAGGTTCGGATGGTTATACCGTGTGCCGGTAACGACAGGGAGTCCCAGTGGCTGTAGTTGGAAAGCCTACCGCTGCAAGAGACTCCAACGAGGTGCAGGTGGAGCATCAGTTCGTCAAGAGCCGTTCCCGGCGGTGCGTACCACGTCTTAGGCTCTGATGCTTTTTCACGCTTCCGCTTTTTCTGCGCCATCTCTTGGTGGTGGTCTTCCTCCTCTGTTTGATTGTTGGCCAGGATATCACTCACAATGTCAGCGACACACGAGAATGTCTTGGTTCCACAACCAGTCCTATCCGGTTCCTCTTCCTCTTCGGTCGTCTCGGCAATTCGACGGAATCTACGGTGGGTTCGAATGCCGTTTTCGATGGTCACGTCTATAGGTGATCCAAACCGCTCCCTCCAAGGCCCCACGAGCACCAGCCGGTAAACGTGTCCCTCACGAACCCCAACGTGCAATGTGGGCGGTCGGAGATTCGTTTTCTCGTCAGATGGCCCAGCAACATCGGCGCCAGTGCCCCTGTGTGACCACACAACGACGTTAGCCTTGTTCGTATTGAGCCATTTGTGGAGATGGCGTAACGTCAGTGGAGGTGGTTTGGTATCCCCCGAAACCCATGTGTCGAACTCTTCTTCCCCGATGTCTCGCTCCAGCAGGATCGAATACAGGTTGCGGAAGTAGTTCCCGCCGTCAAGAGCGTTCTTGTTTTGTACAGGCGAACCCTTTTTTGGTCGACCACCACCAGATGAGATCACAAACGCACCGGTGAGGTCTACATCGCGGAATCCAAATCTCCTCCGCTCCCTCGTCAGCAGGTCGACTTGACTGTCGCGCCACGCGTCGGCGATGAGGACAGCGAGGCAGGCTCCGGGGAGTTGTTCTTGCCATATTTTGCCGAAGGTGGTCATGGGAGTATACTGCACAAGCCTGTGCCCGAAGGACGCTATGTTCAGTTGTCTGAAACGCGGACTCTGTGAGTCAATGCCAGATCGGACCTGAAGGTCCACGAGAGAGAACGGGATGCCTCGGGGATCGACTTCGATCCTCCTGCCAGCTGATGCCCAGCAGAGGATCACTCGCCAGGTATCATCTGCCGCCGAAACAACAAGCTGTCCTTGGCCACCACCCTCAATGTCGATGAAGGCGGTTTTCCACGCCTCGGCGTCTCTCGGGTGGACCAAACCGCGCCGCCACATCCTTCTTGCCCAGGATTGAAAGTTGACCAGCGAAGGATCGCCTCCAACGGGGTGCGAGTTGAACCATCTATATCCCGGTCCATGGGACGAGGCCAAGATACGAACCCTGTATCCTGTTCCGAAGACCGCCTGGCGACGATACATTACCCCTCGTGGCCCTTTGTAGCGCCACCCATTACTCCTGTTTGCGAGGGGGGCGGCCTGGTCCACCTGCTCCACGTAGCACCATCTGTATCCTGGCTGTTGTTGGGATGATGACCTAGTCGTCGGTGCTGCAAGTCTTTTTTTGAGGTGGTGCAACATTTCTGTGTTTTGTATATCTAATTGTAAGACACAAAATTTATCTGCGGATTGGGGCGAATCGTCAACCACGGTGTTTGTTACTCCGGATTTGTAGAAGTGTGAGCGAAAGTGGGTACTGTTTGGAAGTAGGGAGATAGCCAAATCCAACTTTCAGTTTTCGCCTTCTCCTGCTTGGCCCGCCGAATAGCTATCTATATGTGACGTGAGTAAGGAGATCCTGTGATCGGTTTTTTGTCACTCCTCCTTCATAACTGCTGCTATAATAGTAATCATTATCGAAGTCATCAGGCTACGAGCTGATGATGTGACATGAAATTCATCAATCATCAGTCACCCACGGCGAATTTGAATTTTTCGAGATTTTGTTGAGAAGTGACGTCACAACCGTGGCTGACGTCATCGGTCGACCATGGATTTTTCGACCAAAGGAAATTTCCTGTCAAAAAAATTGGCCAATCAGAAAACTGCGGGCACCTTTTCTCTCTCTCTACTCCAGACTATGTATGTACCTGGAGGTCTCCACCATGACGACAAAGTCGGAATTACTTCTGAATCAAATCCCCGGCGGACGCTTTCCAACTTGCAGTTCCATGCCGGATTTGCCCCACAATCATTCGTTGTTGGTTGTCAAGGGCCCGCAGATCACCCAGTACCGCGGGGATGGTCCAATGTTCCAAAATGACCAGCAGCTGTGTTCACTACGGACTGTCCTAAAGAAATTTCCGCACAAATTCCGCCGGTGCAAGTTAGTTCAGCGCCGTGCTTATTTTTTCTTGTTGTCACACATTCGAACAAAAAATACCAAAACACCGGGAGCTCACGCTAAGTTGGCGTTGAGTTCAAGTATTAGCTACTTCAGAGCGTCTCAAAGCGGCTCTGGTCATAGACTGTACTAAAGTATGTTCAACAGCTCGCCGCCCACCTTCGTCTTGCGTACGTATGTTGTCTGCAAACACCGGACGAAATGATCGGCGCCTCCTCGATCGGCGCCTCCTCATGGCTGTCCCCCCGGAATTTTTCTCGCTTGAAGATGGATGGCCAAAGTATTGGTGCAATCACCCACTAGAGGTTGGAACGCCGATCTATGACAACCGCGGATTCCACAGCATACAAGAAGGAGACAGAGGAGCCGAGAGCAGAGGAGCATGTCCAGAAAAATCCAACAATCCAATCGCCCCCCTGACCCCCCCCCCCCCCCCCGCCATTCGTCGTAACCCCCCAACATATTTCGCCGCGTGTTTGTTTGGTCTTGCAACCGCCTGCCCAGATCGAACGTGCGTGTCTACGTGGCTATCCCCCGCCCCACCAAAGGTCTTGCCCTTTCATCTCTCTTTGTCTCTGCAGCTAGCTGCTGTCGACAATCACAACTTCGCGGACACTGAGAGTGGGCCTCTGTGAAGACTACTGTACACGAGAGTATCGACAGTCGTCGGACCAGCTGCTGTTCAACCGCAACAGCAACAGCAGCGGCACAGCAGGTTTGCTATTCCTCACGGCAGAGAGCAGCGAGTGACTTTAGAACTTGCCGTGGTCTGTTATCATGGAAATTCACTACATAGTTCCGATCCGCGTTGTGCTTGTCTGGGTGGATGTGAATCCCGTCCTGCGTAGACTACATGTGTACAACAGCAGTATGCTGCAATGGCGATATCTTGGTTTGGCACAAGAATCAGAGTCACATGGCACGATCGTGCATGGTGCACATGAACGGAAGCCAACTTTGTTGATCGACTGACGCATGGCGCGCGCTGAGACTTTGGGCTCGGCACACGGTACAACATATCCATCGCGATTCAAGCAGGGTGGGGCCGGAGATCTGAAGTCTGGAGGGTCGGAGGCGGGAGGAGGGGTAGGGTGGGTGGTGGGTGGGCGCGTGGTATCTAACGTACAAGTTACATCCCTGTTTCACCATGTTCTGGTATTGGGGAAGGGGTGGCGTTGGTGCTCTTCAGCTATCTTGCGGAAATACAGGAAATCCCAAGCCTAGCATCGCCTAGATGACATTGGATTGAACGAACACCTTAATCGTTTGATCTTGAAGTTCGTGTGTGTTGTAGGCATCTCGTTGCTGTCGTCGGCTGGGTGCTGGGGATTCGCTTTGTTCAACTCAAAACCCCTGTGGGGTGCAAAATCGTCCTGCCTATTGTCAAAAATGTATTCTCATTTTTGTGACCACGGACCGCGTCTGTGCTAGATTTTGGGATTAGCAACTGACACGAGTTTAATGTGAATGTGAAGACGACAACAACAACAACAACAACAACAACAACAACAACAACAAGTACGCTGTGTGGGTCAGTATTGGCACGTGTTGTAGCAATTCAATTCAGCTACAGTAGCGGCTACGGTTTAAGAGAGGGTCGGTACAAGCCAATTTCACTCTCTTAAATCCGGCTTTCTGTTATATCGTGTTGGCTACGATATAAGAGAGAATTTTCTTAAACAGAATCTCACTTTAAGAGAATTCTCTCTTATATCGTAGACAAAACTGAAGGTCGTGAAACAGGGGCTCTCGCGCACTGACTACACTCGAATGCCAAAATAGGTCATAAAGAGAGCGTATCATGCATGTCACTTGCGCAGCTAGCGTTACCACGTCGGGCTACCTCCAAACACCGCTCATTCTCTTGGTTGGCAAGCACGTGGACCCAAGCACTGCTGTACGTTGTACGCTTTTGGTGGATCTGCGTTCGGAAAAATAAATCATCGTCGTGTGATGCGATGCACATTTTTGCACGTGGACACGTAAAAGGTTTTGGTTGAGTTGTTTTATAGCTGGGTTTCATAGTTGCACCTCTTCTAGAAGGACAACACGAGGCGACGAATGCACCAGCACTCATGAACGACGCACCCGTTTACACACTGCACCTTCCTCCCACCGTACCCTCAACATATGTAACACCCTCATACCTCTCATCCCATCGATTTGAACCCCCGACAAAAACACGAGTCAACGAACAAAAAACAGCTTCACAATATCAAAACATCACTCGCCGTACAAATAACACAAACCCAAGAAACCAACGCTACCCTGGCGACCTGTCAGCCTGAACACGATCTGCGCTGCAACCGTCAAAGGAAGTCGCTCATGCACGTCTGCTTGGTTTCCCTCGAACCGTAGGCACTCATCCACGCTAGCTTAGCCTTGCGGAGGTGAAAAGACACTTCGGACATGCGGCACTTCTTGGCAGTATCCTCAAGTTCACCAAAATGATTTGCTACATTCGCGTACGGCGGCAGAGCCGGGGCCGCTGCCGCCGCCGACTGTCCCGATTGGCGTAGCTCAACCAGGTCGTCGTCCTCGTCGTCAGAGGAAAGATCCATGCCCACCAAATTCTCATCACAGAGGTCCTCTACCATCTCTGTAACGATCGCTTCGGCTACCTCCACGTTGTCCTCTACAGCCTGAAGTCATGCGCTCACGGGAGGAAAGGCAGTTGTGGCAGATGCGATGCATCTCGGAGGTGCCCTGAGGGTCCACCACACCACAGGTGCCATGGAGGTACTGCCTGCAGACTCCTCTACATTGGTGGTTTGTGAACGCCGGCGGGCCTGGCGTGTGATCGGGGACAGCCGTGCAGCGACTGCCCGCCACGCAGGGCATGGTGTCTGCAGCTGTGTGGGTGTGTGTGTCCACGTGGTTTCCACATTGTTCGATTTAAGAGAAAAATCCCAGCTGCAAAAGGAAATTTCTCTTAAATCGATTGTTATTGGTACACGCCAATTCCTCTCTCTTAAATCCGTACTTTCTCTTAAATAAGTTCTCTTAAACCGTAGCCGCTACTGTATTGGGATTGAATTGAGCGCACACAGTGATGAGATGTTGACGACGACGGCAACATGCAAGGTGCACATGGGACTTGACTTGCAACAACCTACTGCTGTAGACTTCTTCGTCCAAGACGAGTCCCACCCGAGCAGGCAGCGTCGTTGTCTTCATTTGCGCAGATCTGCTTGTGACGAGATCCAAACCGTCCTTGTATGCCTTGCTGTCCAGGTACCAGACGATCACCATGCCGGCCTCCAACCCTAAGCTCGGATTCATTGGCGCCGGAATGATGTCAAGCGCCATGATCAACGGCATCATCGCTGCAAAGGTGCACCACAACAACTGCAACCTCTATTTTTTGCGATGGATTGGTGCAAGAATACAGCAGTCTTGGGTTGTTGGGGCTGTGCACCCTGGACCCGGTATCATGTATCACATTGTGCCAAGTCTCGTGACGACAGCGTTACAATACCGAGCTGACTGTTGTCTTGTGTTGCACTAGGTCGTGGTCTGTGTCTATCATCAACGGTTCTGCTTGGCATCTGTGGTGGTAAAATAACAGATTGCAGCTCATAACATGCCACTACTGCGACGACTGGACAGCATGATGCCTTTCGACGTCAGCGATAGTGCTGCTTCAGCACAGCTGTTCTTCGTCAAGTAGTGGTGACCGATCGTCTACCGTTTTGAGAGGCATCCGCCGACGTTCTTGTACTTGTTTCGTGTCGGCGAATGGCTTCGTGCTCACAAAGGACACGCCGCTAGAAAGCAGAACCTTCTTTCTCGTTCAGCTGCTGAAAGGAAAAAGTTGTTGTCGTTCGTGGTTTGATAAATTGCCCTGCTCTTGCCGGGCTGCCTCCAACCCGTGGTCCGCTTTCCTTTGATCCTTTGAACGGATTGGATTTTGTGCGTGACGTTCAGCTACTGAACGGAGAAAGTTGTTGTCGTTTGTGGTTTGGTTGTTGCTGTTGTGCGTAGCCTCATTCGCCATCCGTCCGAGTCTTCCGACACGTGGGTGAGCGGGGTGGAGGGCGCCGTCTATGGTAACTGTTTCGCGCCGCGGTCAAATCTAGACAATCGGTGCCTGCATGAGTGCCAGACAATTTTGCTCAAATTAAGATTGGAAGGGCTACCTTTCGCATTCCTGGTAACGTTGTTCACCCTGAGGCGGTTTTGCTGCACGCCGCTCCACCAGTGCAGCACAGCACTTTACCGTTCGACGGCACGTTCAACCATGTTGGTTGGTTGTCTCTTTGGTGATGCTCACATTCATGGCCCCGATGTCATGGGACTCGACCGTTGCGAAAAACTAACTGGGTGCTGCAAAAGGTCACGGAACCGGGTAACATCATCGCTAGCGACGTGTACCAGCCGAGCCTGGACAGGCTCTCTGCCTCTGGGGTCCGCACATCCACCACCAACAAGGAGGTAATGGTTTTTTGGCTTGCGTCTTTTAGTTGCTTTCGGGACGGGAGGGGTTGAACGTCGCTAGGACGGGTCTATCGGTGGCGCATTGATGTGGTTCTAGGTTAGCAACAATTTCGGGCCATAACGGAATGCAGGTACAATAATGGTTATCATTGGATGCGGGCATCCGTGCCTATTTACTACTGCTAGTACGTCCTCTGTATCTTTTTTCCGTTTTGCGGGAGACCCATGGAAACTCGCGGGAAGCAATTTCCCAGGATAATGCGTCCTCGCTCGTTAATGTTCGTGCAGATTATTTGTTGGAAAAAAATTACTATTATATATGACTCGGCCGACGTTGCAGTTTTTGCCAAGTTTTTTTGCGGGGAATCTGATCTCGAACATGCACAATGCGACGGCCTGTACTGCCTGTGCAGGCGTGTCGTCTTTTCGGCCGCCATTTCGATTATTCTGCTGTGACACGCTGCTCTTGCTCCCGGGCAGGTGTTCCCGCTTAGAACCGCGTGCTGCGGATCGAACGACATGTTTTCAGGCACACATGATCCCGTGGAGAGGATGTTGACACAGTGCGAGATGGTCTCCTCCGCTGCTGTTCATATTTTTGTTGACGCCTTACGACGCTGCGGCCCTTGTTGATGGTTTCGCGTATCAGAGAATACCGCCGCTCAACACCCACGCGGCACGCTTACAAGCGCGAAGATGTGTGCCGTCTGATTCTCAAGACCTTATATTAATGATGTTTTCCACCAGAGAAGCCTACCGTTCGTGCAAGCACTCCACTCCATTCAACCCGCACGTGTCCGCCGAACACACGGCCCGCGAGCAGGTGGTGACTGGGGCGGACGTCATCGTCCTTGCCGTCAAGCCGGACGTGATCCCGGCAGTCCTGACGGAGATCGAGCAGTTTCTCACGGATGACTCTCTCGTCGTGTCCATCGCCGCCGGGGTGCCGCTCTCCGCCCTCGAGAACGTAAGTGGAGCCGCGCATTCGCCGGGAGAAGTAGCCGACGGAAACTTTCCACCCCACCTTGCTGTAGACCTTCCAGGCGTTGGAAAATTTGTTCTAGAAAACACTCTCCGTAAACCAAAGGTATTCACAGATCAGAGTGGTGTGCTTGGCTCCGTTGGCAGCAGCAGTTTTGTTCAGGTCCAGTTTTAGTATTTTTTTCGTCTATTGTCGTGTGCTTTGCGCCGTGAAGGTAGGAATTGCTTTGTCGCGTGTTCTTGCCTGGCCGTTTTCGGTGTGCGGCGCGCGAAGGCATCGTTGCGTTGCTCACGTACATCTCTGGGTCCCAAGTGTTTTTTTTTTGTTGGTGCTCTACTTCGTCTGTAAGAACGGCGCCGGTTTCGACTCCCAAAGGTAATGTCAAAACCAAATTTTATTGATCCCGCTTTGGCGGTACTCACTTCCGTATGCATAGAACCGTGGAGTCTTCTTTTTTCCCCCCAGGATGACGCCCAACACGACCGTTTATCTTCTTGTACGAGCGTGGTTTGGGCGGCGGCGACGACGAATGTAGCCTGTCCCATACTTCGCATTTCACCTTATCCCTGCCACCCTCTGCTGTTGCGCGCATTTGCGCGCTACATGTCCCTCTTCACCCGCACGCGTGCACGCTGTCTGATGTCGCCCCTTCTCTGTACCACTTGTGCCGTTTCAACTTGTTCGGTTACTGGTTTAGCTCGTGCCCGGCAAGCGCGTGATCAGGGTGATGCCCAACACGCCGTGCCTTGTGTCCGAGAGCGCAGCGGCGTTTTCGCTGGGGTCTCACGCCAAGGACGAAGATCGGGAGCTTGTGCAGAGCCTGCTGAGTTCGGTCGGCTTCGCCTGCGAGGTCAAGGAGTCTCAGCTTGACGGTGAGAGCAGGGTCGAAAGCGGACTTGTTCTTGATGGGTGAAGGGCAGTCGCGTGAAAGCTTTCAGGGCTTTGAGAGTAGGGGGAGAGGGGGGGAGAGAGGCTACCGAATGTGGTCGAGAGCACATGCGAGAGTACGGAGTGCCAACTACAGTGTGAGACCGCGTTTCCGTCCTTCCGAAAAGGCGAACCATGTGACTATGGCCCTATGTTTGACCCAGCTCCCACACGTTCTCCCTCTTCACCTCATTTATCTGTCCTCGCTCACTCGCAAACAATACCAAAAAAAACGTCGCAGCTGTGACCGGAGTTAGCGGCAGCGGGCCGGCGTACATCTTCGTCCTGATCGAGGCCCTCGCGGATGGCGGCGTCAGGATGGGCCTGCCTCGCGCGACGGCTCTCAAGCTGGCCGCGCAGACGGTCAAGGGGGCGGCGACCATGGTGCTGGAGACCGGCACACACCCAGGCGAGGATTGGCTCCGTGCATGCGCGTTCGCACGATAATAACATGGTTTATCTTCTTAAAGCTGGTTTTGAAGTTTTAAGCGCTGGCGAGAAGTCTCTATGCTTCTCTTTAAGCTGCCCTGCAAAATGTAGAGGTTGGTTGTACATAGCCCGGCTGAACTTTGTTTGCCGTTTAGCGCGCTCTTCTTTGAGTAAGATTGTTCCCCGCCGGGAAGCTCACTCCTTGTCTTGGTTTCTTGGGGTGGATGTGCAGCCCGGAACTTGCGATTTCAAATGTTGGTCTTGAGGTACTGTTTTGGAACATTGCGCTGTGTTTGCGGGCACATTCATATCTCCAATAAACGAACCGTAGGTCACTGCTCAAGATGCTGCGGGATTCGCGGCTATAGCAGTTTCGGGGGGAGCCCCTTAATGAGCAATGTAGGCGGCCCGTGTCACGGCCGTGCATACGGTATCCCTGTTTCACGTACATGTAAACGACAACAATTAATTTCGTAGGCAGCTAGCCGCCCCGATTTATCGAGTCACGACGTTTATTGGGCACTCGTCATCCTCGCTGCCTCTCGTCTTGCACCACCAAGCTCAGCTTCCGCCAGGAAGAGTGGACCGTTTCCTGGCCATCTGCCGCACATCTCACATCTCACCAAGTCCTTCCCGCCGCCGACTCTCCACCCCCCTACGTTGCCGTCGCCTCCTCACATGTTACTCGTTCGGGCACCCCCCCATCAACAGGTGTCTTGAAGGACAACGTCTGTAGCCCAGGAGGGACCACGATCTGTGCGGTAGAAGCCCTGGAGAAGAACGGCTTCAGGGCCGCGGCAATATCTGCCGTAGTTGCCGCGACCAACAAGTCTCTCGAGATGCGCAATACCAAGAAGTAGAAGCCGTTGCACGCTTATTAATAGCTGATAATACACCTATAGAGAGAGCAGGGTTCGAGGAGATGTGGCGAAGGCGTGTGAGGTGTATCTGGTCATTGGGGGGAGGGGGGCGATGCGCCATCGATATCGTGTGACCGTTGTCATGATCCTAGGGCGGAAAGCGCGGCCTTGTACGGGACAGACGCTGTAGTTTGAGAGGTTACGGTGGCCGGTGTACTGTAGTCTAGTGAGGAATCGTTGCTGTCGTTGGGGATGGATGTACAGCAGTTAGTTGTAGAGGGAGAAACACGAGTACTGCTGTACAGAGCTTGTGTCTTTGACGTCGATATGGCTATATCGTTGACTGGTCTGTTGGTTTGGGACTGCGCTGCGGCGGTGGTGAAGATGTCGGACTCCGGGCCGATGATGCGCCCACCGCGGTCACCGCCGAGACACTACAAGTATAGTTCAAGCTATCTGTACATGTAACAACATCGCTTTTGCATGTGGTGAGTGCTACACCACAAACACCAGCGGCGTTTTGTACATGTAGAGCCAGCGGTTTCACCACGTTACTTCAAGCAGTGCGATGAAACGACTAATAAAGACAGCGCTGCGTGGCAGGCCTTTGTGGTTTTGGAGACTCATCATACTGCTGCTGACCCCTCGATCTCCAAGCAGCCAAGCAGACAGCAGACCTTCGCCCTAGCTTGCCAGCATTGCAGCCTAGTACTCAACAGAGCAAAGAGGTCCATCACGCGGTAAGTTTTATGAATTGCAATCTATGAGTGTCTGGGCACGCGTCGATAGCATGCCCTTTGTCCTTTGGTGGAGCAGCTATATAGAGTACCTACCTGCGGAGGAACCTAAGAAAGGTGGCAAAGGAGGGGTGGTATACAATGTCATCATCTTGGCGTCGTCAGTTCTTGGCAGAGACGGGTAAACTGCGGCACCCTTTTGCCCGCACTCAACGCCTGTCTTGCGTTTCCGCCCCCTTGCGCGACCCGCAGCAGGCACAACTAACCCAAAGGCGTAGTCTACAGAGGTAGGGGTGAGGGGTCCCATTCGCAGTCCAGCAGGTACCGCGGCATCGTTTTTTCTTAACCGCAGCAACCTGGCAGCAGGCAGGAAGAGACATGAGGCGATTGAGCACGTGGGCGATGCCGATCGCTCTGGTGGGTCCTCGGGTCCGTCAGGCCTTGCCACACCAGCAGCAGCAGCAGCAGCAGCAGGCGCACAGGACGCAGGAGGGGTGGGTCGGGATGCTGAGGGGGTGGGGGAGTACTGCAGAAGCGGCAGCAGCAGCAGCAGCAGCAGAACGAGGAACAGAAGGTGGCGAGATTCCCGAAGACCGACGACGGTTTGATGATTCCTTTCTCAGCACTGACCCCCATCGACTCCGGCGGCGGCTGCAGGGCGGCGGGGGAGGGCCTGGTTCAGGGTCAGGGTTGACCTGTGAGACTTTGGATCCGGTGAGCCGCGGTGCGGTGTTAGAGCGAGCTTGAGTCGTTGCTGCCTTGCGTGGTTGCCCTGCGGCTCCCACAATTGATAGTTGATGATGGTCGGCATTGATTGGGTGTTCTGGCCCCTGGACTGCAGGAGGGTCGGGTTGTTGATGTGTTGAGCCCGGGGTTTCGGCCGTCGTTTTGTGCGAGTTCCGAGAACAGGTGCGCGTTCACATCATATGTGTGCGCCAATCGCTCGCTCCACAGCTCACTGGAAGATTGAGTGATCACCAACGGATGTCGCGCGACTAAAGCAGCTGCAGTACATACCTCTCAACACAAGCAGACAGCGGCCGCACACAGCTTGCAGCATGCTGGCACCGGTCGGTGTATTGGATGGACGCTGTTTTTCTGATTCGCTGCTTCAACCATGTGTGCCGCCCATGGAACCTGCCTGGTGTGAGGCTCTGACTCGACGGACTCGTGGGCGAGGTTGGTTGCATGAGGTGTACTCGTGCATGTTCAGCGCCTGTCTTTCTATCTCCTCCTCAATTTTCTGGCCATGTGCGTGCTGCACAGCAGTGCGTCGACATGAGCATTCCATGTCAGCCGAGAAAATGCCGAAACACCGAAACAACAACAACAACAACAACAACCAACACCACGGTGGTCTGTCTTTCTGTGTGTGTTCGTGGGTATTTTCTAAAATGGTACCCATTGTATTTTTTTAAGTAAAATGCAACAAGCCCCTTTTGGCACGCAGGGCCGTCTGGACATGATGTGTAGACTAGTGGAAGAAGCCGCCCACGTCCACGGGTGGCATCCACTCATGTCATGTCGTGGGTGGTTGTCTCCTTATATGCGGCACCCATCCGGAGATGTTCAGTAGTACTGGGTAGAGAGAGATCGGAACTGTTTTTAATGTGAAGACAGCAACAACAACAAGTAGTACAAGGATCAGAGGCGCCAGCAGCAGTGGAGGGAAAGGGTTGTACATCAAATATACTCCGGGTGACACGCAACCGTTCTTGATCTCGTATCAACGCCTTCGTCTCTGCATACTATGACCCCCCTCTCTGTTGGGTGTCATCCTCCACCTTGGCCGACTTCGAGGTTACCCAAAAAACAAGACAATGTAACCCCATCCTAACTCCACCATGCGCCTGCACATTATTGTACACTCCGACAGACAGGTGGCCCCCGGGGTGTTTGAGTTATTGTTTGGAAATTTTGCGTTCTTTTCCCTGTGATCCCTCCCCTGCCATGGCTTTGATAGCCCTGCTGCATATGCCCCTTTCATCAGAGTGGCCACAACGAATCCATCTCTATCGAAGAAAAGTGTCATAGATAGATTAGTAATGAATCCATAGAGTCAGCGAAAGTCCTGTTTTTCCACGATTTCCAGAGCAGCACACAGCAGTGATATCTCCCCCGTGGGTAACAGGTTCATCAAGACAATTTGGTAGCCATCCTGTGCATCTCTCTGTATGTTATGCTGGGAAGGTGTAGAAGGAACGCGTTGGGTAGGTGGTTCGTCGGGTGTGCTGTTGTATCACCCTGAAGAAAAACAGAACACACACAGCAGTAGTGAAACATTTACTCCCTGTTTTCCCGGTGTTGATCCCTCGCCGGCGCCGCGTAGTAACGGTTTCAGCATACATTTTTTTTTCGAGAGCTGGCCGCAGTGCTTCGCCTTGGCGTATGTAAAGCTGTAACTTGTCAGAAATGTATCCGCGGCGTCCTGTAGTTCGTGGAGAGTTGCACGAAATAGTACTTATTGAAGTTCAAATACTACTGCTGTAGGAAGTACCATGAATTACTGACCATATTACCATTCCGCGGTTGGATGCGGACGGATGGTGTCCTTTGTCCCGCGATGATGTGTACCGGCGTTCCAAGTAGAGCTGCTGGCTGCTGGCACCGCGAGAATACTAGCTAGAGAATACCGTCAGACCCGTGAGTTGCTGTCCTGGATAACGGGACAATATGAGTTCAATACCCCGTACCATGTGGATTCGAGCGTCCCTGGGTCGGGCTGAAAAATCCTGTTTTTTCACCGACAGCCGTAGAGTTACTGTCGTTCGTTGTGCACGTGAACAAACGGTCGTTGTGAAGGAAAACCTCTCCTCGCTATTATTAGGCCAATCCGATAGACTATTCAGTTAGCGGCTCTAGACAATTGGTACGCTATCGGAGATGTCTCCATGAGACGGTTCCAACTCCACCGTTATCACCGTTATCGGCACCACCATTATTTCTGCTGTGGCGTAATCGAGCTTCGAAAATCAGCCGGGGGTATGATACCTTGTGTCACCTAGGTACTGTACTGCTTCGAAAATCAGCAGAGTACAGTACAGTAGCACTCGTAACGGGGCCGTCCAAAACACCAGCAGCTATCAACAAATCGCACAGCAGCAGGCAGCCCCATTTCATTCGGAGAACCGACCGGTGTTGTGCGGCACACATTTTTTTGTGATTTTCTTGGACCGGCAATGCTGCTTCGGTCAGAGTTTCCCGACTCGGGGACGACTTCAAGCGTAAAGCCCAAGGGGTCTGATGTTACATAGTTGCAGACGAGAGCCCTTGGTTGCCCCCGTTTGGGTCTTGTGTGGCCAGTTATCTGTCACTGCTATCAACTTACTGCCGCAGCAGCAGCGTCACAACACCTTGGCGCCGTTTTGCTCTCGGTGTTGTGTGGTCAGTCTGCGGAAGATGACACCCTCAGAATCGATGCAGGTTCGGCGGGAGAGGACGACGAAAGGTGTTGGGAGATCCCTAATGTGGACGGCTCGACGCTCACTATCTCCTTCCGGTGAGTTCGCGCTATGTTTGCCATGCTTTAGGCAGCAGCACCTTATTTAGGAATGCGTTCGTCGCGCGCGCTGGTCGCGCGCGAAGCGAAGAGTTGTTGTTTGGTTTTTTTCGAGGGTTTACTCGGTAATTTTGCCGCCGTTAAGTTACCGCCGTGGTGGGCGGTCCCGGTATTTCGCCGTTTCACTTGCTCTCTTCTCCCTCTCTCTCTCTCTATCTCTCTCTCTCTGTCTCTGTCTCTCTCTCTCTCTCCTCTCTTTGGTTACTCTGTAGGCGAGCTGATTTCGCAGCCGGAGACGAGCTGACTGTCGAAGACGACGAGGACACAGATGTTGAATACGAAGAAGACTTAGGGCTGGTCTTAGATGGCGACGTCATCGAAGTCGGGGCGGACGGAGAAGCCAGGGAACTGTTCTACTCATGTGCGCCATCGTCTCGTGCATGCGTTTGGGTTTATATTTTCATCCGATCACGTTCCATGTGTAGTTTCCACTGCAGAACATGAAACTGAAACTGATGCAAAATATAGAATTTCATGTAGAGATAGAAGGTATCTGTTGATGGTGATCGGACTTCAATGCACGCAAGTCGCATTTTCCCGGCTTGCTTTCGCTGGCCTTTGTCCTGGATGATTGGTTTGTCTCAGGGAACCACTCCACAGCACATGGCACGTAACGTTCGTCCCTCCTTTGCCGCGTCAAGCTCCGCGTTGCACGGTTTCGTAAGGGGACATTGAAGACAGTTTTGCAAGTGAGACCTGTGGAGCGAGGCATTGTAGCGATTGGGCTGCCGTGGCAGGATGGCATCAAGAATTCTTCTCACTACAAAGCAACAACATCTGTCTATTGAGGGTAGTACTGATATCTCCGTGTTCTCATTCGCACACACACGCCCGCACCCTGTGCAGTAGTACATATTGTGCTTGCTGTGTCCGTCCACCGAATGGGTTTTTTATTCCGAACATGGAACAATCTGCATTGTATTTAGGCTAATAAGTTCCTTGAGGTGGAATACTCTGAGCAAATTTTCTGATCCAAATACCGCCGCGAAAAGCTTTGTTCTTGTGCTCGTATCGTGAAGTTACCAGGCACCGGTCGTCTTCTTTTTTTTCATGGTGTCTGACCGCAATTTTTTGTGCTGCTGATGCTGCGTGAAGAAATTGTTTCACGCTTTCACCTGTCCTGCCTTTTTGTAGTCCTCCAACCGCTGGTCCTGATTTTTTTCTCCCTCCCCCTTTCGTTCCGTATGTCTGCTGCCGCTGCTGATGCTGTTGATTGTGCTGGGCGTGTGGTGCTCCGATGACCACGACTGCTGTGACGGCGGCGGGTTCCAGCCACGGCGACAGTGAGGTTCAGCGCTTCAAACATCACCGCCGAGAGGACGGTGGTGATAGTCTACAAGAGGACAGTCGACCAGGTGCCCCACCAACCACCGTGTCGCATCGTACCAAACGCGCCACCGATCGTCAAACGACTAGCCCGACGCAGCAACAATAGAGCAACCCCGCATCCTCCTCTTCTCTTCTCTGTACCACATATACTCTGTGGCTATTCCTCGAATAGGTCGTCTTCCTGTGGTTTTATGATTTTTTTTTTAGAGTGAGGGATACATGGCCGACGTCACCCCAAAGGAATTTTCCAGGAATATGATGTTTCCGGTCGATTTTTGCCATGCGAGAGCCCCATTTGGTGACCCGTGTCCCAGCGGAACGAGAGAGAGCGAACTGGCAAGCGTTACCAATCGTACGAGACTGTTCCGTCCAAGGAGACAGAGAATAACGCACAGAGGCCAAGGATGAGCACGGAGGACGGCAGGAGGGCATGTAGACATCCGAAAACATACTTCCCAGCCATGGAATGTCACCTTCTTTCCCCCACCAATCCGCCCTTCGCCCTCAACGCTCCTCCTCGATATTTTCCCTTGTTTCTTTTCGGAACAACCGGTGCAGCAGATCAGCACATCCTTCCTGTTCAACTCGACCCTGATTCTGCTGGGCTTCGTCTGGTGCGGGGTGACCTTCGCCAGGCTGGTCTGCGTGCACCGTGCGCGTGAGAGCGCCCTGAGCGGCGCCCACTTCTCGGACAGGTGTGTGGTAACGGCTGCACACACACACGGGGCGTACAATCCGATAGGTTTCGAATTTGGCCATGGCGGGACGGCCTGTTTGTGTTTTTTTTCTTCTCTTTTTTCTCTTGGTTGGCACCTGTCGGAAGGTGCTGCATCGATTTCAAGTGATGCGGTTATTTTACTCTCACAGCTTCCAATGGGTTATTCCGATACACACGCTGGGTTTGAAGCGATTCGCGAATGGTGCAAGTCGAATCCCAGTTGCTTGCGATGCACGCCAGTTCGAGATAATTACATCCTTCTCACGGATTCAGGAAATATTTAGTACGTCGGGTGAGACTCGTTGACTTTCGAATTGTTTCGACGTGCTGCACCAACGCGCTCTTTAGTCCTTTGGAGAGTTATTGCTCACAGCACAAAAGATGAAAATTCATGCGCGTTCGCCGTTCGCTGCTTGCGTTACCCCGTGAACCACCCAGCGAAGTGCTGACGACTCGCATGTGCGATAGGCACTATAAATATCGGTCGTTTCGATGCCCTCTTTTACGCCCGTTCACGGCTCCGACGGCCTTTCGTGCTGTAGGAACTTGTCGGTCTTTTTTCTTGTGCCCTCTTTTGCGCCCGTCTGCCGTAGCTTACCGCTCCCGACTTGCTGTCTATTTTCTTCTTGTGCCGCACGACAGGAGGGGTGGCCGGGGCGATCAAACGGGCGCAGGGTTTACGGGGACGGGTCTTGGGGCGGCGACATCGGCGGGGCCAGCGGGTCTCACCCCCGCACAGATTCGGAGCCTTGAGCAGACCAACGTGCTCCCGAAACACAGGCGGTTCGGGTCGAAACTGGCCGGCGGCGGGGGCGACATGGATGTGGAGAAGGGGTGGGGTGTCGGGGGCCCCGGGAAGGGGACCGAACCGGCAGCGGCAGGGGAGGGGGTGGAAGAGGAGGCGACGTGCGCGATCTGCCTGTGCGAGGAGGAAGACGGGCAGGACCTGAGGGTGCTGCCGTGCGGGCACTTCTTCCACGCCGGCTGCGTCGACGTCTGGCTGGCGCAGAGCCCGACGTGCCCGTTCTGCAAGCAGCCCGTCGAGCCGCCCTCTACCGAGAGCAAGGCCGGCCTCGTCGGCTCGTCCGCGGTGCCGGTCAGAAGCTTGCGCCGGTGGCTTCGGAATCACGAGCGGGGACCGGGGGCTGTGGTGGCTCAGACGGCACCCCCGGGGGGTCCAACGGGCGGGGAAGTTGAGATGGGCAGCGGAGGTGCAACGAGTGGGGTGCTCTCTGAGCCCGTGGTTGCGAGGACAAGCGGGCTCGTCGGCGGTGGTTCCGGCGGTGGTTTCGGCGGTGTCGATGTTGCCGCTGACGGAGGTGACGCCGACCGACCCCGAGCGGCGTCACAGGGCGGTGGCTCGTCATCTGAAGTGGTCGTTACGTTGGAGGAGGAGGAGGGGGAGGAGGGGGAGCAAGGGCAAGGAGAGCCTCCGGCGGCGGCGCCGCCGCCGCCGCCTACTTCGACGGCTCCGGGAGTCGCCTCCCTGTTGCCGGTATTACCCCCGGCCGCGGTGGCCGGCCATGAGGCCAACCCCGCGGCGACGAGTCCCTCGCCCGGGGGGGGGGCGGAGGCGTTCCCCGCGGCGGCGGCGGCGGCGGCGGCGGCTGCTGGGGATGAGCAATCGGTGGGAGGCCCAACGGACGTGCACCCGGCTGCGGTAGCTGCAGTGGACGTCCCAGACCCGCTCTCCGTATCGGCGTCGAGGTTCGAGGAGCGGGCTTCGGCGTCTACCACCGCCTGAGGGTAAAATCATGGGAGGAGGAGAAAGAAAGGGTGGGTGGGGGCAGTGATGAGCAAGCGTAGCCCGATATTGAGTGTGTCTGTATATACTTTCGTTTTGTCGCAGGGCGAATAGCGCCGCCGGCATAGACGGCCGAGGGGGGCAAAACGCGGCATTGTATGATGTTCGATCCCCCGGGGTACTTGGAGAAATTATCGAAGAGGCAACCGGCCGATTGAGGGGGCCGCCTGACAGGGCGGGTGGGCGAGCCGTGTTGCGATGTGTTGTAAGTAGAGAGGAGCCGGGGCTGTCTTTTGCTGTGTTTGAGGGTTATATGCGTATGCCTCTGTGTTGAGCGGGCTGTACGAACGAACAAGTAGTTGGTTTTGTTTTTGTCCAAGCACCGTTGGTGGCGAGACTTGCAGGAGGGACCTGACCGCCCCCGCCCGCCCCCCGCCCTCGATGAAGGTTTTGTAGGTGCGACAGCTTTTATTTCGTGAATTTGCGATGTACCCGTGTTCACAATGTTTGTTGCTGATCCCACCCCCAGTGTTTTTTCACGGGAGCAGATTAAAACACACGCGATGGGATTGGGGTTGGTTCTGCGAGCACGGCGGTTGTGGTGTAGCCAACACGTCCCATTCTAGTTATAGGGTTAAATGTGAGGGTGAGTCTTATGAGCAAGACTCATGCATACACCCGGTGTCTTTTGGCCGGTCGGGGCTGTGGGTTTAAACCCCGGCTCGCTGTACCGTTTATTGGCGCGTTCATCGTTAGTAGGCATAATGCACTGAGTCGTTGACGAAGCGAAGAGCAATGCTGAATCCTCTCTGCACGATAGATAGTGAAGGCATGGACATGACACCGGATCGCACCTTGCGTTGTAGGTGAACGTATGGTTCGAGTATTTCTATTAATGAACTACTTCTTTGTTTTCAAGAGGCTCACTTGCCGAGCAGCTTTCTTGTGCCTCTCTCTGTCTGTGTTGTTTGTCTTGAGACGATGGTGGCCCACCGCAGTTCTAGCGCCTACGGATATGTAAGTGTGGCGATCCCAATTGGTCGTTCAAATATTTTAATCGATTGCCGGTCGGTATACATGGCTGGCTATACAACACACGGGTTACCTTCCTGATGTCGCGAGCGATTTTGCGCCACACTAATCGTTCAAATATTTTCGTTCAAATATTTTAGTCGATTGCCGGTCGGTATACATGGCTGGCTATACAACACACGGGTTACCTTCCTGATGTCGCGAGCGATTTTGCGCCACACTAATCAAGTACAGAGCTGCAGCAATCTGCCTGCTTCACTTGGATAGCGCTTGAACGATCAACTTTAACCTTCCTTCATGCTTGATGGTGTCGTCGGGCGGACCCACAGCGAGCGCACCTCATAGGATCAATTCTGGCCGTGTTTGCGCTGATATTTTTTTGGCCGTGAGATTTGTCATGTATGTTGGTTGTCAGGCTTTGGGGTGTGCACGAGGGTTGGTGGGCGGATGCCGGTGCAGCAGTATGCTTTGGGATGTCGTGATAACAACTTGCTGCGTCGGGTGGGCATTATTAGCGACACGTGTAGCATAGCGCACGGGTGAGCCAACGAAAAGAACGATGGTGAGGAACCGTTGTGCCGCCCGCACGATTCACGCGGTGTGAGAAGAGGCATGTCGGTGTAGTAGAAGAGAGAGCATGGAGGTGTGCATGCCTTGGTGGCGGCAACGCTGTGCTTCGGTCTATCTATTGGATGTGGTGCTGGGCTTATCAGATTTGCTGATTTGTGGTAGAAATTGTATGATGTTTGTTTTTTTTCGTGTTTGATGGTTGTGTGCGGCGATTTTATCCCTGGCCGGATGACCGTCCTTACTTTTGTTTTCCTTGTGACCGGTTTTGCCGTGTTTATCTTGGCCAGCCTTGAGTTTTGGCCGTTTCGGCACGCCGCTGCGGGAGTCCGCCTATCTCCCCCGAAAGAAATGATTGTGCCCGTTAAGACATGAAAGACATGCTCCTGGTTTGAGGTCGTTATGTCGATCGCATGTTGTGCATCAGTTTGCTCTGGCCAGCCGTTTCTCGTCGTTTCTTGGTGTGTTGTGTACGCTGGGTATTGTTTTGTGCGCCGCCGCCGGTTCCACTTTATAGAGTAGCGAGAGGAAGGGAAGAGTTTTGTGTGTAGATCCCAGCTATTAATAATGCATAGTTGACGAGACCTTAACTTTGTTACCGGTCTGCAAAGAAATGTAGCAAATAAAGGTGGGCAGGGGTGGGTGAAGCTGCGGCGTGATGCGGACAAACACAACAGCGACCTACCTCAAAGAAGTCCCACCAGAACAGCAAGGTGTGTGTTGAGCGAGGGACAACCTTCCTACTTGCTGCGTGATTCGTTTCACATTTTGCTCACACTGAGGCCGCCCAACACCGGTGCAGACGAAGGGGTATTAACCCATATGCCCTGCGTACGGTGTGCAATCTAGGTCCTCCTAACGGAATAATACCTGTAGGCCACCATCATGGCGACATGGGGGCGTCTTTCTCCTTCCCGTCGCTCAGGACGTTTAGACTAGACGTAGACAAAGCCCTCTTTGGATGATGGATCTATCTGTAGCCTAGATTGCATGTGCATGCATAGCTCCGACTTTGTTTGGCCGCCCTGTGGCTGCTTGTTCTGCCTCCTGCGGCCGCGGCACACCAGCCCTTGTGTTGGGTAGAATTTAGTTGTAGCAGCAAGATAATCATCCCAGGACCGTTCCATAGATCGCACCCCTGGATCCAGGAACCGGTACTTGTACAGAGAGGTACGGGACATTGACGCCAGATCACATACATGTATTGGTGTCGACGAGGTACGCTCATGGAGAGAAATATAAAGACCACCGAAAGACTTCTGTCTACGTGCTCTGGCTTGGTTCTGGCCCTGGTCCGGGGAGAGCGTTCACAGTCAGCACGGGGGGCGGGTGGCACCCTGTGGAGTGGATTTTGTTCGTCATGTTTTGTTACCGCCCAAAAAGACAGAAAACGGAAAACCCCGAAAACCCGACGAACGAACAAATTCCAGCAAGTTCCGAACAAATTCCACGCAGCCCTGGCGCTGTCCTCGCTGTCTGTGTGCCCATACTTCGAACACGGGGTATTAAAAATCGTGCTTCATCATGACGAACATCCTTCCCGAGTCTTGCAGCGTTACACTTGACGGAGCACACGGCCTGACAACACAGACAAAAGAGTGCTTATTTAGAATCTGGCGTTGCAATACTACTCTGTTGTAGCTGTTCCCCTCGTTGTTCGCACCCGGTTGCGTTTGGTTTGCGGCTTTCACCCCACTGCCTGTTCGGGACAATGCATTCGAGGTGAACTTGGAATTTCTCTGTTCTGTTCCAAAAAAGCGAGTATTTCACCTTTCATCAGCATTCGTGAGGTTCAGCACAATGGTGCTGCGTTTTCTGTAGCCATCATCGCGTGCAGCACTACGAATGCAGAGGAGCTGTGGGTTCGGTCTCTTTGGACTTGTCAAAAAATGTCGTGCTCTTCGAAGTGCGTACGCTGCTGCTGCTGCTGCTGCTGCTGTAGTCAACGGTCCTCCGTAATCATACTGTATGAGAAAAATCATCTTGGCCCAAACTCACCCAAGCGGCAATGCACCGAGCTATATCCATGCCGTTCTAAGCGGATCCATCACGCTTAATTCTCTTCACCACACCGTTCCCGACATTATACTCGACGCACCGCTGGTCCACGGCACCACGCACTCGACTACTCACTGCTGCTGCTGTTGTACGCATTCCTTGGTCTTAGGACGGACGACAAACTCCCTTCTGAATGTACTCGCAGGTGCCTGCCGCAGGCGCAGAGGTAAGGAAAGGTTGATGTACATGAGCACTACAACAACCAAAGCCAGCACAGCAACAACACCGGCTGCGGCAGCGTTGGTGCAAGTCGCAGGTTAGTCTTCCCTGCGAGAGCGTACTCTGAGCAGAAGAGCACACAATAGATATGGCTGTGTGTGAAGGAAGGGTCATCACCATGACTGTAGCGCCCCGTATGTTGCTGCTGACTGCGATGGATGCAGGAGACATCGTGCATGTAATGCATACGACATCAACACCGTATCTATCGACGGAACCTTTGGGTCTCTGTACATCCGAACGCACCGTCGACCGTTGGCTGTTTTCGAGGGAGACTTGATGGATTCACTCTGGCATGCACCCTCAAACGGAACAGGACCCTCACTCGTCTCTCCCGAGACGATCAAGGCCTCGATCGATACCGCTACTGTTACATACAGCACAGCGGGACATTGCTGCTGCGGGATATCGATCAGTCTACAGTTTCCCAGTCAACTGTTGGTGACATCATCACCGGTGTACTGCCTGGACCATCGAAGAATCAGGATCTGGGATAACCATCCTCCTACGTGTATACATAGCAGCATGACCGTTCGGTGTATGCATGTACTGTACCACAGTAGTACACGAGGATATCCTCGCCAGGGTATCGCGTGTTTCATGTTTCAAGCCGTGTCTCACCCAGAACTACTGCTGCTGTGCGTGTTAGAAGCCCGTGTCCCACTCAGAAATACTGCTGTGTGCATCAGTTATGCTGTATCGACCCGCTGGGCTGTAGTAGTCTCACTACTGCTTCTGCTGTAGAGGGCGGGAAGAACAATATCCGAAAATAAATGGGAGATCTTCATGTACGTGCACAGCAAAAAAACGTTGCACAGAGATCAGGGTATTTTTCAATGAAGTGAAGATTGATTGACGAGACTTGAAACGAGTGGGTGAACCGGTAGTCTCTCTGGATGCTGTCATAATTACCTGGTACATATGATATGTCAGTTGTAGTATGTTTCATTATTTTACGTGATGTGCTCGAAGGGGGCGGGCAGACTGACGCAGTATGCGGTGTAGCATCTGTTTCCAACATGCATCCACCATCCATTATTAGTAAATAAAGTGGACTATACTTCACCAGCTGCTGCCGAACGGCTTTCTTTGTCCAGCCTAGCCCAGCACCACGGGGACGGTTGTTGTGAGGTTCACACGTGTAGCAATCCCTGAAGATCCACTCACTTGTTGGTTGTTATTGTGTCTCTCTCTTGATTAATTCTCATTAATGCAGTAGTAGCACACTTGCCGAGTCCTAGGCAGCTGCTTCGGATAGACTGAACAGAAGGGGGCGCGGGCCGCTCCTTGCTGAGAGGGAGATGCTATGGCTAGACTATATCCCATGTTTAGCGACAATCCAAAGGAGTTGCAGTTCCCGCAGATCTACATATCTTGCCTAGAACTACCGTTGAGATCCTTGCTCCAATCCCTAACACGGTGGTCGGTGTAGACTGTACTTGCGTGTCCAACATCAAGTACTGAGAAGATAATTCGTCGTTTGAGGAAGGTGTGAATACTGTAGCCCCGGGCATCGTCACGGAATTACAGCTAATATTGTTATGTTCTGGAAGGACAGACTTTACTCGTGCGGCACATCCGCCGGGAAGACTTGTTGGCGTCTGGTCATGATCTCATCGCGGTAAGCTTGCGATCTTTAGTGGCCTGTCCGTTGTCTCGCTCCTGCTACCGCTCTGATGAAGCGGTCTCCAAACAAACTTACTTGCCACCTAGACTGCTCTGTCTGTAAGAGCACCACCATCCGTGATATTTTATTGCAGTAGAAGAACAAGGGTAAATACCGGGATACTATGTAGTTGCTTGGTGCGACGATGTTTGTTTGTCGAACTGCGGTACACGCCGTTGCTCCCAGACACAGTGATTGACGTGCCTTGTTGTCATCGTATGGTCATTCGAAGGTGCTCTGCAGATCAGGAAGTGTTTAGAGGTGTCCGTGGGCGTTTGTTTATGGACGCCCGTGGAAGTTGATGGACACGTCCGTGGACGCCCATGGCAGTGTCGACGGACGGACACGTCCATGGCATGGTCAAAACATCTACATACATACTACTCCGTAGATACAAATATACATCGGCCGGTATGGGTGCTCCTGGAGCTCATGATGCTGCCCTTTCACTTCGTGCTGCTACACCACCTCTCAGGAGTGCGACTTCGAGGGTCGTGCGGTAGCTCAGCCGCAGGAGTCAGTCGACCGTTCGCCATTGGCGACATTCTTGTTGTCCGGTAGCCGCGAGCAGCACCTCGTCTTCACGGGATTGGACGGAGCTGGCCCACACTTGGCATATCTCACCTCCACCGTGCACTTTTCGATTAGCGCTGGACACAGCCTGGAGAGGGCTGGGGGTCCAATGCAGGTATGCGTATGATGTAGGTGCGGGATTGCATTTGTCCAAGGCTGGCAAACCCGTGTGCTTCCCGCGAGGAAATCCAGGCGTACAAGTACCTACCATGGTATATTTAGAGCGCCAGCGACAGAGAGGTTTTACGACCGGACAGATGGTGAATTCAAACAAATTGTCATAATCGTCTCGAAAACTTGATGTTGAGCTCCGACGTTACATTCACGAACGCCTCACTATTAGACTATGGCGGCCGTTTCCTTTCTTCCGACTGCGTTCAGGTGGGGCAAGACGGGCGAGTCTACGTCGCAGTCAAGTATCCCAGTATCAGCGAGCTCTGGCCGGAGATCTACAACAATAGATCCATCCGAGTCGTGCAGGTATGGCATGATTTCGTCATATCAAGTATCAGCGTGACGGGATGAATGTCAATGAGAATCCTGCGCTGTGCTTTACCACGCTTGATTTGCCAGCCGAAAAGTCTCAACATACGTACGTAAGCTTGTGCCGATCGACGATCAAAATTGTCAATATAAGGTTGTCGATGCGCCTGCCGTGTTGCGTTGAAAGTATCGTGTTTGGACGGCCATGGAGCTATCCATCGTCGAGTGCCCCTTCGGAGCTCGTATGCATTCTCCCCCCACACAAAAACGGGGAAGAAATGCTGAGGTTCCTTGACAGTAGCGAGATGAAGGTGTTGAACGGTAGAGTACGAAAGACAGAACCGGAATGGACTAGGCAATGTTTCAAAAAAGGAGAACGCTCCATCCTTGACTATATAGTCGTAGAGAATGGGGGGAAAGAGACGGAAGTACGAGTATGCACAACGGATGTAGGCACTACAGACCACGCGTTGGTGTGGACAGCCCTACAACAGAAGAGAGTCATACAGAGTAGGCGACGCAGGAAAATGTACAGATGGAGAATAGATAAGCTAGAAGTAGAAGAAACGAGGGTAGAGTTCCAAGAAGAGATGGCTATAAACGACAAGAAACTCTCGGAGTTGATGGAGGCAATGGGTACACCGAAGGATGCCGAAGGCCGGGACCAGGCCGGGTCTAGAATCATAGAAGGGTGGGAAGAGCTGGTAAACACAACAGCAAGCAGAGTTCTAGGTAGAAAGTTGATAGTTGGTAAGAGAGCAGTGAAGTGGTGGGACGAAGAAATCAAGCAAGCAATTCGAGTACGTAGAGAGTCACACGCAAAATATGCGGCAGGGAAAACAGATGCAGGATGGAAGGAGTATGTTGAAAGTAGAAAGAGGGTGAAGGAGTTGGTCGTGAAGAAGAAGAAAGGGTTGTGGGAGGAAGTAGTCCAAAAGACTAACGAAGATTTTGAGGGGGGGATGAAGCAAATGTGGGTAGGAATTCAAGGGATAGTGGGCAACAAAAGAGGGGGAGACACGGAAATAACGACACTAAGATCTGCCGAGGGTAAGATGGTAAGCAGTTCTAAAGGAAAGAGGGAAGTACTAGTAGAGCAATACCGCAAACTTGGGACACCCACCACCAACGACAACTTCGACTCGGAGTTTGAGAAGGAAATCGACTCGTGGGCAGAGGAAAACGTTGAAAGATCTCAGAGGGAACGTAGTGATGTAGACGGGTTGCAGGGAGAGTTCATACGAGAAGAGGTAGAGGACTGCGTAGCGAAACTCAAGAATAGAAAAGCGGCAGGGGCTGATGGAATTGTGAACGAGCTTTTGAAACAGGGGGGGGAGGGGATGATTAACATGTTGGTCCGGATATTCAACTGGATATGGAAACACGAGTACGCGCCGAAGAGATGGAGAGAAGGAGTAGTCGTGAACCTGTTCAAAAAGGGGGATAAAGCTGACTTGGGGAATTATAGAGGGATAACCCTGTTGAGCACAGTGGGGAAACTGTTTGGCAAGATGATAGACAATAGAATGGGAGACATGTTGGAGGGGAAACAAAAGATCAGCGAAGGACAAGCTGGATTTAGACCAGATCGTAGTTGTGTAGACCATGTATATACGTTGAGTGAAATCATCCAAGGTAGGAAAGACGCCGGGCGTACGACATACTGTTTCTTCCTCGATATACAAAAAGCCTACGACACCGTATGGCGCAATGGATTGTGGGAAAAGATGTGGGACATCGGCATCCGGGGGAAAATGTGGAGGATGTTGAAAAAGATGACAGAATGCACAAGAAGTGCGGTGATGTTGGATGGGGAAATTTCGAAGTACGTGGATATACTCCAAGGAGTCGCACAGGGCTGTACGATGTCACCCACTCTTTTTAAGATTTACATCAACGATTTGATAAGGGCGGTTGAAGCAGTAAGACAGGGAGTCCAAGTAGAGGGAAAGAGTGTGTCCGGACTGATGTTTGCAGATGATTTCGTGGGGGTATCCGAAACACCAGAAGGGTTGCAAGAACAAATAGATGCGGCGGTAGGATACACCCGAAAATGGAGACTGTCGGCGAACGTAGGAAAATGCGCAGTAGTGGTCTGTAACGAAGATAAGAAAAATCCCGTAGAAATTCAAATGGAAATGGGGGGAGGAAGAACTACCGGTAGTAGACAAGTATACGTACCTGGAGTAGAGATTTCGAAGGAGTGCTCATGGGACGCACACATAGCGAAGTTGATTGGGAAGGGTAAAGCTCAGATAGGCAAGATGGACGAGATCCTTACGGACCCACACCTAGACACTAGGATTAAGAGGTGTATTCTCTTGAAGGTGATTGTACCTAAGCTAGAGTATGCAGGAGAGATATGGGAAGGTAACGAAAAGGCCGTTAAGCAGCTGGAAACGGTGCAGATGGCAGCGGCCAAGAAAATAGTAGGATGTTCAACTACAACGAGCAACACTGTATTGAGAGCAGAATTGGGAATGTACTCTCTTAAAACAAAGAGAGACATGCAGAAGTTGAAGTGGCAGTACAAGGTAAGTAGAATGTCGGACGATAGACTACCAGCCATGGTTGACGAGGCAGCTTGGGGAAAAGCGACTCCAGGGAAGAAGGGAATCAGATGGGACAAGGTGGTAGAGAAGGTTTGGAAGGAGATAGGAGACGAGGAGGAGACGTTGGACACGGAAGGGTTCGGGGGGTTCAAGACGAAAGTCAAGGAGATGCTAGAGAGTAGGGAGGAGACAACCCTTCGGAAGACGGTACGAAGCGAAGACCACTTGGAGATATACGGGAAGTTGAAAGAAGGGATAGGGATGAAGAAGTACTTGGACGGCCCCATGGACTATGCGACAAAGCTGAAATTGCAATTTCGAGTAGGCGATCTGGACTTGCCAGAACGGAGGAAGAGGTATACCAGCCGTAGGAGAGAGGAAGAGGAGGATAGACACACATGTCCATGTGGCAAATCGGAGGAGAGTAGACCCCACATAGTTGGGGAGTGTGAGTTGTACAGGAAGGAAAGAGAGGATCTCGAGGAGGAAATGAGACAGAGAGGGTGTGACATGGACAAGTTTGGTAAATTAGACAACAGCGAAAAAACGATCGCGATAATTGGGGATAGATGGTGGGCACAAGAGGCCCTAGAGGACGGGGATAAGATGTGCAAGAAATTTTTATGGAGTTTGTGGCAGAAACGTAAAGAGCTCCCAAATGTTGGTGGTGTCTCTAGTAGGTGTAGGAACGGTGCTCCGTCTCGAAAGGGACGCGTGGTCAATGGTCAAATGACTACGGCAAGCAACAAATGAGTACGCCCCCCCCCCCCCCCCCACCCGTTCCGGCATCTGTCTGCACCCTTCCCACAAACAAACGTGAGCTAAGCCGTCGTTGTTCGTCGTTGGATGATACACAGGTGGATGTCTATGTTACGGTTCGATCAGGGCACGAAACTATTCGTCACCCCGGCACCGACCAGAAGGTGATGGTGTGCCAACCCATACTGTTGCCACGTTAATGTGCGGTAATGATACGTCGGTTCAAATTCCCACGAAATGTAGTTCTACGATGGAGGCTACACCCCTTTGGCACCTCAGAATAGGGTACGACAAGCTTAACGCACATGTGGTTTTCTTCCGAAATAGGCTCTTGAATGGATGCTGTTTCCACGAGTCTGATTATCAGCAAGTTTCTTCGCTCGGTCGGGCGAAATTTGTCGAACGATCGACATGAGACCTTCCTCAACGTTACCCCTGTCAACGAGATTTTCCGTCTTGGAGTTGAAAGATTCAACGGATTCCCATCTTCTTCCTTTGAACTCACAGCCTAGTTCGCTCCCTAGGCCAAAAAATAGCCTCGTTTCACGGTGTCGCATCGTAACTCCTCTCCTCCTCATGCACCTTGCAAATCCCGGCACTTTCGACGGTCCATTGGCTATTAACCCCACCCACCCGCCCTATCCATCTTGGCGCCCCCTCTCTCCTTGTCCCGCAACACAGGTTACGTACCGACGCGACAGAACCCCTGCGGACAACATCGTACTTTGGAGACCCCAAGACAAAGTAAACACGATAAGGAGGCCGTAATGGGTTGGTAAAACATCCACCTCGTCCTTGCACGGAGGTAGATGGGTTTTACGATAACAACGTGAATGCAATGCCGGTGTAAGTACATACATGTGTTGTGATGTGTAGTCGTGGGGTTGTGCCAGACAGAGTGATTGAATTAGGTATTTTGTTGAACTTTGACGAATGAATGAGGGGGTTGGACGCCTTGAGTTTTCGCCTAGTTTTGTAGTGTCTGTGTGAGGAACCACTTGAGTGAAGCCACTCAATACGGCTGCAATTACGGCAGGGTTGGGCCTGAGACAAGCCACGTTCATGTCATGGCTCGTTTGTTTGTGAGTTTGGCATACCCAAAGAAGTTCTTCGGCATTGGCCGCCGTGTACCATCCCCTACACCTGAGCTGTTGAGCATTCCCCAGTATAGAAAATACGAACTGTGGGGGGGGGGGGTGGGAGAATTGTGCCTGGGGCGCACGGCCACAGGTGTCACGTGTAGACTAGTGACTGTACGCCAAGCAACGCGATAATAAGTGGCAACAGTTGATACATTGTCCTCTCGGTTTTCTTCTGTCTGGAACTTTCCCATGGTGAGACTGCATGCAGTATCTATGCGCCCTCTCTTTCACACCTGCCAGACTTTGAGGCCAGCCTAGAAGGGGCGGGTTGTTGTTATTGTTGTTGTTCATGATGTATGTGTTGTTGTGGTGGTGGTTATGGTTGTTGTGGTGGTGGTTGTCGGTGTCGTTGTTGCTATTGTTATTATTGTTGCTATTGTTGTTGTTACCATTTTTCCGTTTACATCCTTAGCAAAGCTTAAAAGCGACCACCATCTCGGTGCCCCTGCCGACAATGACAATATTAGGAAACGCGTTCTCTGGGTTCTCTCGTCTCCCCTCTCAATTCGTCTTGGCAATGGGAAGGGGGGGCTTCGGAGGGGTTGCCATTTCCCCGCCGCAAGTACCGTGACCGTTGCCAATCTTCCTGCTCCGGCTTCTTGCATGTTTGTTTGCTCGTAGATGCATGTTGTTTTGGCCCACAGTCATCACGTCGTTGCGGGTTCCAAAAGCGAGAAGTCCTCGGAAACGTTTGTTGCCGTTTGTGTCTGGGGAGTGCCCCGTAAAACGCCAACAAGTTCCTGGCCTCCCCAATGGAGGCTTCATGTCCGGGGGTGATGGTTTGTTGTTGTCAGAGCAAGCCGTGAGACTCTTCTTACTTTTGCGCTGTCCCCTGCAGGCGCTCTCGGTGAGTTTTGCAGAGGACCAGCTTCTTCTTCACCCTATACAGGGAAGGTCCAGGAACCGCCCCCAGCCAAACACGGTAAACTGCTCCGACGCCGGCGCTCCCTCCTAACCGAGGTCCTTCGCCATCACAGCTTCATCGCCAGGAGGAACACCTCCACGACTTAGGTTTTGCGGCCCGCACGGTCGGAAAGTTTCGCCCATTCGTGTGCATATAAATTTCCACTGCGAAAGAATCATGTGTCAGGTGAAAAGCTGGAGGAGGATGCCACCCCGCCCCCTCGTGATGCCACCTCCGGCCACGACACCTCTTGCGCGGGCGGCGAGGTACCGCCACGCGCCTCCTTGCCACTGCTGTCTGGCGATCTCACCCCACGAACCGTCCGCCTACGAACAACAACAATGTGGCTCCTGCTATGCCACTAGAGAACCGACGCCCCGTACGGTCTCATACGCGCCCTCCCTTTTTCGCAGCTTCCGGCCGACACGGCCACGACCCCGGGTTTTCACCTCTTTTCCTTGCGGGTCGGCTTGTGAGTGTCTCCATCGGTCTTCTTGCCGAGAGTTAGGAGATCGTGACCATAAAGTTCGCAATCCCCCATCATCCGCGCGAAGGAGATCAAACGCTCGCTGCCTGCCGGCATGCAGTCGATCGAGAGAAGATCACTCCCAAGCATCGACGACCTGAAAGCCGGTTGACGATCGACTCAAGTGATGACGGCGTTGTCAAAACCGCCGGAGGAAACATCGGTCCGGCGGTAAGTGGCGCGTGCCTACGGAGATTTTCAGGTAGAGAACGGTGAGAAGCCATTATTTGCGTCGGGGTTGGCAGCTCGTATCCAACACCCCGAGCCCTCCCCCCCGTTTGGGTTGATGCGGGGAGTGACGTGCACTCTTGCCAAGCAGGTTTCGGTGTCGGGTAGCGGTGATGGCGGTTTTTGTTGCTTCTGCTGGGTCCAGGTTGGGGAGCAAGCTTGCCTCGTCGTGAAGGACTGTTGGGTTTTGTGTGTCCAGGTGAACTTCAACAGAGATGCGTATGCGCATGATGTACAGTAGTAGTAGTCCACGACAACAACTTGAAGGCTACATGTTGCTAAACAGCGTTGAGCTGTTTGTTTTGTCTGAGGCGCGCTCTACCATTCCAAGGCACCCGTTACCATTGGACGAAACACATACACACACAAGGAGAGAGGAAAGCACCTGGGAGGTATTTACCTACCACCTACAGCAGCAGTAGACTTTATAATCCCGGCGGGCGGGTAGACATTACCGATGGAAACTGCTGTGTGTTGTCCGGTATCACGGTGTGATCTGGGGTGGTAGAGGACGATGTGCAGGTACCCAGCATGAAACATAAACTACATGTGTATGCATACGAAACCGGGCATTTGGCACAGAATCTACTCTGTAGGATAGGTATATACCCACATACTACGATCGATTTGCGTGTATGATATCACAATACTCTATGCATTCAGTAGTCCCGGAAGGTGTTGTAAAAGCCTCCGCGGAATATTATACATTGGAGATAACTACAGCATGCTGATTACGCGTGGCCAGATCGATACAGAGAGGTGCGACAATGTACGATTCGCACCAGGTCGTTTTTGTGGTGGAGTACTGGAGCAGGTATGAACAGGAGCATTGTCACATACCCACTCGCCGGGTAGGCAAATCATACGGACGGGCTCATTGGTGCAAGAGAGAGAGCGGTGTGTCGGCAACAATCTGTCCGAGCAGCGAGCGCGTTTTGGCACGGGTGGCCCGGTCAGCAAATAATTTTGGTTTGTGAAGGTTTTGTATGAATAAACTGTTGTTCCGTCTTCAAATTCCAACCATCTCCATCCCTCGGAACGGTTTTTAATGTGAAGACAACAACAACAACAACAACAATCCCTGGATGTTTGGGTGGAGCCTTCGTCCGCGGGTTTCTACCACACAACAGCCCCTTGTTTGCTGCTGTGTGCCCCATGCACCTCGACCGCTTTGCCCTGCAGCAGCCACGACTGACTGCCCTGTGGCGGAATTAGAAAATGAACCTTCCGAGGGCCGTTAGGCGGACATACCGAAAGGACACCCCGGAGGGAGCAAGGGTTGGTGCACCGGAAATGGGCGGTATGCTGAATTTAGAATGGTTGACACCCAAATCTGTCCACCCAGAAACAATTCTGAGAAAATTCTGAACCACCGATTGACGAGGGTTCGGGGCTGCTGCCGGTTCCGTTTGGTCCGCCTCTTGCGGTCGGGAGAGAGGAAATCCGAACCGTTCAACACCGGGAGTCATTGTAGGAGATGCCGGTACGCTGTGTGGCACAGCCATCGGTGGCCATCCCCGGGTTCAACCGCATACTGACCCTTACCGCGCGTCCAGACCCTTCATTCACAACTTCGTCGAGATTCTCCGAGAGTGCAGCAGACCGTAGCATGAACGGGTTGGCATTACAGATGCAACGCATGCTTCACAACTTTCGTTCTTGGCTCTCTGCTTTGAAAAGAAAGTGTCCGCGCCTGTTGGACTTCTATTCACAGATGATGCTTGGATGCTCTCCAACGGTACTCGGACAGAAGAGAGATGCGACTTTGGATGTGCTGGTCTTGTGTGCAGTCAAACCAGCTCTCACTGAACCAAGAGACCTTGCTGTCATTCGCACACATCCGCCACAACACCTTTCTCTTGCCCTACAGCAGTTCGACAGCTCCGCTACAGCAGACAGCAAACCACCCCGTGCGGCCACGTTGACACGTACTGCAATCGCCCCCGGACGGACTACTACCTACCGAGACCTGACAGCTGAATGTGCTCGCAGGTGAGCATAGATGTTTAGATAGGTGCCGACACAAGGGACAGAGACATGGATGTGAACTTTTCTTGAGTGCAGCGGGGATAACGTCAGCGAAGCGGCTGATTGTTGGCAGGTTTGTAGCCTGTGCTCCTCCTCTCTGCCGCACCGTACTGCAGTAGCGCGGCGCATCGCAGCACAGCAGCGCAGGGCCGCAGAGAGGGCATCATCAGGATCGCGGTGAAGAGTATACTTTTCGCTCACAGAACAATACTACTTTTTTTTGTGATAGCGCGAATCTAGAGAGGACGTATTCCACCACCCCAGGGCGAGTTCAGTGTTCAAAGACCACTTTTGTTTCGTCCGAGAGGAATCCATCAACGCCATCGATTGACCGGACTACGTCCCCTAGTTGTCTCTGGCAGCGGTACTCGAGCAGCCGTCGTCGACGGTAACGGCATCGACCTCCTCAACGGACAGCCAGCAGTTTAACGTGCAAAAAACTTCTGCTTATCGGTGCACCGCCCAGACCAGGGTGTAGGGTATCAATGGGTACACGGATACTTCAACCCGGGATGTCACTGCCTCAACACAGCCGATAAATAGGGATAGCTACACGTGATTGTAGGTGCCGCGTGCAACCTGTGGAGAGCTGCGGCATGCCACTCGTGTCCGAAAGCGTTATGTACCTTTGGGCTTTGGCCAAGAGGTTGACAAAACATGCACTCGACAACGTTCGTGCCGAATACAATGCAAACATGGTGGCTCTATTTGAAACTTGTCGATGTGGTGCGGTGCGGGGCTATATTTTGAGCCACGTGGAGACGGAGTATTAGGCTGTTTACACACGCACTGAAGACGGCGAGATGGATAGGGTCTGCAGGGGATACGCACATCAGCACATCAGTAGTGTTGCATAGACAATAGAGCGTGTCTGCCTTGTAAAGTAGTTGCTTGCTGCCCCAAGTCAGGCTTCTCATTATTTTATTCTGTTACGTAACCCAACGAACGGTAGTATGTCTGGGTTGTTGCAGGATTAGGCCAATAACGCATCTCATTTTGTTTTCAGGCCTCTTCGTACCTTCAAGCGGCGGCGCGTTTGTTTGCACGCTGCGTGCTTGCACTACAGCTAAAGTACCTACTGCGGCTCCGTAGACATCCTGTCCCTGCTGCCGAACGGTGTGCAAAGAATCTGCATCATCTCTAGTGCATCGGGCTCATTGATGCGACGACGTTTGCGATTGGGAACCACGGCGTGACGATGTTACGCGTCGGCGGCTATAGTTTGTGCAGCAGGGAAAACAAAGCACCACTACTACTATAACTTACGTGTACACATGCACGCACCACTCTCTCTCTCATCTGGTGTGATCGCATGTAATTCGTGCAAGGATGTGTTTTCCAGTCTGTGTCCTCGCTCCTACTTCAAATCTCTTCCCGTGTACATACAACAATAGTCTCATCCCCACGTTTGACAACTCTCTTCCTCTAATTCCATGGGAAGAAATGTGGTGATTCGCTGAAGATGATGTCGTTCGGTTTCTTCCCGGTCCTCTCTCTCTTCCCTAAAGCTCTCTCTTCGCTAAAGCATCCCTGTTTGTTTGCGACACCGTACATTCGTTGCATGCTTCCATTTCATCCCGTCGAATGTGCTTGTGTTTGTTTATTACAGTATTAGCACCGCCCGCGCCAACCGATGAATGAACAGACCTCAGGCTAAGTGCCGTTGAAAACACAAAATTATTCTTAGCGTCATGATCGGGGACCCCGTAGGGGATGTGTGTGTTTTTACTATTAGCATCGACGACGCTAACCGGCTGACCAATGAAAAGACGTCAGTCTCAATGTGTGTGTGTTTATTTTCTGCGTGTGCGTACATCTGGGGGCTTCCAGCCAGAGACACACACACGCACACGTCGTCCAACCTCGCATGATATGATACCATAGCTTTCTTGCAAGGCGCTCTGCAGATAGATCAGCAAGAGTTGGTTCACGGTGGTGCTCTTTCTCTTCATGCTACAAGCACGCGCGCCCACTCAAGAACCTGTGGCTAAGAAAAACGTTCGTGCTTTGAAATATTGTACGGAGTGCAGTACACCCCCGTAGCATGACCACAACAAAAACGGGTGCTCAGTTTAGAATCCTCCACGCTACATCCCATACATATATACAATAATTGATGTACGGTGTCCCCACAGTGTAAATAACAACGGGCGTCGGGCAAAAACACAAGAGTTTCTTGCTTACTACGTGGCGGCGCCTTCTTCTTCTGTGTGTAACTCTCTCCAGGTGTGCGACTTCCACGGACGTGCGGTGGCACACCCGCAGGAATCAGTCGTCCCTTCAGCCTTGGCGGCTTGCTTCATGTCCGGCAGCCTCGAGCAGCACCTCGTCTTCACGGGATTGGTCGGAGCCGGCCCTCACTTGGATTATCTGACCACCACCGTCTACTTCTCGATCAACTCTGGGCGCCCGCTGGCGAGAGCCGCCGGTCCAATGCAGGTATTAGGTGCTACTTTTGTTTCGCCGTTGACCTGAATAGCTTTCCTGTTAGAACTGTACCGTTCAAGTCCATGTGCTCAAATCCCGTAGTAACACCTCGACATGATTTGGCGGTCTCTGCAGCCCGGGGGCTGGTTGTTGTCCGTAAAACGACCATCCGGAGGTAGGGGCGGAAGAGGAAACACGATTGACTGCCGTTGTGGCAGCAGTAGCATTTCCTCTCGTCGAAATGAAAGGAGTTCTCTCGTTTGCTTCGAATTTTGCACCGAACTCGCGTACATCAACGGAGCCAGCCGCAGACAGTGAAACGACCATTAACGACGATAAAACGCCACGAAAAAACAACCGTCGGCACCACAGATATAAAGAAGCGTCTTCTTTTCCTTCATGCTCATACTCCCTTATCGAAAACAACTGACCCGACTCGCCACTTTTCTTCTCCCTGTCATGCTGCGTGATGTCATGTCATGTCATGTCGTGTATGGGCTACCGGCAGGTGGGGGAGGACGAGCGCGTCTACGTGGCCGTGAAATACCCTACCATGAACGAGCTCTGGCCGGAGATCTACCAAAACGTCGCCGTTGAGGTGGTGCAGGTGCGCTTGGTTCCTTCTATTTTATTCTTCTCCGTCAACGTAATGCGTAGGCCCGACCGGGGAGTCACAACAACATCGATCGATCACATGGTGCACACCATCCGTCCGTGTATTGCGCCGCGGGTCAGTAGAAGGTCCCGCATTAAACAAATGTGGTACTTGTAGAGGAAGGGCACGACGGAAGCAATTAACGTTTGTCTGTATTAGTTTCGTTCGACGTGTACCGGATTTGATTCATCGTCGGTAACCTGCCGCGGAGAGTCCGCCGAGCATCAACAAAACCTCGTATGTATGCATATAACGGGGACTATTTCACATGTTCCACAAACGAACGTGTTGAGCCACTGTCTTCCTGTGGTACAACAGGTGGACGTCTTTATCACGGTTCGTTCGGGGCACAAGACTATCCGTTATCCCGGCACCGAGCTGAAGGTAGGTGTTATTTATAGTCGTCTGGTGCACCATCAGTGATTGGTTGCTCTGAGTGGTGCGAGGCCGCCGTGCCTGAAATATCCCGATCACCAGTCCTACTATTTACTGGTACATACTGCTGTACTCCGGATAGGATAGGATCGATTTCGCATTTGTGATGGCGTATGGCAACAAAAGGAGCAGCAATTACTCTGTGCCTCCGCTCAGAGATGCGCTTGGTATTGCCTGGGGGTCGTTGTGTCAACCTCTCTTCGTATCTAGGCGGTATCCGCTGAGGCGTCCCCATAAAAACGTGCCGAAAGGCGTGGAGAACTGACGACGCCCGGACGAAACAACAAGTGTTTAGTCTGTCATGGTCCTTGTTTCCTCCGTTCTTCATCCATCCGCCATTATTCGTGCTTGCTTGCAAAGGGAGATGTTTTCTGTGTGTAGTCCAAATTGCCCCATGTCGTCATGGTACGCGAACGTCCTTGCTCTATCGGCAGTCCTTAGTGTTGGCGTTGTTTTGCTCGCACTCGCCCGCCATTCCTTACCGCTGCTGCTGCAGTACATACCCTCTCCTCATGCCAACATTGTGGTTCGATTATATATTTTTTTATAGGTGACATACCGGCGCACCAGGATGTCCCCGGATGTTGTCGACTACGACGATGATGACGAGGAAGAGTGAAGACGATGATGACGAGGAAAAAGAGTGAATACGACCAGATTCGTAAACAACCGTTCGCGGCGTCTGCAGGAGGAGTGGCCCTTTCCTCCGCTCCAGACACTGAGGCAGGCGCGTCGTGCGTGATGTAAATACAACGCGCTACCTACGGTGTCGTCCCCGGTAGTCGCATGTTACATGGTGTCTTGTCTGTCTTGTCTTGTCTTGGTTGATTGATTGAGTGGTGTGAATGTGTGTACGGTACGTTGTGAAATTTTGAGGTATGTTTTGTTTATTAACGCCGACGTTGAGTGCAGGTGTTTCTGTAGTGAATTGGTGCCATTTTTATTTAATTGCCCCTCTGGCTAGAACTCGGAGCGGGCTGCGCACTACAGGGGGCTGGACCTTTTGGTTGGTTGAGCGCACCCAGCACGTATTACTACTGTCTCGCCTACATCTAGCATGTCATGTGTGAAGGCAGACTGGCGTGTTTCGCGTTGGTTTTTTTATCCTTGTGTGATGATCCTACGTCGTGGGAGCTGGTCGAAATACGCCAACTACGTATGCTTTTATCGATCACGTTTACTTTAAGATTGCAGGATTTTGTTTTGGACACCGAAAGGTCAAGGTTTTGTTTCATGGGGGGGGGTGGGACTATAGATAATCTGACTTATGTTTCCACGTATAGCATATAATACATTCCAGGAAGAAATCGTTCGTGCGAAGTTCATTTACAGGAGGAATGGCAGCGCGTCCGGACCACAACGAACGGTTAATTTTATTTTGGTGTTTGTTTGTGGCCAGCCACCCGCATTGGTTTCTTCTTGACGGGGAGGTTGACTTGCTTGTTGGTTGTTTTGTGCCGCGCTTCATTGCTGCTATTTTTGCTGTCAGTCGCGTAAAGCCTCAGCTGTCTGTTTGTTCTTAACTCTATTTGTGTTTGTCGACGATCGGCGTTTTTATGTTGTTGTTGTTGTATACTAAAATCCTTTGAGGCGACAAGGAACCGGAGATGATCCATATTGATTGATGTATGTCTGAACCGAGCTTCTGAGTGGTTCGGCGGGATGAGCCGTCACGCGACTTTTACAACATACATACGTATGGGGAGGGTGGGGACTGACTGTTGTTGTGCTTGCAGTAAGTCACAGAAGTGTGCATAGAGATTGTGCGGTGACGATAACAACCCTCAACGTGCCGGGGCGCATCTGCTGCCCCCCTTACCTGTCGTCTTCTCTTGAGCAGTGACTTCTTGGACCTTCAGTTTTGCGAGCGAGTGAGTGTGGCGAGAGCCTACTTCCTCCTACTACATGTATACTTTTTTTTTTGTTGCCTTATTAATCTGAGTCGGCTTGGTGATGGACATTGGCTTACTTGCTCTGCAGGGTGCGTAAAGCAGGGGCACAGTAGCTGAACGACAGAATGAGGTCTGAAACATATGTGTTTTTGTGTGTCATGATGGGGGGACGTCAACACAACAACACATCACCACATGAGAGATTGCGGTTGGTTGCAGTTCTGGGGGTCGGTCGGTCGTGATGCCTCGTGCTTGCATTAATTCCTAGGTGGTGGCCTACACAGGCTTCTCTCTAGAGGAAAGAGAAGCTGCTCGTCTGCCTGTTGATCAGGTAGGCTTTCATGATGGGATGCAAGCAGCGTTGTCATTTCTTGTGGAAGCATAGTCTATGCCTTGACGGGGCTCTTCAAAAATATAAAAATATTATTGGTATTTCATGGTACAGAAATGGAGAAGTGTCATGTCTACTTGTGAGTGGATACGTACGTACGTAAAGGTGTCCGAGATAGATAGGTGTTCGATGCGCCCGTAATAACAGTGTTGGGTGGTAACATGCGTGTCTCACCGAAGTGAAATGAAATGCCAAGAACCACGGGGCTACAGTAAGGACAAGAGGCGGAGGAAAGAAAGACGATAAATGGACGACACATGCCATGCCTGCACGCGCAGCGACGAAGGAAGGTACGGCCACCACACCGTCGTCGGTAAACGTGTGGCCTATCTGTCTGTCTGTCTGTGTGCCTTCCTTCTTCGCGCGGCTGCGTGGTGTGTGTACCTCCGCACCCGTCCTTGCCGTTTTGTGAATTTCGGAACAACCCTCCACAAATTGTGATAGCAACTCGACGAGTATCGTCTTGTTGCCTGTCTGAAGCTTTCCAGTTTTTTAGCCGTTAGTAAAGTCGAGGGCGCACACCGCGACACGCTCGCCCACCGAGCACGACAAAGAGTTCTACACACAGAGTAGATGACATAAGATATCACACCCCCTTAACAATTTCAATTTTCAAACCTCGATTACTCCACAGCAGAAATCGTGGCCGGGCGGCGTTGGCACCGACCGATAGCTTTCCGAAACAAACCTACCTATCGTTTGACATCCTCGTCGTCGTGAACTAACATTATTAGCTGTGAATATTGATGATGCGATATATTATGTCGCCTACTACTGCCGGTACATGCGCCATGCATAAGAACAACGAGCACCCTCCATACTCCGTAAGTAAGTTACTGTAGTAGTAGTTGAATTGAAACCTATCATTACCCATCTATACACAAATAGTTAAAAAAAAGTGCTGCAAAAACTATCCATGGACGAACCCACCAGTGCCGTTGTTGTTGTCTTCACAATTAATCACAAAAAACCGTTCGTTCTGTTCTCTCTACCCAGTACCTTATTGTACCTTCTTCGTCTGTTCGTACTATTATGTATGATAGTCTGACACTTGACGCGGTCGATTCCCGCCGTGGTCACAGGCTAACTTACCCAAAAAGTTATACGAAAATAAAATGGACCCGAAAAAGGGTCCGCAAGTCAACGACAGATTAGACACCCTCCGCTCGCTTCAATACGCTATTCGAGGTAGTAACTATAGACTGGACAATGAAGCAAACAATGAGCAAACGAATGTTAGAGGCGACCTCACGCGCACGCACCCGAAAAAATCGTCAGTCTTCGACCGGCATATCTCACTACGCCCATCCATGCGCATGCACTTTTTTGTGGCGAGGGACTCCATGCTTTCAAGAATCATCTCGTTGATCTATTTTTGTCGTTTACATACATGTAGTGCGCACGTCACACCCGAATAAAAAGGAGACCACAACCAGAACGCGCTCTTCCGCACGCTGGGAAAGAATCCGGGACTAAATGAATGCGGACCCCAGTAGATACGCCTTTCACAGTAGGTTTCCTCTCCTAAACGAAAGAACCGGACGGGAGAGAGGGAAAAAAGAAAAGAGAAGAGGCGTAGGACGCGTTCCTCGTCATGGGCATTTCATAAGAGTCGTATTGTGGTATTAATAGTGGCAGGAACCTCTCTCTGCGATCAGGTCAGAAGACCACCAGTCCCCGGAGCTCTTCTGTTGCACCCACCCATGGACGCAGTAGTAGTAGCGCATGTCCTGTAGTAGACAACTACTGCTGAAAATATTGGAGACCACGAATGAATCATACCGACAGACAGGTGGGTCGTGGGTGGGCGGGGGACCCTAAGAAACAGTCAGACTCAGCCATTTTCCATCCTCACAGTTTCCTGCAAGCAAGAACGAAGGGCGATAACAAAAGAGAGACCGCCAGCGACAGAAACAAAGAAGTAGAGGAGAGCAGAGCTAAGAAACAAGCGAAGAAACAAGTGAAGAAACAAGACCCCCTTGCCGCTCTGACCCACTGGAAGCTTTCCATGTACCGCAGCAAACAGCAGGGGCAGCACCCACTACCTCACATGCAGTAGCCGGATACATGCACGGACTGGTACGTAGTAGAAGTTTGGTCTCTTTCTCCGGCAAGAACAAAAACGCCCGGGCGAACTTGAACTTGTAGTCACAAGAAATAGGGTCATGATGACGTCATCCATTCTGCTTGCCGTGGGAGATGCGCATCGTTACGCGAGGAAGGCGTTAACTCTTCGCCTAGAATATGCTGCCGTAGACCCTATATCCCTCAAGCTCAACCACAGCTATACCCGATACATGGTAGCATCATATCCAGCTGTAGAATAATCGAAAAAAAAATGTTTTCTTGGTGGCGAAGCGGGCCCTCTTTGTTGTGACTCTCCAACTGCTGTTCGTGGATGCGACGGCATGGCGACACAGACAGATAAAATCTAGGGTTTGACGTCGGTCTTCTCCGCCGCAGGAGGTGGAAGCTATACTCAAAGTCGGGGAGGGGTCGTGGTTTGCAGTTCCCTACGGAACCGTACTTGAGGCGCCATGAGATTTGCACTGCCGTAGCCGAGGTTACTTGTCGGCAGGGAATCATAAAAACAAAATCTTCGGCGGACCGGACCCTCTTTTTTCAACTGGCCAACTGTTGTTTGGATGGCGAGACAATTTCCGGTCTTCTTGTCCGTCACAGGAGGCCGAAGCTGATGCTCAAACTCGGGGAGGGGTCATGGTTTGCGAGTCCCTACCGAACCATACTCGCTCGGGGCACCACGTCATGGACATGACAAGAAAAACATCCCCCCAACGAAAACTGCTAAAATTCATGGATGGGTGGGTGAGTGGGGGACCCCAAAACACATGAAACAGTCGTGGGGTTCGCGTTGTTCTGGGGCTCTACCGGCGAAAAACACCGTCAACGCTCTGAACCGCTGGAAGCTGTCACACAGCACTGCATGTGCGGCGAACCGTAGGGGCCATGCGCATTGCTTGACGGAAAGAGGCGGCGCCCATTGCCTCACATGCAGCAGCCGGGTACACGGACGGGTAGGCTCCTACTCAGCAAGACGCAAGACGATTGCCGTTGACGTTCGATGTTATTGGGGACCCCAACGGCGAAAATGCAACAGAGAGAGAGAGGCAGACTAAAGGAAGAGAGACTCGAGAAGACAAGGCATGAACTCTCGAGAAGACACCCACTCTCATCCCTCTGGTCCACCGCAGGCTTGAACACGTGTAACGAACGGCGACATCCGATGTGCGCTCAGCAACAACAAACACGACAAAAGAAAAATAGTCGTCGTTTCCGAACTGCTGTGGAGATCATGTGGAGATAGATACTGCTGTAAGTTGGTGGAGACTTAGATTTTCTTTCTTTTCTGGTATGAAGTGGCAACAAAGAAGAACACGACTGACTATCTATCTGTCTGTGTAGACTAGAAGCACGACGGACGAACTATAATCTCAATGCGCTTGCTTGCCGTCGCGATAGATGCGCACCGCTGCCGCTATACGAACGAGCAGACTGTTGTCAAACCTGACTACGATAACCGTACGACCATTGCAGCACATTCCGACCATAACATCAGAAACCGCAGCAGCAGCCGCATGTGTAAATTGTCACTCAAGAACAAACGCAAAAAAAACAAATTGTGACGCGCAGCACGCAGGACCCTTTTTCGCTGTTCAACCGGCCGTTCCCATGGCGAAACAGGCAAGGAACAGTCAAGGCCGACTCTTGCCGGCCACAGGAGGCGAAAGCTGCTCAAACTCGGGGACGGCTCATGGTTTGCGATTCCACACCGAACCATACTCGAGGCGCCACGAGATTTGCACTACTGTAGCTCGAGATCAGCATTTTAGACCGGGTCGGGCAAGGGGTGGCGGATGCGAATGAAACTTCCACGGATATTGAACGATGAGACTGAAGCTAAAGCTTCAAAATTCCCCAAGCCTTGGACGTGTCGGTGGGCATGGTACAAAAGGATATGGTGGTGTGTTGACAAGTGGACGGAGTGCGAGTAAAAAGTCCGGGGCCCAGTCATGAACATGGCAAGTAAACATCCCTCCCAACAAAAATTAATGGTGGGCGGGTGGATGGGGGACCCCAACAAAAAAAGCATGAAAAAAGAAAAAAAAAATCAAAGACAAGTGAGCCAGGCGCGACAGGCTTGAGGGAGGAGGCAAAAAAATAAGCATAGAAAACCCACCGTGGTCGTCGCTCGCTCTGGGCCGCTGGAACATGTCACATAGCACTGCATGTCCAGCATTAGACCAAGTCCATTGCTTGACATAAAACAGGTAGCGCACATCGCCTTTCATGCAGCAGCCCGGTGCACGGGTAGGAGTCTCTTACTCAGCAAGATGCGGAACCACTGCGGTTGATGTAGTTCGATATTGTTGGGACCCCACCGGCGAAAGGCGAGAGAGAAGTGCGGACTTTCATCCTTCTGTGACGAAGTGAGAACAAAAAACATGACTACACGGACGAACTAGTCCGTCCGCGATAGATGTGCACCGTTGCACGGAGCAGCAGAGTGTTGGTTGTCATTCCTCACTTTCTTCTGTTGTAAACAAGATTGGCAGTACCTATCGCTCAAGTTACGACTGACTACGGAGCAGACTCAAAAAGCATCAACACCCTTATTCAATTTATGCCACCCATGCATACGCCGCTTAGACTAATACGATGCATACCACCCATGCAATATGCAGCAAGACAGAAAAAAGGCCTGTTGTTGTCTGTCTCAACTGTTGTTGTGCTGCAGTTGCTTTTCATGTGTAACGACACAACAGGCGACAAAACGTAAGCGACGCGCATCGCCTACTACGCGACGCGTGCACCCCAAAGCGACAGACACGATAGCCTTCAACCTTGTCTGAAGCAATTCAGCAGCAGCAGCATGGTCACTCAGGAAAAAAAAAAAGAAAAGATTGTGGCGCGTAGCACGCAGGACCCTCTTTCGCTGTTCAACCGGCCGTTTCCATGGCGAAACAGACAAGGAACAGTCAAGGCCGAGTCGTGTCGGCCACAGGAAGTGGAAGCTGCTGAAACTCGGGGAGGGGTCATGGTTTGCGATTGCCTACCGAACCATACTTGGGGCGCCACGACATTTGCACTGTAGCTCGAGATCAGCATTTGAGACCGGGTCGGGCAAGGGGTGGGGCATGCGAATAAAAGTTCCACCCACGGATATTGAAATATGAGACTGAAGCTAAAGCTTCAGAATTTCATGGATGTCGTACAATACCCGTACACCCAAACGCCAGGCGATCAGTACTTGCACGACGGCCCCCTTATTCGTTCTCGAACGCTAAGTGTCGCCGTTGGTATTCTTTTACCAGTATAGTCGGCGGCCCTCTATAGGGACAAGAGGTTTTGGTGCCGCTATAGAGGGCAGTGCCGCTATTCCTAATAGGGTTTGTACTGAGAAATGCATTTATTTGTGCCGAAAGACTTCGGTGCCGCTACAGAGGGCATTCCGCTATTGAGGGTACCGTTATTGAGGACCGCCGACTGTACTTGTTGTTTACGTCCTAGGCGAGGGGCATCGTTCGCCTGTCGTGTGAAAACTAATCGCCATGTCCACCAGGGGACGGCGTGATGCCAAGCGGGTGTCATGCTTTCTCGTTCAGGCATCCATGTCGTTCCGGGAGCTTGGATTTCGGGGAACAGGGAGGTTTACTTAGTCTTGAGATGCTAAGGGCGTCTGCTTTCGTCGTGTTTGAACAAAAGGCTCGGATGGGAGCCCTTGGAAGCAGGACTTTCGCCGCCTTGCCTACGTCGCCGGGGATAATAGATAGTTGCGCTTTGTTCTCGCCGCACCTCTACAAACTGCCGCGGGGCACAGGCCTTGAACGATACCGAATATGTCAAGCACGACCAAGAGCATGGCACGCTGCTGCCGCTGTGAGTAGTCAAAAATACGGCAAACCTAAACACATACCTGGTAGTGACGGCGTCATCGCCATCTTCCAGACGGGCTGCTCACGAGTTTCACTCGACAAACAAGACAAGGTCAGCAGCTGCATGAATGGCTTGGCTGCTGCGTCGTGCATGGGTCCGATGTGTCCGTCAACCGTCACCCTACCGCTGAGTTGCTCTACTTCACACCCCGAAAAAACAAGCAACACCGTGACCAAACGGTGCTATTAAATTTAGCACAAACACAAACACGAAAAAACATCGAGGAGGAAAAACACACCAAACAACAGAATCGATCCCCCGACATGTACTGCTGTACCCCAACCGGCGCAAGAGGGGGGAGGGACACCCAGGTTGTGTGGGCGATCCCCGCTACTTTAGGCAGCAAGGAGCGATCTCGGCGAACGTCTTCCCCCCTGTCTTGGGGTGGCGGTCCGAGTCTTGTTAGTCGTCGTCGACAGCTCCTATCAGACCATCCACCAGACCCTTGCAGTGGGCCTGCCCCCCGGTGCCCAACGGCATCAGCAGGCAGGCCGGCAGACGAGAAAGGACGCGGGCGAGCAGGCAAAAATTGGAACAGGAAAAACGAAGCAGTGACACTAATAGTGGTGTTAGGTCTCACGATACGCGTCGAGGAAAAATTGGTCTGGAGCAGCACTCGTTTGTTGGGCAAAAGCAGCAGGAAAACAACCCCATCACCGGAGGAGGCGGCTAAAGACTTGGAGAGGAAACCAATCCAACTGGCGAGAAGTACGTCTAAGCACAGAGCAGAGCAGACATGAAGCTACGTGGCCAAACGTTCTGGCCATTTCTGCAAGGACGATCTTTTACACCGACCACGTTGTTGGCAGCTGCAACGCGCGAAAACACAAACACCTTCGTGCGCATCTTGAACACGATTGGGCGGAGGGGGGGCGACAAGAACAATCTTGTTCGACTTCTGTTATTCGGTTTTTGTAGCCGCACGCGGGTGCCACGGCCGGGGTGACACAGCACGCACACAAACGCTCAAGAAAAACAGCAATGCATTCCTGCCGCATATCCTGAGTTGGGAATATGACACGGACCCATGGGTCCCAAGACCAACGCTTGGAGACATGTCAAGCACACCTCAAACCAAAACGACGGAAGCAGCCCAAGTGCCCGAGAGGCCATGCCGCTGTACCTACAAGTGCCGCGGGTACCAGCGACAAGCAGGACACGGCTCATGAACGCCCAGCTTCAGCTCCAGACAGAGAGCTGGCCGCGAGCGAACAACGAACCCCCCTCCTAGCGATGAATGATACAGCTGGTGGTGTGTTTGGAGACACACACTCGGGATTACTCTTCCCTTCGCCCCGTGTGATCGCGCTCACGCACCTGCACACAGTCCGCCAGGGTCTCCGCCGCGGTGCCCCTTGCCTTCCTCCCCACCCGCCCGACGACGCCCCCAATGGGAGAAGGGGGTCGCCTGTGAAGAACGTTTCATCAAACAGAGACATGCATGCCATCGAACAGAGTTTCAAAATAGGGTTCTAAGAACGGGGAGAGGGGGGCATCGTAACATTGAGAATGACACGAGGGGTGAACAGCGCGAGCAACACGGACCCTCATCACAATCAGATGTCAATCCGAGCCAAATCGTGGCTGCACGCACTTGGGGCGGAGGAAGAGATAGAAGCAATCCAAGCCGAAAATGACTGCTCCCGTTCCCAGAGGCATATGGGGGGGGAGCGGGGCGAACATACGGCACGAAAATCCACAAGGATACGCCCACAAGCGCGACAAAACATTCTGCACTCAGGTCGTTTCCGCCTGCCAGCAGGCCACGTTTCACAAGGATGACAACCAAAGCTGGTAAGACAAAAAAAAAAAAACGCGAAGAAAACGCGAAAACAAAAACTGCACAACTCACAGGTGGCCCTTGGGACGGACAGTAGCCTGGCAGTCCAGGGCATAACCCCCCTCCAGCACCGACACCATCCGTCCAGCGCACAGGCGCTCCGCGGCGGTGACCATTCTCCTCGTGAACACCTCGAAATCCCTCGCGCACAGAGTGCCCAGGTGAGACGGGTCCGCCTGAAAATTGACGTGGACATTAGTCAGCGGGGGGGGGGGGGGGGGGGGGGGGGG